GCCTACGGATGAATATACGACATTAACAAAATAATTATCGAACATTTGTTTCTTAATTCGCGACGCTTTATAATTTTCGCTCGTCGATCGCGCACGCACTTGTCTCTCTCGTTATCGGCACCTGCCGAAATCGCTCGTAATTCATCCTTTATTACGCCACATGTCTGCTTGTCGGGCAATTATGCCTGTTTATTTGTTTTCGCCTCTCGGCGCACACGGCCTCCGCCGTCTTCATCGGTCGCGCATCCATCAATTTGCAATTGCATTTTTCATATTCATCCAGCCGGCCTTCAACGCCGCACAAAAATATCGTATTACCCCGCACACATAATAACCGCAGTGAACGCGAATGTGAAATGTTGTTAATACAGGTGGAAGATAGTTAATCGTAAAATTGCAATGTGTGTTGCATAATTATCGAGATATTAAACCGCGATGTCAACTGATCGATGGGTTCATAACCTAACATCAGAACTACTTTTGGGAGTCGCCTGGGAATCACTTGCGAGCGCCGTTCAATGGATTTTTTGTTTAATAATTTAATCAGATTGGACAGGCGCGTACTGAAATGTTTCCTGCGCGCACGCTGTGATAACGATCTAAATGATAGGTGATGAGCTCGTAAAGTTCGAACTTTACAACGCACGAACACAATGAATCCCCATGACTTGTTCCTTTCAGCATTACGCTGGCTTTCTGCGGTGTTATCTGCGTATATTCATACCGACGTAAAACGCTTGCGCCTAATGTAGCGTCGCAGCAACATGGGCATGAGCACGCTTGTCGAATTTAATATTATAATCAACAGCCCAACGTTTTAAACATTGTAAACTGCGCAGAGGTGAATTTTAATTACAGCGCCGACGGGCCGAGGCACTTGTCGGGCGGCGCCCACCGCGCTTTAATTACACGTTGTTTTCTGCCGAAATTTTCGAATTACGCCGCTTGCGAGCACGCTACCCAGCGCGAGCAAACGAGGAAGTCGAGCAATCGGCCTGATGGCATCGCCGACGTGTTCGCAGGTACGTGATTTCGATTCAATCTCGGTTTCTTGGGCGCGCCGCGCAACGAGACTTGTTACCCAACGAAAAACGGTGTAGAAGTCTGCTTTTTAACGTAATTAGTGAGCTTGAGATATGACGTACGTTATTAATTGCTTTTTAATAACACGCCACGCGAATAAACATAGTTTTTTTCTGTGTTTGTCTAGCGCTAGAGCACTGTAACTCTAACGCAATTATTCAAATCGTACTTTAAAAACGAGGCAGTGGATTAAAATTTTCATGAAAGTTTCTTTTGAGAACTACCGCGCATGCGTATTAAGTCCAACAGCTTAAAACTAAATGCTAATTTAGTACTTTTTGTGGCAATTACGATCCGAATTGACTTTCTTTGAAGGCATAAATGCATGTTGAATATGAAGCGTTAATGCGCCAAAGAAATTACGTACAAATTGCATCCGAATACAACATGTCAAAGTTGTAATTTATAGCGATTATTAAGCGTAATTAGAACACAGCGCGGTCAATTCGTCGTTGGATGCGCATCCGAAGAAGTCTGAATGGTCAATGCACGATCCGAACGCATCGCAATTATGAATTCGAGCGTATTCCGCGAACGTATAATTTCGCCGGGCGAATGAAGCACGAAGAATGACGCCGATTATGACGACGTTTATGAAATCAGATAGCGCTCGCTCGTCGTAATATCCTTTAATGCGCGAGAGTGTAATCCGCGTATTAAACGTGCCCACTTCGTTAAAACGCACTTCCTCACTGCGCCAAGCCGTGCGCGCATTGAGTTTATTTAATGCTTAATGCATTTTGCATTTTTTCGCCGGTAGGATATTAAGACATTCGTCTTAAGTTACACACGGCATCGGAATAAAGAAATAAATGAACGCAATTGTCATACGGCCGGAGGGCGTCGGTATCGGTGCGCGCGCTAAGGTTGGTAGCGCGCGAATATTCATTAAATTTAAGCGCAATTTAAACATGCTAATATGTAATATGAGATAACGGCGATTGCCTACGAGCGCTGCCAGGCGAGCAAAGGTGAAGCGAAAGGTAAAGGTGGAAACGAACACGAACGAGGTGGAAATTACACGCCGTAAATTTTATTGTGTTTATTGAATGCGAAATTAACGAACACGCTGGGTTTTTTTTTTCTTTCTAATTGCGATAAACTTTAAGACAACTTGACGTGCGCATTGTGCACTTGATTGGAAAGCTTTCTTGCTGCCACATCAATCAATAACACACCGAAACGAGCGCCGCCACATTGAGCATATCTAATTACAATACAACATTGTTCCAACATGAGAAGTTTTGTTCCACGCTGGACACCATTGCCGCTCGGAGAGCAGCATGTGGAGCGCATGTGGAAACGGTAACAAAGCAATAATTTAATACTCGGGATTTGAATTTCAAATGTATTTTTTTCTCGCGACGCGACGCGGAATGATTGCTCACACTTTGAAGCACGTCGGACACGCACCGCACTCCTGTATGTTGTATACGTACGCACAAGGCACAATGTATTCATAAATAATTATTTTGTTTTAAATTGGTGCCGCACTCAGTCGCAGCGAGCCCTTTTTCCGAGGCGCGTGTTTTTTGTCGCGCTCTCGCGCTGCCGTGCAACCGTCAACAACATGCAACAAATATTATGCCCGAGTGGCGCACGGAACAAATAAAAGTCACAATTGATGGCGACGCCTTGGATTTCTTGTTTTCCGGAAGACTGACCCGTAAATTTACGTCGTGTCGCGCCGCGTCACATTTGAATATTTCACATCGAGCTGGTATATTTCGAATTCTTCCTGCGTCCAGGAGTAAACACGTTTCGTGTAACGACGGAAGGAAGATATAAATATGCCAATGAGGTGCTTGCCGGAATGCCTCTTGACACTTCTTCTTCACGGCCCGCCGCGAGATTATATAAAGCCATTAAAACGAAATAATCGTTAATCGTTATTAACAGCAACGCGCCCGGCCGAAAGCTGCGAGCGCAAAAAGCGTAAAATAATGATTGGTTATTTGATCGCTCGAGCGCGCGTAGGTACTTAACGCAACGTAAATCGACGAAAAAACATCATTCACAACGATATTTATGTGTGAAACTGATAGTTTTATGGCAGTTTTAATTTTTGGTTACTTTGATTTAATAGTTCAGCATTCACTCTATTGCAATCAGGAATTATTTTTTCGGACACCGCAATCAAATACAAAGTGCATTTATGATCGTTCGCATAAATTAATTTGTTTATTGCCTGTTTATTGTCGTGGTTAAGTTCTTTCTAGATGCGAGATATCGGTTTACAATTTCAATAACGTCCGTGCATAAATCAATAGCTAATAAATATCTGCTTAATCGATGAAAATGCGAGACACATAAAATAATTGAGATAACACGTAATTTTGCATTAAAATTAGCTAAAAGCTAAAAATTAATTAAACAAATATTAACTATCTCTTGTTCGCTGATTGTATTCATAATTAATTAGTAGGCAGTTAGGCAGACAAGAAGTGCCAAGCATGATGTCGTAATCGAATGTAATGGAATCGCTTGCAATGACTAAATCAATTACTCGAAATCGAATAACGCCGTAATTCTTGCAATATTGTGTGCATAAAATTAGATAAATGTGCAGCGCGCTATGCGCGAGGAGAATGTGATGTTGGAACCAAAAGGAAACATTATACGAAACCCACGTGAACATCCACATCCATCTTGGAAACAATGTCGCAACGAATTGTGTTTCACTGTTTACCATTCCGTACCTACTCGGATTATGTATACATTGTTTCCAAGCTACTTGTACTCGGGCTGCGATCATTCGAAATCGGCACTTTTTCAATTAAAAATTAAACATTGCATGCAGCGGATTGTCGTATTGTTGGAATTGTAGAAAATGCGATTGACATCTGGTTGTTTTAAATGGCTTTGCGTCAGTCGGTGAGCTATGTTAATTCGGCGCCGACCCGCAAAGGAGACAAAGTAAAGAGTGGAGATTTGCATCTTTCGTTGTTTAAGATTTCCGATTGCGTAAGCGGCAATCCTCGAGATGCGGATTGCATTGTCGGCATTTGCGCTTTATTTGCGTATGTGGGCAAACGGATTGTGCAATAGACATTTTCTCCACAGCCATAAGCTCTGTTTAATTTAATTTCATGTTATTTCATTATACTTACTGCAATTATGTATATTTTTACATTGGTTTATAAATTGGCTATAAATTTGTATGGGTTTCCGGTTTGTGGCAGCCATTTTGTCATAACTTAAGATGTCATGTTGTATCGTGCAAATCTCGTTTATTATTTTGTTGTGGTTGAGTTCCTATGGTCTCTTCTTGGCATTTCTGATTGTGTAACGATTAGTTACGGCAAATGATGCGTGAAATCTCTCTGTTGGCGCAAGGCAGTACGGTAGCCGACGAGCTAATTGACCGCACCGAATGTCCACGCTATACTGGAGAATTCTAGTCTTTGCGGAAAAACTAAAACACATACGGACCATTAACGCTACCTGTACTCACAGCCATAATCAGTGGTTTGAGTGGAAACGCCCTGTGTGCTAGCCAATTATTAATTTTGTATCGGCGGCGATTTGCAAACACGGCGAATATGTAACTCTGCGACAACTAATAAATAATAAATAATAATGGACAATTAGCTGGGCAGCGCATAGTTGAATGAATGCCGCTCGCGTGAATAACTCGCAAGAGTTGTGTGTTGAAAATACGAAAACTCATTTGGTTTGTAAAAAATGGATTTAATAACGAATATTGAATTTATGTACATAGATTAGATTGTTCCAGCGATCGTTTTTTTGTTGTATTCGCTGGTAATTGATTAAAATCGTTTCCATTGCGAATATTGTGAAATGTTTACGAGATTGCTCGACCTCGCACTGGATTATTTTACTTTTAAACATACAAATGAAAATTTTATTCAATTAAAGATGTTTCCTATATTAATGCATTTGTTTTTAATTTGTAGGATACTTTCGGATGGTTCTACAGCAACACAATAATGTAAGTACATTTATATCTTTCTACTAGTTACTTACAATCGTAAAAATGAATTTGAATTATGAAATGAGAAATGGACTTGTGATTGTCTGACCTCGCACTCGACTGTAACCGATTGCAAGTCAGTTGGTGTAATTATAAATTTAAGGGTGAGGTATTGCCTAGCCATAAATACATTTAGTAAATCCGATCAGGAAAAACACGATTAGTAATCACCGACACAATCGTCGATCATTCCATCAGACAGTTGCATGCGGCGTGCGCTCCACCCACACGGTGTCGATAGGTGAACTCTGCAAACTCTCAACTTTCAACAAACTTTCAAGCCGGGCGCTGCGCACCGCGGGCGCACATGGGCGCAGACATTACGCAATAATTGGTGAAATTCCACATTGCACATTGCATTGTGTTAATAATCAATTAAGTGCCGTTCCGGCGCACCAACACACTAACACACTCAAGCCAGGCGCGCATTGTTGTGGAGCGCGCGCGCGTTTAATCTGCCGGTTGCAGCGTGCAGCTGAATAATTTCAGCCTCTGTGCGTACACAAACACACACACACGAAGTGGACGGCGGGTACATCGGTCGGGTGGTAATTGAAAGTTTAAATTGTTTGTTCGTCAAAATGCGTGCGACGTTCGGGCGCACGTAGCGTACGCAATTATTGCGCTGCGTATGTGCGCACCGCGGCGGATATGGGGACCGCGGCGAATCGGTAATACGATGTAAATAAGCGCGCACAAACTGCCAGCGGAGTAATTACACCCCGTTGTTGTTTGCTGCGCCGCGTGTTGCTGCTTTTTTTTGCTCTCGATTTTTATTCTGCGCTCGTCCGCGCCGACCGCTTTACGTAATTGTTAATTTAGCTACTGGTGTTCGTTAAAATCCAATTTACAATCTAAACGCTTTCTGCTGGTGAAATTTTTGAAATATTCAGGATAAACTAAAACAAAAATGGGTTTATTTCTAAATATTTATTTTATCTAACATTATAAACGTAAACATTGCGCTTTTCTTCTATACATATTCTCTAATCAGACTTTCTTTCGGATCTAACGTGTTCTCAAAGTAAGCCTTTCTCTGAACAAGTGGTAAATGCCTCTGTCGCAACAAATAATTCTCATTACCGTGAACCGAGTACATATTCTCACCCTCTCTGCCCATCAGTTTCCGTAACGCTTTGTTCCGCTGCAATATTTTGCCGTAAAATTCAATTGCCCCTTCTACGAATATAGGATTCAAATGCTTAAGCTCCTCATCAACTTTACGTTCATATTTCAGTTGCGTAAAGTCCTTGACAAAGATATAATTCGTATACCAAAATGATCCTACTAGTCCATACATTACTAGTCTGATTCCTACTGGTTTTACATACATATTATAGCGCATGTTAATAAACTGACTGAATGCATAGGTGAAATATACTCCTAAAGTGCAGTATGCTGAATCAAAGTACAACTTCATTGTTTCTGCCATTCGCATTTCCCTAGCCATTGCATACATTTGTGCTTTTTCTGATAAGACTAGTGATTCCAAGAAATCTTTGGCCTCTTTTGAATCCCAGACAACTGATTCTGCCAAGATCTGTAAAGGTACAAAATAAATTCAAATTATGATGTTTTAAGAGTTTAGAAATTGAATTGATAAACAAAGCATACTTTAATATTGTGCCTTTCAATTGTGTCAACATTATCATAAGAGAAATTCACTGGCAGGCCTATAATACATCCAAACTTGCTATATGAAGATCCAGCAGAAAATATGTCAAAGCCAACAACTGAGAATGCACTATATATCTTTTTTGTTTTCTCTGACACCTCAGCAAGATCAAGAGTTTTCTTAAATCGTTCCAATAGATCAGGACGAACCGGAACTGCTATGCCTTTTCTGAAAGAGTTGTTATATTAGTTAGATAAAGTTAACCTCTACAACTGTGCAGTTTACCGGTAGTAATGCACGACGTTCTTATATTGTTCAATTAAAAATGTATGAGGCACGTATTGCGCAGAAAATGCTCCAATTGCTGCAACGGTACCGACAGCAAAACTAAATTTTCGCCCATTTTCCGAGACAAACCACGATCCAAGTTTCTTAGCAGACATTTCGACTCGAAAATAGATGTGCGGACAATTTTCCTGTATGTTGGGTTGCCGACAGTTGGTTGCAAGAATCGGCACATTATAAAATCACTATGAATTCAAAAACCCAGTTTACGTTTTAGATTAAATTAAATTTATATTTCTTGTTTTAAACTTAAATTTATATAAAATTAATTTACTACTTACCTAAATTGATTTTTATGATTGCAATTGTTTAGTTTGTGTTGTTTAAGCTACTTTTTGTTCAAATTCGTACGTTTGAATTTATGAACTAGGGGAAACATGAAATTCCCTAGAAATGCTCATGTGCAACAAATAAAGTAAGCGAGTTCGGTGATGTGAAAAAGTTTATTCAGCATTGTTATAATGAATCAGTAAACTACAATCAAAGTTTACGATTGAAGTTAAGACATCACGGATTAATTACCACGAAGTTTTGGTAAGTGTTATATTGTCTTTAATTAACTCTGAACAAAAACATAAAAATAACCTCAAATCTTCAAAAACATGTGTATGTTATAACGAACTTTTAAACTACATTACTCATTTAAACTTTAAACTTTAAGATCACTTGTCCATAAAATGGGTGATCCAAACGAGAAACGCAAACGCATGTCCTGTGCCTTGGAAATTAATAACCCAGTCAACTTGTTGCAAACATTGCATAGTGTTTGTGCAGATGGTTACCACTTCATTGTGACAAACCTTGCTCATCCTATGAACTGCAGAGACTTGACTGATAAGGAGCCAACAAAAATAATAGGAAGGACTGATAGAGTGCTGCAATCTGTAGATTGGAGTAAACTTATTGTTGGTAAGATTTCTAGAGCTTATGAAGTAGATAATGAAATTGAGCACATTAGAGAATCAGAAAAGTTGCTTTTAAAGCAAGAATTAGGCTTTGCAAGTCATCTAGTACTGCCAGCTATAATGATTAAACTACAACAAGGTCAGAATAGAAACCTTGCACATATACTTTATAATAAATTCCAACTTGGAGTGCCTTTTCAAGTTTGGGTGCAAATGCCTATTAGGAAAGCATCTTCTCCATTTGTGCAAAAGTCTGACAATGATGAATCTTGGGAGACTTGGAATGACTTTAGAAGAATTGCAAATTATCACAAAAAACTAGGCATAGTTTTAGAGCTTCCTAAGTTGGATCAACTGCCAAGCAAGGAAAGTTTAGAAAGATGGTGTGGAGAACCAGTAAAGGCATTAATTCTACACACCAGTCACTTTATTCCTAATCCACACAACCAACCAGTGTTGCCTAAGGTTTATCAGGAAATTATTAAGTTATTCATGGCACTCGATGTGCAATATGTGATTCAAGGGCCTTCAACTAAGTTCAGCTATAATCAATATTACAGTTATATGAATTTCTTAGGAAAGAAATTGTATGAAAACACTGTATTTAATGAGTTTTCATTAGGGTAAGCCATTTGTAACTTTAAAATGTGAACTAAAAATTCACTTTTTTGTTTTAATGTTAATAGCTGTGAAGATTTTTTGCAAAATCCACTTCAACCCCTGTCTGAACACTTGGAAGCGTCAGTGTACGAAATCTTTGAAAAGGATCCGATTAAGTACATTGAATATCAGAATGCAATCAGACGTGCGTTGGAAGATATGCCGCAAAGCCTCGAATGCGTTGTTATAATGGTCGTTGGTGCTGGTCGCGGACCTTTAGTGCAAGCAGTCTTGAATGCATCGTACTTAACACAACGCAAAGTTCGTGTTTATGCAGTTGAGAAGAATCCGTATGCAATAAACACTCTCGAGGAGCGCATTCAGAATGAATGGCAAGGACTTGTAACGCTGATTCATCAAGATATGCGCATATGTCGTCCGCCTGAGGACGCCGATATCCTTGTCTCTGAACTTCTAGGTTCTTTTGGCGATAACGAATTGTCGCCGGAATGTTTAGACGGCGCTCAGCGATTTTTGAAACCAAACGGTATTTCAATTCCTGAGTCGTACACTTCGTTTTTGGCGCCGTTGCAAAGTACAAAACTGCATAATGAGATAGTAAATGGTCGACTACATGACAAACCTGCGTATACAATGTATGAAACACCATACGTTGTGCATTTTGTGAATGCATATCAAATTGCACCTTCTCAGGTAGAATTTGAAGAAAAATTACATATTTCCTTTGTTTTTAAGTGTTTTTTATTTACTTTTAGCCATTGTTTACTTTTAAACATCCAAATCGGGAGGAACGTATTGTAAACGAACGCGTTAAGTCTGTAAAATTCCGAGCGCCGCAAAATTGTGTACTAACGGGTTTCGCTGGATATTTCGAAACCGTTTTGTACAAAGAAGTTATGTTAAGTATCAATCCACAGACGCATTCACCGAACATGGTCAGCTGGTTTCCAATATTGTTTCCACTCGCCGTACGTACCTTTGATTTGTTTGAATTCTTTGAAAATGCATTATTTTACCTTTTAGGAACCAATTCAAATAACGTCCGGCGCTATGATTGACGTTACTTTCTGGCGCGCCGAGAATGAAGAAAAAGTATGGTATGAATGGTGCCTGAATTCACCCGTGCGCGGCAGCATCTACAATCCAAATGGACGTTCGTATTTTATCAAAAAGTGAAGTTAACTTATGACACTATTTGTTGAATTGACATTATTTTGACTAAGTGAATTAATCTCTCAGAATTGTGTCAGTTAGAAGTTATTTATCCCAGTGTCATCCAAAATTTCTGATTCTTCCCTCCGCTGCTAACTCTAAAGCTCACATGCAATGTCTTTACCTAAACTATACTATAACATTATTTGTCCACCATGTCGCGCTGTATACATGTTGGCCCGCATGCTCGAAATAAAGCTGGAGTATGAGGAGATTGACATTATGGCCCGAAATTACATGAAGAAACTATCGAAGGTTAATCACACATGCAATTGTTATGACTTGTGCCTTACACGCTCTGCTTGAATTATAGATTAATGTTCGGCACACCATTCCTATTTTGTGGGATAATGGATATACTCTCACGGACAGTCACGTGATTGGTACTTATTTGGTTCAGAAATTTACCAACAACACGACTATTTATCCAGATGATCTCCGGAAACGAGCTTTGGTTGATCAGTATCTACATTATGATTCTGGAGTGTTGTATCCTATTTTATATCAAGCTTTAGTAACTATTTTTCATTTACCAGTATGCAATTGCTGCAACAATTATAATTTCAGACCCCAATCCTATTTCGGAATCAGTTTGGTCTTACAGTCTCCAATGTCTCGAGAATTCAAGAAAACTATGGTTTCCTAAACACCTTGTTGAAAAATCGTCAGTGGTTGACCAGCGACAATCTTACCCTTGCAGATATGTCCTGCCTGGCAACTATGTCTACATTGGATATGTTGTATCCTGTCGATCCAAAACATTACGTAAACTTACACAGTTATCTGCAGCGTTGTGAAAAACTACCATACTATGGTGATTGCCACCTGCGCGGGTTGAGTAAACTGGCTCAAGTGATCCAAGATAAGATTGTTGCGTACAACGCTAAGAACAAGCCTGTTAGCAACGCGCCATCGACCTCATCCAAACAAGAAACTCCTACACAACATCAACCCGCTGCTCCATCGGCCCCCACCGCTCCCTCGGCCCCTACATCTAAAACCACCTCTAACAACACAAATACTACTCCACCGGGTCCCAACACTCAATCATAAATTGTTTTATTGTGCAAAGGCCTCAGTACACACATTATTAATTCACATTGGGCGAACGCCTTCCTAAAGGTCTAACTAGTTCACAAATAAAGGTCGCAATTATATCATTGTTATCGCACACATCAACAACCTTCAGTAACGAAAAAAATGGTACATTAATCAATATGTTTCGGTAACGTGGAAACCTTGTATCCAAATTGTGAGCTTCTATACAAATTATGTATTTATAAATAGCAACAAAAGGTGAAAGCTAATGTGAATCGATAGCGTAACATTAACAATTCCGTGCTCTAGCCGAGTTTACGCGTATGTATTATTTAGTAGCGCGAGTCCAATCGGGGCGGCGTGCATATGCAACTGGTAATGAGGGATCGATTATTCGGCTGACTCCTCAGCGCCAGCGAGCGCTTTTTCGTGCATTGCTTTGAAATCATCGAGGCCAACGCTATTTGCCTCGTAGTAGGGTAGTTCCTCCACGCGGGCGATCCACTCTAATAATTTTGGACATGCCTCTTCATCGATAGGAACCAGGACATTCAATGAGGTGACGGACGGAATTAGGGCCAAATCGGCGATGGTACAATTATCGCCGACCATCCATTCCCGGTCGCCTAGGAATTTTTCTAAAATGTTATATGCGTCGTTGGCTTTGTCGATAAGTTTTTCGTCGATGGTAGTGTTGCCTTCAAAGAAGAAGGGACGCTGAAAAAATTCATTACGTAAAAGTAACGGTGGAAAATTACTATCATTAGAATCTAATTCTATCCCTTGAGATTGAACTTACGACGATTTGTCCTAGCAAGGATTGTAAAGTGCCGCAATTGTAGAATAATCGATGATGAATCAGAGCTCGCAGCTTGGGATCGTCTGGGTACATATTTGCGTTGTCTTCGTTGCAGTATTTCGATGCCAAATATATAATTATTGCGCTACTGTCGACCAGAATAAGATCGTCATCCTCGAGCATAGGAACAGTGTGTTGAGGATTTTTCTATATACGCAGAAACAAATTAATTAATTAATTAGCTTTGCTTTAAGTTAAAATAATTTTATTATTAATGTTACCTCGACGTAGTCTGCTTCCAAATGTTCTCCAGTTGCCATGTCAATGTCTGTGAAATCCAGTTCCACGTCCAATCCTTTGGCCGTCAGGAGAACGCCCCGGCTCGGAGGACTAATGTCCTTCTTGTATAACATCGGTGCCATGACTTCGGGTGGTTTTCTGTTATGATGTTCTCGCGATGCAGGTCACTCGGTAACTGAGCGTTGCCGAAGTTTCGTGGAGCTCTCCGTTGTGCCACTGCGACATTAGTGTATCATGCGCTCTGTTTTTCCTGTCGGCTAGGGCATAAAATTGATTTGCCACATGTTTTTTTTGTCGGAAAATGAATAACAACGGCGGTGCCGACCTGACTCCGAAGCGTGTGACATTTTATCAATTCATCTACCGTCCTGACACGCACAGCGACGATAGAAGTCGATTAAAGATTATTTAATTTTTAAATTATTAGGTATAATAGGAAAAATACAATATTTATTATTGATGGTATAGCTTTTCGCTGGTTGTGTATATTTGAAAATTAGTTTTAAATTACTTAATACTTTAATGAGTATTGAAGGAGATTAAATCGAAGGCAAGAAAAGTTATACACCAGGTGAAAGAAAAACTTTAAAGGTGAATTTTTGTTTTTTATTTTATTTTATATACCAATGGATTATATTTTATTAGAGTGTGATGTACATGTACAATGTTATAAATGTCAGTGTCGCATAGTCGTTGACCGCGTCGAAGGTTTTTCACCCGTCGCTAGATTCTGTATATCAACCGCCTCCACTACCCCCTTAACTAACAACCATGAAACTTTGATAATGTGTGTGTGTGAGTCATTGATTAATTCACGATAAAAATCGTCTGTACTAATAATTGAAGAACATCAGTCCATGAAAGTAGAATCTTTATGGTTAATGATCTTATAAATTACACAGTTTCATAAAGTTTTGTTCTACAATCATTATGAGACCAGTAGTAGTAAAATTTTACCTAAATTTAAATAATTTAATTCATATAATTCTGAATTTTGTTTACAGAATGCACCAGTCTTGTGCACTACGATTTGGAACTACGCGCATGGGGCAAGGATCACGCTGGTGAGTCTAGTTGGTTCTAGTCGCCAAGATAAGTCGCCGGTTTGTCTTCGTGTGTTTCTCGTTACTCGTCGCCATGTTGCTTGTATATTTACTTAAGTGAACTTCGCTCTACTGCAAGCCACATTTAAGGAAGTTTGCCGTCGATCCACATATACCAAGTAGGTAGTTTCAGTAAATACTGTTTTATTATTTCTTGTCCTGGTTCGTACAAGAAATTTATCTTTTATTACCCTAATTTCTGTTTGATTATTCTATATTTTCATAATAGAATTTTGTTTATATCTAGGCGTTTATCGACAAATTAACCTGAATAGTAAATTGAATTCGGTCAATCGTTATATTTGATCCCGCATCCACGGCTACATGCTGCAAACCATATGGGGCTTGTAAATTTATAATTAAATTAATTAATCATTAATTAATTCGGTTTTTAGAATTGAATCTTATAACATTTGCGGTCCTTCTATTCTGTGCATGTAATTAACGAACTATCTTCGTTCTCTTCTCTCCGCGTTTATCGATGTCTCTGGATGTAAACAACTTTTTTTTATGGCGTTGGACTGTTACGCTGTCCGCGTACCGTTGCATTGTTCCCAGCTCGAATTGTTGATAGTGTTGAAATTTAATTTAACTCTTAAAAAATAATTTTCAATGAGATTTTACTTTCTTTCTTCTAAAGTGAGTAGACAAGATATTTGCGCGTGCAACAAAATTATTTACACCCATTCTTATTCATTTCTTGCGGTTCGCATGTAGCGTGAGATCATGGTTTATTAGAATTCTTTGGTTTATTAGAATATTAGAAGGTACTAACCATGTGACAAAACATATAGTTTTTCTTTAAATTTGTATTGTAATAAATGTTTATGTTTAGTACTGTCGCAAGTGGCCATATAGTTTCAATATGCGTATGTGACAATATCTATGACATGTTCTTAATTTTGACTAGCATAAAGTTGCATTGTATTTTAATTTAGTTGAAAACACACGCTGAGTGGTCCTGATTTATGAACGCGGCGTTTTTGAAATTAGAAACAATAGTATTAATATTCATTTTTTAGGTTTGCTATCTTTAAGTCAAAAGAAAGAATACGATGTGGCGCAACTGAGGAGGAACAGGCAGAATGCATTTGTCCAGACTGCGACTGTTTTATTGAAATATCCTTTGCAACGATGTTATGGATGTGCGTATTTTAAGGCAAGTCTTTACGTTCTCTGAATTTCATAGCCATGGTAATTTTCGATATGAATAATTGTATATATTTTTATATAATGTTTGTAAATAAAACACAATATAATATTACAATCTCTTTCATATTTCTTTTTGATATCATCCTCTCTGTCGTTTTCAGGATTGACGTATTAAATCATATTGCATATAAGTCCTATGCACGTGGAGCGTGTGCACCACAGCTAAGGCTTGTGTTAATATTTTTAAAAAGTTGATAAAAGTAGAAACATAAATAGAAGAATCAAATATAAATGATAAAAACACTCGGTGGTCGAGTGGAGACGTGCACCTGCTGGCATGCTAGCAGACACGGATCGAATCTCAGGTATGGAAGGCATTTTTCTCAAATATAAAAATATCAGATGTAATTTGGGTTGCATATATGAATTGCAACGAAATATAAGAGAAATTAAAATACAAGTGAAGGCAATACGGGAAGTAAGAAAGTAAGCACAGGAGAAACGAGAACAGAGAAACAGAAGAAGGAAGGAGTAATATAGAATAGGAGAAGATAGAAGGAAGAGAACAGAGAGTAGAGTAGAGAAGAGGAGGAGATAGAAGAAAGAGAACAGGGGAGGATCAGATTTTTAAAATTTTTGGCACGTGTCGTTATGAGACAGTCTACGGTCGATCTCCCAGAGCGCCTCCGGCGCTCTGGTCGATCGCCCACTATTTCGATTCTTCCATTGCTCCCGGCCCATCCTACAGCTGCGATGTCTCTGCGCTTCATCCCCGAAATTATCAGGCATATCAACAATTTTTATGGTGGGGATCATCCCCAGAGAGAGGGAACTCCTTATAAGGACAATCCTTATAAGGTCTTGTTCAAATATTTCTAAGTTTTAAGTCGCCTCACGAGAGGGGACACTTAAAAATATTATTACAAGTTCTGACCTGTACCTGAAATGAAAGAAGGGGTGGACAAATCATACAGGTTACCTTAACAATTTTTATAGAGGGGATCATCCCCTGAGAGAGGGAACTCTTCCTGAAATGATAGAAGGGGTACACGAATCAAAGAAGTCAATATATCTTACTATTTCTTTATTAACAATAGAATACAAGTTTAGACTTTACAAGTCAAAAGAATACCTGTCGCCATATTGAAACAGGACTTACGACCTGCTAAGCCGCGCACATATAAGCAAGTACCACTTCGTACAGTTCTACCGGAATAAGAAAATTAGGAAATAGTTCATTTTCGACGTTATTGAAAATGAAAATGAATATACAGGGTGATACAAAAAGAAAATTTCCAGTGCAAATAAAAAAATCTAAACACTATAGACCTTGCTCGTTTTCACTCGACAATCAAGGAAACTAATATACAGGGTGTAACAAAAAGCAAACAAAATCATTTTAGAATATACGTCAACGACAAACTTTGAAACACCACAAATATGGCTATTTTACACGTGACATCACTGGAAAATTATATACAGGGTGTTACCAAAAGAAAATCTACAATGTAAAAATGGCTTCCAAGCAATGCAGATTGGAAACTTTTGCTGAGCAAGAAAAATTTATATGCAGGGTGTTGTCAATAGAAAATCTTCGATTTATAAAGAAAATCACCCCAAAGCAATAAATATTGCTCATTTTTCGCTGAGCATAAAGGAAAATTTATATACAGGGTGATGTAAGAAAGAAAACAAAAATTCAAGTTCTATTACCTGTTTCCATCTAGATATCCAGGAGAGGTGATAGGTACGGGGATAGAACCTAATAAATAATATTTAAATTATTAATTATAATTACTACTTTTAAAAAAATACTAAATCATGATCGCTTAAACCCAGAAACTAACAAACACGTGAAGCCAATTACAAACAGAACCTAACGGAAGCGAATAGGCAGCCGACGGAACGCGACAATATTGTACTACTTGCATTACATCGTGGATTAAATGTGACCATTTTCCGAGCTTCTACTAATTTGACTGATCGTTTTTCCTTATCGGGTGATGAATCCACATTTGATTGTTTAATTAGTCGAATGATAACAGAATATAATATTTATGTTACACACCTTCTAACATTTTCGTAGGTGAAATACTCCACAAGAGGCCCAAATCGTAGTGGTAATTCAAATTAATAATTAAATGAATACACAAAACAAAACCACTAGGAATTAGGAATTCTTAGCCGACGGGAGATATCCGCCGGCCGACGGCAAATACGTGCGTATCTTGTAAAACCAGGCAATTCTGCCTTCTAATTGTAATTCTGCGCACTACTTCTAAATCTTATCTTTGTTGACCGATTTTAATTCAACTACCAACTTAAAATCACAAGAAACGCGATTAGTCGCCCAAAAACCTCCGATCAAGTAAACGCGTCTTCCCCACGCGGCACCGCACGATCGACTAAGTAAGAAACAAAACGGCTGAGCGAGCCGGACGCGCCGCAACGCAATAACAAAAAGTTGTTTATGCACAAACACCGATAAGGATCAGGAGTGAGAAATATGAACAATTCATGTTGTGGATGCAGTCCAATGCAGTGAAAAGATTGTACGAGTATATTGTGAACGTATTCTCTTATTAGTATAAACAATATATCCTAAAATCCAGAATTGAATCCAGTCAATATGAGGAGGCAGTCACGGAGATAATATGGTGAAAAATCGGGGACAAAAACGAAAAATCTCTGCACTTAGTACTGTACGAAGGTAGCGGTAGAAGTGATTCTCATTCAGGGCACCGTTCGAAGGTAATGGTAGAGGTGACTCCAATCAGGGCACCGTACGAAGGTAGCGGTAGAAATGACTCCTATTCAGAGCACCGTACAAAAGGAAGTGGTAGAAGTGACTCGTGTTCAGGGCACCGTATGAAGGTTGCGAAGTGACTCGTGTTCGGGGCATTGTACGAAGGTAGCGGTAGAAGTGACTCCCATTCAGGGCACCGTACGAAAGGTGCGGTAGAAGGGACTCCCATTCAAAGCACCGTACAAAGGTAGCGGTAAAAGTGACTTCCGAACTGCGAATATAAGGTAGCGCAAGAAAAATACAACTACATTTTGTATAAAGCACTAAAGCGATAGAAGAAACACAAGAAATTTATCATTAATACCTGTTTATCCTTGGATATCAAACAAGAATAAAAACAGGGCAATATATTTATAAAACACTAATAAACCCTATAAAACTAATAATTTTATTGAAATTTTCTTTGCTATAAGTTATCCCGGTACTCCAAAATGAAGACAAAGTGCCTGCCGATGTTATCGCTCTTCTTCACACCCGGAAGCCCATTTAAAACGTATTTTATATATATATTACAACATTAATTAATTATCAATCTATTAAACGCGTTAACGCGATTACAAAATTAAGAATACAACTGAATAACGCGTGATGAGAGTGAAAACAGCTTGGGTGGTTGAAGAAACTTCACGCTACATCATACACTACAAAAATTTTATCATGATGTAATAATATTTTCAAACTTACCAATGACGTAGCTAATCAAAGAAAGAACTGAAACAGAAAAAAAATACGTGTATTAGAACTCGCACTATGTGGCATAATTAAAGGGTGTTGTCAAAAGAAAATTCATAGATAAAAACGAGACACACCAAAACAACAAATACAGCTCATTTATGCATGGATGTCAAAGGAAATTAAGATACAGAGTGTCTCCCACGGAAATTTGCAACTTGCATTGGAAAAACAACCAAAACTTACAAGTATAGCTTATGTTTACTCAATGAAAAGGAATGCACAGAGTGTTAGAGAAAGAAAATCCAAAGTTTAAGAAAGACAAGAACCAAAATTACAAAGACAATCTATTTTCCACGTAACACCAGGATACAGAAATGGGCAGGTTGTTATAGAAAGAAAACAATTTATAATAAAATGTAATATTATTTTTTTAATAGTCCCGCTTGAGATGCTAGCCGACGGTCGACGGATCGCCATAAATTTACACTAGACACGTTCATTGTTGATGAAATACAAATAGATTTAGCAAATTAATACTACAGTTTATTAGTGTGACGCGTAATGGAAACAAAGATTCGCGATTACTTATCTTGTTTTGTTGGAGAAAACTTGTGACACAACCCGTGTTGGAGACGACAATTTCCTGATTAATTCTACTTACATGGTAGCTCCTATATTTGCTAAATAAGAACTAACAAGTTCTATTCCAATGTTGAGTTCAGTATAATTTTACAGGTGAAGAATAATCAGCGACGGCCGACGGAACAACACGCGAGGACAAATGAACTAACGATAAATCTGTGATTGATGAACATTTAACGCGATTCCTATATATGCCGTTAATTGTTCGTGAAATATAAACCGATATACCTGATTATGATCGGACGAATCAGAGCTGGTTTTGATGAACACGCGCGATTTACCCAGCGTCCGAAATAAAACTGCAACGTATACGGCCACAACACGCGGTCACTATCAGTATGCGATATGCCTGCTGAACGCGACCCTGGAGATAGGTGATTTCATTTTGCTTGTTGCCTGCATGCATCTCAAAACAATGTTTCTTCACGATTACTAATAAAGGCAGGATGTCATGAATAATAAAATAAATAAAAATGCTGAAATATTGAGAAACATTTTCCCGATTTTGTATGGTATCTAATAAAAAAATTCCCATAGATTAAAAAGTTGCAATTCATTCCTTTCTATCGCATTTATTTTAGAATATCGCGGCAAATGACAGTTCATAATGTTTAATTCGGCGCAGAAAGACAATACATGACAACCCACATGTTTTCGAAAATATGAAAACTTACTTGGCAAAACACTTGTACAGCAATATGTGTAGCAGAATATCCAGTTGAAATTATGTACATTCCATATTGGAGTTAGCACATACACCGACGGAAACAGTACACAAAACAATAAATCAACATTTTATAATAAATAATTCCACGTTCGAATTGATTCAATGGTCAATTCACTCTAAATACCATTAAGTATTGATCGAATACAGCGCAAATCACGGAATTAATTAATTAAGAACACATGTAAAGCCGGCCACTCCGTCCGACGGCTAGAATAAAACTATTTGCCAAATGTCGCCGTTGATGTCAGCAGCGTGCAGAGTACCGTTTGCCTCAGGTAACATTGCGCGCAACACACATACAAACCCAAACACTGATAACACGCACTATAAAAACCGAAAACAAGTCTTGAATTTATATGAATACAAGCCAAATTCAATAAAATCAATCTGTGTTATAATAAAAAACTACAATTCATAGCGCAACGAGAACTTGTGCGTATACACACAACTATCAATATAACTCGCGTTACGGAATTTTCTCGCAATAAATTTCGATACAGGGAAATAAAGAATTAAATTCCGCATCGAAAAAAACTATTCCGAACTTAGTTTAAGGCCGCGTTTGCGTGTGATATTAAAAAAACTACAATTCCTAGCGCAACGAGTACTAGTGCGTATACACACAACTATCAATATAACTCACGTTACGAAATTGTCTCGGAATAAATTTCGATATAGGGAATTAAAGAATTAAGTTCCGCATCTGGGAAAATTATTCCGAACTTAGTTTAAGACCGCGTTTGCGTGTGATATTAAAAAAACTACAATTCCTAGCGCAACGAGTATAAGTGTGTATACACACAACTATCAATATAACTCGCGTTACGGAATTGTCTCGCAGTAAATTTCGATATAGAGAAATAAAGAATTAAATTCCGCATCTGGGAAAATTATTCCGAACTTAGTTTAAGACCGCGTTCGCGTGTTATAATAAAAAAACTACAATTCCTAGCGCAACGAGTACTAGTGCGTATACACACAACTATCAATATAACTCGCGTAACGGAATTTTCTCGCAATAAATTTCGATACAGGGAAATAAAGAATTAAATTCCACATCTGAGAAAATTATTCTGAACCTAGTTTAAGACCGCGTTTGCGTGTGATATTAAAAAAAAACTACAATTCCTAGCGCAACGAGTACAAGTGCGTATACACACAACTATAAATATAACACGCGTTACAGAATTTTCTCGCAATAAATTTTGATACAGGGAAAGCAAGAATTAAATTTCGCATCTGGAAAAATTATTCCCAACTTAGTTTAAGACCGCGTTCGCGTGGTATAATAAAAAACTACAATTCCTAGCGCATCGAGTACTAGTGCGTATACACACAACTATCAATATAACTCGCGTTACGGAATTTTTTCGCAATATATTTCGATACAGGGAAATAAAGAGTTAAATTCCGCATCTGGGAAAATTATTCCGAACTTAGTTTACGAGCGCGTTTGCGTGTGATATTAAAAAAACTACAATTCCTAGCGCAACGAGTATAAGTGCGTATACACACAACTATCAATATAACTCGCGTTACAAAATTTTGTCGCTATAAATTTCGATACAGAGAAATAAAGAATTAAATTCCGCATCTGGAGAAATTATTCCGAACCTAGCTTAAGACGGCGTTTGAGTGTGATTTAAAAAAAACTATAATTCCTAGCGCATCGAGTACTAGTGCGTATACACACAACTATCAATATAACTCGCGTTGCGGAATTTTCTCGCTATAAATTTCGATACAGGGAAATAAAGAATTAAATTCCGCATCTGGGAAAATTATTCCGAACCTAGTGTAAGACCGCATTTGCATGTTACAATAAAAAAAAACATTTCTTAGCGCAACGAGTACAAGTGCGTATACACGCAACTATCAATATACCTAACTCGCGTTACGGAATTTTCTCGCTATAAATTTCGATACAGGGAAATAACGAATTAAATTCCGCATCTGGGAAAATTATTCAGAACCTATTTTTTTTGGACCGCGTTTGCGTGTTATAATAAAAAAAAACAATACTTAGCGCAACGAGTACAAGTGCGTATACACACAACTAGCAATATAACTCGCGTTACGGAATTTTTTCGGTATAAATTTCGATACAGGGAAATAAAGAATTAAATTCCGCATCTGGAAAAATTATTCCGAACCTAGTTTAAGATCGCGTTTGCGTGTTATAATCAAAAAAACCACAATCCCTAGCGCAACGTATCACATAAAAGATACGAGTAAGAAGCAAGGCGAAACTCGATAACCGGAATCCAAACTGAATGTGATCGAAACAAAACGTTGTATGTACATACTAAATAATGCAATAGAAAAAGAATGCAATTCCATGTAGATTCAAATTCAATTTGTCATATAATAAATTTCATTGAAAAACAGATATTTTGTTAAAGTCAACATTAATTGAATTAAAACCAAACTTAGAATTCGGTATGTAATTCGATAGTAATATTTAACACGTACGTAGCGAATTATTCCGCGAAGTCCAAAGTAAAGCACAAATTAAATTTAGTCAACAGTCAACGTAATTGATAATCTCAAAAATACGACGGCAAAGCAGTTCATGAGTAATATCGAGGGAACCGTTTTCCTCTAATCTTCGTTGTTGGGTCAGTAAACACTCAAGAAAAAACCTTCGCCAACAAATATAGTCAAAAACGAGTATTTGAAAATCAAAATAATGGAATTTTCTGTATATATGTATGTGAAAAGAATTTAATTGTTAACTCACCCTTCAATCACGTGAAAATCGTAATACACAAACATTTTATGCCCGACGTATTATCGCATGGCCGTAGCACGAAAACTAAACATATATAGTCGATGGTTCATCAAATATAACACAATTTATGGAGATGTAATCACAAGAATTCGTGGAGAGAACCAAAAGACGCGCACGGATCGCGTGACTGTCGATACGAAACTGCCTGCACTCTCCTGACTATGCCTAGAACGCAGCGATAACACGCAAAAATCGGCGATAAGACTACGACAATCTTGCGTCGAGTGCAGCAAAAACTTGTTTACACACAATGAATATAAGAATTGTGAAGACAAAATACCTGCTTCGTATTTATTGCCAATAGATGCATACTAGTGTCATCTCTGACAACATTGTAAAGTTATAAAATATTTTATAACAATTTAAAGTCAATTTGTTATTGATTATTTTGGGCTGAATTCAATTCTCTATTTAATGATTATCAAACGCGGCATGTCATTAATAGTTATGTGAACCAACAGGAATGCTTATTGAATTCCAACGCGTAGGGTAAGAATGGGGTAAAAAATATGTGCCACCAAATTGAATTCCTCAGTACTCGCATAGGAATGCAAGAATTGCTTAATGAACTTGACTGTGAGGATAAAGTTTAATCATGCTATTAAATTATAAAATAAAACCATACAATTATAATTTGATACAATTTTACATCTGATTATTAATTTTAATAAAACATGCAAGAAATATTAAATAGTTGCAACAAGAATCTAATGTTTCACTAATGAATAGAATTTTAAAGTAAAACATTACAATTGTATTTGCAGACAGAAAAATATCCTGATTATTTATGTAAACATACTGTATAGTCTTCGGCGTTTCTCTGCGCATCTCACCGTCTTCCTATAAATATCTAGCATTCCTCTTGTTTCCTTCATTTCTCGCGCTGACGCTCAATCATGAAGTTTCCGGAAGTGGTGTGCGCTCTTCTCCTAATTTTTAATTACAATCTACCATTAAATGCAAACCAAGAAAATCAAATATTTCACATTTCGCTAGATCAAGACGGTCACATAACTCTCGATTGGGCTTTGGATTACATAAAAGAAACAATTTGGTTTGAAGTGCATTTACCGCGCGACGATTTCGGTTGGTTCGCATTTGGTTTTTCAGATTTTGGAGAACCTTTCCCAGCGGATTATTATCTACTGTGGACCGATTGGAAAAATAGTGTTACATTACAAGTAAGTTTTTAAGTCAACGACAATCTTTCAACTAACTAATAAAATTTCTGAAGGATGCATGGGCAGACGAAAAAGGTGTTCTGCATTTGGATAAGCACCAAGATACTATCGGCTACCATATGAAACAACGAGGAGATGTGCTAAAATTTACCTTCCATCGAAAATTTGATACTTGCGATCCTAACGATTACGTAATTCAAGATGGCACAACGCATTTGGTATGGTCGAAAGGTCCCGACGTGGTCCACCACCTGCGCGGTTTAAATATTACCACTCGTGATTCGGGAATGGTACGGACACAACTACTCAAGAATTTAAACGTCCCCACTAAACCGCCACCGTCTGAAAAATTAGAAATCCGCGTTGATCATGTGAATGTGCCCAGCTCGGACACCACCTACTGGTGTAAAGTTGTCAAACTACCTGAAAAATTTAAACAGAAACATCACATTTTACAATATGAAGCAGTAATTGAAGAAAAAAATCAAGGACTAGTACATCATATGGAAGTATTTCATTGTATTGCACCTGTGGGTGAAACTATACCAGAATATGCAGGATCATGTTTTGGGTCCGACAGACCCGCAAGCACGCAAGTTTGTAAGCGAGTGCTGGCGGCTTGGGCAATGGGCGCAAAAGGTTTTGCATATCCGGAAGAAGCTGCTCTTCCAATTGGAGGACCCGATTTTAATCCATACATTATGTTAGAGGTGCATTACAACAATCCGGAAAAGCATTCCGGTTTGGTAGACAGTTCAGGAATCAGATTTTATGTGTCGTCAAAATTACGAGATATGGACGCAGGCGTTATTGAATTGGGTTTAGAGTACACCGACAAAATGGCGATTCCACCCAAGCAGGACTCATTTTCACTGAGTGGATATTGCGTGGCGGAATGCACATCAATCGTAAAAATTAGCAATTAATCAAAATATTAATTAAGAATTGAATTATACATGGTTTCAGAGTGTACCGCCAACTGGTATAACAATATTCGGATCGCAATTACACACACATTTAACTGGAATCCGTGTACGTACTCGACATTTCCGTAATGGCGTAGAATTGCCCGAGGTGAACCGCGATGATCATTACAGTACTCATTTCCAAGAGATAAGAAGATTAAAACAACCGGTTGTTGTGTTACCCGTACGTTTTCTTATCTCCTTCCCTGTTCCGGAGATTAATTCTATATTTGCAGGGTGATGCACTGGTGACGACCTGTGATTACAGGACCACGTCGAGAAACAACATAACCCTTGGGGGGTTTGCAATTAGCGACGAGATGTGTGTTAATTACATTCATTACTTTCCAGCGATCGATTTAGAAGTCTGCAAGAGTTCCATCAGTGACGAAGCCCTCAAGACATATTTTCAATACATGCATGAGTAAGATTTATTAATTTACAAATTAAAAAAATTGAGTAAACATAAAATGACATTTCTTTAGGTGGGAAAATCAAGATATATCTGAGAAAAAAGGAATTTCCTCAAATTATGCATCAATTGAATGGAATAAAATGCGTGTTGAGTTGTTGAAAGATGTATATCTCGAGGCTCCACTAAGTATGCAATGCAACATGTCTAGCGGCGACCGCTTTCCCGGATATTGGGAAAATACCCCTCGCTCTACAGTCCTCAAACCGCTACCGCCGCCGCAGCGAGAATGTTTCAAAGGCTTCAATGAAAACTAATCTTTAATCTTATTTCCAACTACAAATAAATAAAAACTATCGTTATATATATATATACAATATCTGGTTTGTTAACCACATTACAAAGTAGACTCTAGCGATACAATTGTGCATTCACATTGTGTGATTTTTGAGCATTTAGAACACTAGAATATGAATAAAAACCGCGCAGAATTGTAATGCTGAAAACATTGAAAACCATTTATTTTTATTACATCTAGTAGTTATTTATATAATTACAAATACATGAAAACTTCCTTAAAAATACCTATCATCATATATATTTTACATGTTAATGTATTCTTCTATACACTACTTAACGCCTAATTTAACCCAAAAATAAAGCCGCCAGTTACAGCAAAAAAGTAATTAAAAATGTGTGTGTAAAGCAAAAAAACGGAAAATTTTCCAATAAAGAAAAATTAAAAATAAAGTCTCGATTCAGACCAATCGCAATATAATTCATTTGTGTTTCAACGATTTTTAATTTGCTCGTTTATAATGATTAATAAATTCATTTCGCATCCACATGTTGGAATTATTTAGTTATGCATGTATGTATATGTTGCTGCTTGCTGAGATTGCGCGCAGCGACAATCACTCGGGCAGGTCGCCGTCTGCCTGCACAGACGCCTTTTGGACAAAACACGATCGAGCTACAGATTCAAACAATCTGAAATAATCATACATCATTAAATCTCCTGATAAAACAAACCAAAATGATATTTTAACAATTTCTACTCACTTGTCAATTTCATTTGCACAATGAACAAATTCGTGTGTCCAAAACTTGTACGTCGGATTCTTGATTAGTTCGATAAAAGTAATCAGCAACCCCCACGGATGAGGTCTGTTCACAATAAGTCGTTCCAGCAAAACACGCGTAATCTGCTCTTGTATGGCTTCCGTGTTGGCCTGTTCAAACAAGTGCAGCAGTGTGCAGGAGAAGTAATGCGTGTGGCTGTTTGGATAACGCAGTTGATTGGCAATTGCGTTCAAGAAGAGGAAGCGTCCCTCCGTGTCCAAATCAACAGCTAGATTCTGGAAGATGTCCATATGGGCACTATGCGCGATTGTTGTCATATTCGGCGTGAGGTTCTTGCCACGGATATGAGCAATCGCCTGAGTGCCCACGTACAATACCAGCGCATTCATCAGCGGAATATTGTACCGCATGCCGGGTTCGTTCGACACCTGCAGATTACTGCGCAGTTCCGAGAGGAACGTCACGGGTGTGCGCAATTTCAGGTAAGAATCGAGATCCTTTTTGAAAGTCACAGGTGCAATCATTGTCGCGAAGTTGGTGAGGACACGCGGCCCGAAAGCAATTTCCTGCAGTATGTCCACTTTCAAATTAGGTGTGAACGGATCGGGCAATCTCATGTTGCGCGGAAACGCCGAGAGTATCAAGTTTCTCATTTGTATACAATTCGGTGGGATGACATCACAAAATCCATAGTGATAGTCGCACAAAAATTCGGGGAAGTCATGAAGCAAGACAAGAAGAACACGGAGTGTGCCCTTGTAGAGCATCGTCACAGGTTTCGCGAGTTCTGCGTTGCGCAGGAACGGCGATAAGTACTTGAACAAATCAATCAACAGTTGTGCATACATAGCCCATCCTTTCTGTTGAGGTGTAGCGGCCAACATGCGTCCCATAAAGACGCGATGAGAAACAAGTTCCAGCCACGCATAACAGAACCCGGCGGCTTTCGACGGTCGCAAGATATGCAGCGTGTGACAATACGCAGTGAGAACATGGAAATTGATCGCCTCCAGAACAGGCTCCAACGAATTCAGCTCCAAAAAGAGCATAATGAAGATTCGATGGTACGGGAACTGCTGAAATTCAGTTCCGCGCTGCTCGTGATCCTGCAGCAGACAACCGGCGACAATGCCTAGCACCTTATTGAGCAAATGAATTTTAGTTGTGGTGTTGTTGGAGTCGCCCGAATGCTTGACGAGCAAGGCAACCAGCCGTACAAAGGCGTCAAGGGTGTTGAAGCACTTGGCACGAATGTGCGAATTGGTGAGCGGTTGGTCACTCATGGTACGATACACAATCTCGACGCACATCTGTGTGGATAAGCGGAAGAAGCGTGTAATGAGATCATCGGTCTTCAAAATACCTTGCAGGTTCATCTGGTGAACAAAGAGGCTGAACGCCTTGGTCGAGTCACGTCCAGTGGGCTGTGCGTTATAAATGGTGATCCATTCGCGGATGAGGTATTCTGTCTTGTCCATGAGACCGGGTGGGTCTTCGTAGTTGGGCGCGCGTACCTGCAGGATACCATTGTGAATCTGTACAACAGGACCACCACCACGATCACTCATGATGGACTGATCATGTTGCTGGCGTAACACCTCCAAGACCGCTGTAAGCGCATCAGGAGGTGGTCGCAAGTGAGAATTGATCTTCATCATCATTTCGATGGTATTGCCAAAGTCAGCTTCTGTCACATACTGGTTGGATCTGTCATCGATTAACAGACTTTGTACTAGGACGGTGGCAAGTGTTACAGCTCTGTAATTGGGGCCGTTTTCCATGCATTGCGCTAAGGCCAAATCAAAGGTGGGCATGTTGACCAAACCAGCTCGAATAAATGTCTCGGGCGCAACTTCATTGAAGCGTGAATCATCACGGAAGTCCGTCAAGAATCGAGTGACGTTTTTGTTAATCCACTGCTGGCCATAGGCACGTGGATCTTGCAGTGATTTCAAAATTCGCACGATAATTTCTTTGAATTTGTTGTTCACAGGGTCGGAAGTGGGTAAAGCTGCTTCTTGCATAGATTCAACACACTATCGCAACAACAAAAACATTAGAATACATATAAACTTGGTTGAAATATAAATTCTTCTTACTTTTTGGATTGTTGCAATATTAGATCCAATTTCCCTGTTGTGCATCGAGAACATCAGACATTCTCGGATAAGTACCATGCAGTCGTACATCGTGGCATAAATTCCCTGCCCATTTGTGGCCTGGATGAATTGATCGGCCTCAAGCGCCAACTTCTCGAAGAGCGTCACCAAATCGTCGGATTGTGACATCTGGAACGATGTGGTCGTGTGCGTCGGTGGAGGTTCCATCACCACGGTCGGTTTCGGTATGAATAGGGCACTGTCGCGTTCAGACAACGGCAGGAATCCGGGTATATTTCGAGCAAATTCTTCATAAACGGACATCTGCAATGGACTGATACCGCCAACTTTAAGACGAATTTGCTCTGGCATACGCTCGGCCTGATATGTCAACGCGACCGCATCGCAATAACGCCTAAAGTACAAAGTGTGACATTTTATAATCAAATTAAATCAAAAGACAGACATCAGTGTCAATAAAAAATTATTAGTTAGTATTGATGTTACTAAAACAAAATGTGCGAAAAGCACAGCCAAGCTGATATACGCACAGTAAAATTATAATAATTGTTTACTTTTACTTGTTAAACGAATCTAAGTTTTCACTAACCGTCCATCCTGTCGAGCGATCTTCCTCAATTCGAATTCGCTGATAAGTCTCTTGTCCATTTCAGGTATCGCCTTCTCAATGGCTGTCTTCTGAATGAAAGCGCACGCGAACTCCATGTTGTCCTGCGCAATAATGCTCGCGGCCTGCTCGATCATTTCTCGTTGCTGCGTGGTGGGTGAATTAAAAGCGGATTTAATCGCAACCTTAAATTGCGTGTTAATCGAAGTCAATAGCTGGTCGCGGCAGGTGATCATTGCCATGCCGGCTGTCAAGTTGCGCACCATGTAATGCGATGCCGAGCGCATCCTATTCTCATCGGGATCCAGCGCAAAGTCCTTGCGGATGATGTGTTCGCAAGTTTGCAGCGCGATTTTGATGGAGCGATCGACGACAGGCGCAATCCAGTCTTGTACAGCGCGATCGATTGCTGATTTCACAAGACTCTTCAGCTGCGGCTGTGCCTGAAAGAGGAGGATCGCTGGGCTAATCGTGATGTGCGATTGGAAAGTAGCGTTGTTCGATAACTGAATGTCCGTGTAGGCAAAGCGAGGCTCGGGTGCCGCCACGTTCGATGTCGGTGTGGTGCTGTTATTCTGCGCGACCGGTGGTGTGCTCGCCGCCTGTGTTGATACCTGATTTAACTCCGGTTCGTTCATTGCAGATTGAATGCTTAGCTGCGTTGTCAATTGCGGTGGTCCTTCTTTCTTCATAGCCTGAGTTCGCAACTGGTACTCAAGTTTTCGCAATACTTCGGGATCTTTAAGGATTGTCGTCGGTTTCAGATTTGTGATTTCGATGTCTAGTGTTTTGCAGAGCACCTCAATTTCGAATTTAAGGTTGAGCTTGAGATCAGGTTCTTGATGCATCTCGGCGAGCACATTCATGATCGCAATTGTCCACGGATTAGGTGATTTGAAAACTCGGCTCTTTGCGCATGACTCTAGAATCTTTGCAATAAACGGAACGATATAGAGCAGTTCTTGTTGCCCTTTGTGATACGCTTCAATCAGAAGGCTTTTTAAGTCAATGTCGACTTGTAGAATTGGTTTGTTGCGACCCAGAGTCATCATTCCCAACCAATGGCCAAGATTTTTCAGCAGAGATCTGTCGGAAAAGTTATCGATGACTTTGTCGGACCGCAGAAGTACCTTGATGTTACGGAAGGTTTCCTTCGTTACCATTCGGTTCACCTCAGGAACTTTCAGCACGTCCAGAAAGTTCGAGTACAACTGATGGAAATTCAACTCAATTGATGCGCGTTTCATGACGAGATATTGTGAGATCCAAGCCCAGTATTCATCGGAGACAACGTCTCTCAGCTCATCGCATTTCTTTTGTAAGTTAAGTTGGCTTAAATTGTTGAAAATAAAAGCAATTTTGTCTTGAATCTGTTCAGGTGGTGACATCATTTCCTCTTTCTCTGTTGCTACAAGCAACGTATCGATGTTGGTGGCGTTTGCAATTGAAGGCCGACTTCCTAAGCTCGTTCCAGAGCTGGTGCTAACTTTGCTCACCGAGGAAGATGCTGCAGTAGATTTATAAGGTTGCACGGCCTGTGGAGGACCGAGAACCGCTGCTAATGTGCTTGGCAACACAGGTCCTTGCGGTTTAGTTGGGGGTTCCGCGCTCTGCAAACCATACTCAACATACTCGATCAAATGTGGCGGAAAGTCAGAGAAATGCGGAATGGCGCGTACATGCTCGCAATACTTGTGGTACTCCTTCAGACGTGTCTTAAATCGATCCAGCGCTGCGATACCAAAATAGTACATCTTAGTACCCTCCGCTTTGCGCAGTGCATCAAGAACAAAGCGCAGAGCTAAGCCCAGCGCCATGTAACTCGTGACAAGTCCACGTTCGATAATGCCGCCAAACAACTGCGCTGTAATGTGCAACTCTTTGTCGGGGTATTGTGGAAAGAATTTGTACTCTTCGAATAAATTTCGTAGCATACAGTGGAACACCTAAAACAGCAACAATTTAAAATAATGCCCAAATAGTTAAAAAAATTAACAAACTCACTTCTCGTTCTCGTTTCATAGGAGATTCCTGGAATCGCTTTAACATTTCGAGAACCTCATCGATAGATAACGTCGGATGTGGCGGATGGTTGTATATCCGCTGGAAGTAGCTGTTCGCTTCGTCCTCGATGTCCTTGGGCACATTCGGAGCTATTTCTGGGAAGAGCGTGCTATCAGGCATTCCGGTTTTTTGTATCCCAACAGGGTTTGGACCCATGCGGCCCAAAGTACTGAGAGTCCCAACAGGTCCTTGATGTTGCATTGGCATAATCGAAAAAGGGCTGTTCGAAGGCCCAGCAAGGATTCGATTAGGTGAACCAGGTGATTGCACCAAAGGTCCTAAACCACCTTGCAATGTAAAAGCAGAATTAGTTTGGCCAGCCAAGGACATATTCGCCAATGATGAGCCTATAGATGAGACTCCTTCGGCCGCAGTCGAGCTAAATAATGGTCCCGCAATACTAGATGGATTAAATCCTTCCATACCGCGATGTGGCCGCAACAAGGTGGTCTGTTGCGCTTGTTGTTGCTGTTGCTGCTGCTGCTGTTGTTGTTGTTGTCGGGTACTTAACAAAATCTGATAGTTGGACGCAATTGAGGCGATCGCGTCGTGGCACTCTGGACTTAGATTAATAAGTTGCGTATTCCGCAAACAGATTACAATAGTCGTTAGTGTTTCAGAGGGCAGCATATTGGGTTTTAACGCATCGTCACTTTTTCCCAGTATTTGTGGGCATCTGCGATGCAGAAACTTGATACATGCAGAGACAAAGTTCTCGCCGTGTTCGCGTATTTTATCTTGTAGCCATTTTTCTAGCTTGAGGTATTCGCGCCGCGATGCAAGACACGCTAAGTCGATAATAAACGGATACGATTGTACATTTAATAGCATAGAGAGGGCCTTCAAGTCTTGTGCTACATCCAGAATTCTGGATAATCGCGCTTGATCACCTTCGCCTCGCGCGTACCATTCCGCCATCGCGTGCATTATCGCCGGCTTGATGCTACCGTTCTGCGAGTGCCAAGCATGATGTAGAATGATCGCAGAGTTCGCGTGGTTGCCTAAAAACACCGGAATCAGAACAGTGAGAAGTTCCTGGCGTAGCATATTTAGCGGACCTTGGATGTTAAGTAACGCAAGAACTAGTACATCAGGGCAGTTTTGAATGGGAAACTTAAACAAGTCCTGCACTTGCGAGTAACAGCCGCACTCTGCGATAGAAAGTAACACTTCGACCACGTTCATTGACCGCCACGTCGCCAATTCTTTGGTGTCTTGTTCAGGCGGCGTTTTGAGCAAGTCTACCGGCACCAGCGTGCATGGATAGTCCGAAAACGCGAACACGTCCGGATTTTTCAAAATCTGTTGTAAAAGACTCAGTTGGCCTTCAATATTCACCCAACGCCGGTAAAAATGTTCCACGGGAAATGTCTCATTCCGAAAACCGGTGGCCGACAGGCCCAGTCGCAGCGCGTTTATTAGAAACACCAAACTTTGTCGATCTCTGATTAGGAACTCGGGCTGGTCCAGCTCGAACATCACGTTGCTCCACGAAAGATTCTGCACGGTCTCCATGAGCGCCTGTACAAAAACCTCCGCATTCCACGATGTACACCTGCCATCAGCCGCCTTGTTGAAAGATCCAGGCGTCTGAATATTTAACGACTCATCCAGCCCGTTTGCTGTGCGGCACATAACGATCAGAATCTTGGCGACCTGCGCCGGCGTGATGTCATTGCGATTTAGTTTGAGTAGATAACTTCGGCATTCCTCATGTGAAGCAGTGAAGCCGTAGCCGAGCTCCTTGATGAGATCCGCCATCGTGCAATCCATGATGCCGCCGGCAAGACCCGGGCCCTCGCCCGACATCTCCGGCGCGAGTTCGCTATCCTCCGGATAGACCAATGGCGCTAGTACGACAGGTACGCGCTCCTTGGGAAAATCGCGTTGAAGAGCGTTAAGGAATGCCGCCTGTAGGTCGGCGGCGACACCGAGATCTTTGGGGCACGTGAATACCGCTGAGAGGATGATATGCAGCACCTCCGGTGTGGTCTCGTGCAGTCCGCCCTCGTGCTGGTTGCCGCTGCCCTCAGTGTCGACGTAGGACTTGACCAGCGGCGGCACACAGCTGCGCAGGTGTGTTTGGCAGTGCGCTAGGACTTCTTTGTTGGAGGATTGGAGCAGGGCAAGTGCAAAGACCACTTCTTGGACAGCTGATAGGCGAAGGCACTTGCACAATTGTGGAAAAAATTGGCTTCCAACTTTTAAACTCTGCAAATGCACGCAAAATAATTATTACCATATACATTGTTTTCGAATAAATTGCAAACATCAGCAATATTTCCAAATCTGATTATTTACCTTGTGATTGATTAAAGTACTGTCGGTAATGTAACAAATTGACGAGACCAATGATGGCTTGTTGAGCAGGGTTGAACAATAGTCTAGGAGAACCTGATTATGGATTGTGGGTGTTGCAATCTTGCTTGATGATTCACTGAAGTCCACAGAGTGAAAAAGACATTGAAGCAAGTGTCTATCAGCTTCTAATCCATGTAGGTTCACCAACTGCAGAAGAAAGACAATAAATACAACGAATTAACCTGATGAATCAATAACATTTGTGCCGAAATAAGATTGAAACGCATTATTCGTCGAGGCAAAAAAAAAAAATGCAGAATGTACACAAATCAAACACCTTTGTTCGTGTTGCAGGCTGCTCCGCTCCGATGGCTGAGCATATTTGCTCCCGACAGCTCTACATCCTGAAGCGACGCAACCGCGTGGATTTCACAACGAATTGGCACAAGAACGCGAACCAACATAGACCTCACTTGTGACCCTAATTCGCCATACTAATTTATTGGCGAATATTTTGCGGCAAACAAATAGTGTCATTTCTGAATGAAAGCAGTCGGCCACAACGCAGCCGACCAATAAAAAAACATCCTTAGACTTGTAAACTAGGCCGTGTTGCCAAATCTTCTAGGTACTAACAGAGCCCAGAGCAATGAACAGAAAATAAAAAAATATCTGATGAATGTTTATAACATAACCACAAGTGCACTTGTACACAAGGCTTATCGAAAATTTATCGCAAGTAACATGACTGCACTTGCACCGATTGAACAATATGTGCCAATAATTGTCGAGTGGTGTGTTGCGTACCGTTAGCAGTAATGCATGCAAAATAAGCTTACTCACTTCCACTGGCGAGCAGGTTATCACGACGGACTACATGATTCCGAGTTTTATCACACTGAGAGGCTAAAAACTACCGAAATTTTGTGAGTTTACACGCACAGCACATACCGGACTGTCGTTACGGCCGACGGCGTTTGTTTGTTGTCGCGAGAGCAGCTTTCGCCCGGCCGCGGAGCAGCAGCAGCAGCACTGGCAACGCTGGCTTTTCGCATTGTCGGAAATGAAACAATATGGCGGACTGCGTTTGTCCACCACAGGATGGGGCTGCGCAGGGTTCGAACTTACCTTTTGCAACTCGGCTTCGACCTGCCGATGGTTCTTCCGTGCGATCGACGCAACCAAATAACTGATCTGTGACAAAGTAAAAGACAACGAGTCCAGGTTCATAGTTCCATGGACGAGGCCTCGAAAGCTTCAAATAGGTTTGAAGCTTTCTCAGGTATCCACGGTTCCTTTATCCAGAAGGGCTTGTCTGTGTACGGGCAAATCGGATCACGATGGTCTTGGACCATCATCGAAACTTTCATTAGCTCGCACTAACGACACTTGGAGGACTATCCGGCACGTTCGCGCTACGCGATCATCGTCGTCGCCCGAGCAGTCGCACACATGCACACAAATAATAATACTGGCCGAATTGCGGTGCGCTGCGCACACGTCAAAAGCGCGACGGACGGTTTTAAGTTTACGCCGTTGCCGCTGTCGAGGTCGACGCGTGTCGGCGAAGCGAACGTGTAACTGGCTGGCTTGTTTAGATCAGAATCATGCTTAATTTTTATCAGTATAATTTTGCGAGTTTTTTTTTTTTGGATTTTTATATATTTAATGTGTCAAATTTTGTTTTCGTATGAATTGATGCTTTTGACAATTTCAGTCAACTTCAAATAAATACGCATCCTCATTCAAAACAAACAAAACACAAATTAATTGTTTTTAACTTGGTGTGATTGCAATTTAAATTGCTGAAGTTGAAAGTATGATTTACAACTGTAAACATAAATATTTACTTAAGGAAGGAGTATCGATGTCCAAATGTTTGTTTGTTGATATAATAATTTGCTTATTATGCTATTGATAAACTCAGATAAACTCAGCAATATGATTCGCTACCAACTTTTTTTATACACTAATAATATAAAATTATTTATAATTTAAAATTCTCACATTTTAATGTTTTTAAAACAGGCGATTGATACCAAAATCAAACATCTGCGTGCAACACTGCTAAAGATAAACCTAACCTACAATTTCAAGTTTAAAAGTTGACACATGTTTAAAAAAAGTCACAAAACCATCAAAGAATTTTTTTTAAATCTATTTTAATTTTCATTGTCACCGTTACTTCACCATTTAATTTTAATTTTAATTCTACAAAGACTAATGGATTTTAACACATCGAATTTGGCATGGAACAGATCATTTTCGGCACCTGATATTTCAAACACCGGACCGTTATTTCGACGAGTCATAATTGAAGAACAGTACTTTCCACATAACCACGGTACGAACGTATCATATCACACCTCAGTCTTATCAGGGCCACCAACACGTCATTTTAGCTGTGATCAATTATCCACACTAACAGGTGAGAATAGATGATAAAATATCATTTATTAGTTCTTAAAATTATCTAATTTAATAGATAAATCATCCAATTCATCATTTATCAAACCACCAATAGTTGCACCATCAATACAGACTTCAACCCCAGTTAGAAATGAGAAAATTCTAGAAATTATGGCTCCTGACTCACCCATGGATGTTGACTTGTTGGATGTAACAGAATCTGACATTATTATAAAGACTGAAAAAGATCCTGACTCAACACCACCAAAAGAATCTAAGGAACCAACTATTCTAGACTTTGTAGACTTAACATTTCAAGGAATGACACCAGTCCTTACAAAGAAGTTACCAAAATCCGAGAAATTATCAAAAAAGTCTTCAAAAAAGAAAGAATTACATAAAACCAAAAAAGGTTTTTCATTATTTAAATCTCTAGTGGCTGTGGTAATCCCAGCTTTGTTAGGTGTTGCATATTTTCACGTCAATAGCTATAATTATCATATAGAATTAGGCAACTTTCAGAATGAGTTAGAAAGTTCATTAGTTGGGCAATCTGAGGCAATAAGCAAATTGACTGAAGCTATGCCCAGTTTTAAAAGTGCTTTAAGTATGCCAGAGAAGCACTTGTTAACATTACTAGGTACTACAGGTGTTGGTAAAACACACTGTGTCAATGTGATTAAACGAAAATTCATGCCAAAGCAAATAGTTGAGATTGACATCGACACGTTGGATATTTCAACATATAAAGATTCTCTTAATTCATACACAAATGCACCGCATTTAGTCATTTTTGACGACCTTAAGTATAAGCATATTCCTAAATTGACTGAGTTACTAAAAGTAATTCCGGAAAACAGACGAGTGTTAGTTGTAGCTGTGTTCAATGTGCAGGAGACTGATGACTTCAAATCGTTCACGATTAATAATCAATTGTATGATATAATTCCAGTAGAATTACAACCAACTGATTTTGTTTCACATACAATTAAATTCGAAAGTTTCGGTACAGATTTCGCACAAATTCATTTGGACGAATTTTCACAAGTTTATTCTGAAAAAATTAAGACAATTACCAACTGGAAATCGCTGTTAGAGTCACACGACTTCAGGACCTTTGGTTTTAAAGGACTGTTTGAAAAGATGAATATTTTAAGTAAATAAATGTAAAATGTTACCCTTGAACATGTTTGTAATAAATTTGCAACGAAAATTCTATGATTTATTTCTTCTTCGACTTCTTTGCTGGGATCTTGGGCTCGTTGGGCTCGACTTTGATTTTGTGTTTGTTTTCGCTTTCTGTCAAAGGTGCGACACTGAAACCTTCCACATACGGACTGACTAATTGCAGAACGAATTTTTCATGCTGAATGTTTTTGCTATCCAAGCTCAAACGGACTGTGACAGGATCAAAAGCATGGAGGACAACGTCACCGCTGGTTTGTGTTTGTTCCTGTTGAGAAATGTTATAGAAATTATTATGTTTCACAATTATAAAATTAGGTAACTTACTTCTTCATCATAAGAGAAAATAGCGGACGTCATGCCTTTTTGCGCAATGTACAGAGTACATTCAAGCCCGAATTTTGGCAGTAAAATCTGTAAAGCGTTTTTACGTACATAGAGAATGTATCCTTCCTCGTCCTGAATTTTTCCTTTAAAGAACAACTAAAAAAAAAACAATATTACTATGCAAAAAAACCAAAACATAATAATTTTATATTTACATGGGTATTGAAAGCAACTGAAGCTCTTCCTGCATACTGCGCCATACGATTTCGATAATTCAAATTTTTGCATAGTTCATTCGACTTTCGCTTATCCAATAAGTCTGGATAAGTAGCGTCAGCACCCACGGAGACAGCCAATAAACGATGTACAATAATATCAGCGTACCGACGAATTGGTGAAGTAAAATGAGTGTAAAGCGGAACAGCCAATCCATAATGAAAGAATTCTTCTTTCTGGAACATTCCGCTAGCAAAGTAAACAGCTTGCAGCATACAACGCGTGGCCAGGATGCGCAACATCGTGTTTTGGTATAAATTCGTTGGACACACAGCGTTATCCAAAGATGTAGCGAGGTTTTTACCGGATTCCACATTTATATCAAATCCCTATATAAAAATCAAGTTATTTTTTTTTATAACGCTGTTATTAAAAAGTGAAATATTTCTTACTAAATGTTTTCCTGCCTTAATCAAAGGCTCAAAATTACTCGGCGGTGGGGTTGGATGTCTTCTCAACATGGCGCAATCAGGAAAATCTTCTAGAATCTTCTCAGCTACGCTAATATTAGCCAACAACATGAATTCTTCAACCATTGAATTAGTGTCCAAAAGTTTTTTAACTTCTACGTCGATGGGATCATGCGTTTCGGAATCCATGTGAATTTTGACTTCCGGAGAGGCCAGAACTAATGCACCACGTAGCAAACGTCGCTTTTTCATAATTTTTGCTAACTTGTTTAAGTTACGCAGCGATTTTGCTATTGAATGCTGTTGTTTTGTGTCGTCGATGATAATCTGCGCCTCTTCGTAGGTCATAGCTTTCTTTGATTTAATGATACTTTTGTGGAAACGTACATTGAGGATGTTTGCGCTGCGGTCCATCTCCCAAATGCACGAGAAAGCGAAACGCTCTTCCCCTCCGCGGAGTGAACATAAGTTTGAACTTAATAATTCAGGAACCTAATAAATTATATCATAAAAACGAAATTTTTTTTTTCTCTGAATTGTTTCATTTAAAAAAATTGATTCTTACCATATCGATACGGTTGGCAACCAAATATACAGTGGTAGCTCTAGAGGCCGCCTCCAAATCCAAAGCTGTACCAGGCCGAATAAAATGCGATACGTCAGCGATATGAACTCCAATTTCTAATTTTCCGTCATCAATTTCTCGACAATGCAAAGCATCATCAATATCTGTACAACCTGGAGGATCAACTGAACAAATATCCAAATCTCTCAAATCAACACGAGCTTTTACATCATCTTCGGTGATAGACCAAGGCATTTGCGGTAGAAAACTGAGTACCTCTTCAGAAAACTTACTGTGAGGCACATCATGCTCCAAAAGAATGACTTCATTTTCAGTTTTTTGATCGCCTATCTTCCCTAAAGCTCTTACAAAATGCCCCTAATACAAAATAAATTGTTTTTTATTCACAATAATTGTATACAATTTATTATTACTTACATTTGGATATCTTGAATGTCTTGGCCAACTATCAATGGCCACAATCAATTTCTGCGTCTTTAAAAACTCCGCCTGACGAGTTTCAATCCTAATCTTGGGGATTTTCCTTTCCGCAGGAACAAACAAATGAAACACACCGTCTAAACTACTTGGTTGTAGAATACCACAATATTGTCTCCATTTTCTCCTGACAATTCCTACAACTTGACCAGTAGGCTTAACATTTACCTTTTGTTTGTCACTTAAATCCATCAGCTCCTTTTCTTTTTCCAAAACTTCCTCAACGCCTTCAACATTACTCTCGTCTTCCAGAATAATATCACTAGGAGCAACCCAGTCTTCTTTTTTCAGCAGCTCAATCGCAACTACATCACCATCAACTGAGCGATTCAACCCACTTCTACCCTGAAGCATGATTGGCTCATCATACCCATCAACAGTGACATATCCTTCAAGGAAATTATCTTGAGAACATCTAAACGTCCCTTGGAGATATTTCCCATCTTTAAGACCTTGCATAATTTGCTCGGTGGAGAAATGCGGAGGGAAGAAATCATCAGCGTCAACTTTAGCGTGGAAATCTTTCCGGGACAGTTTATCTTCCAATACTGCTAGATTAAGTGACTTCACATAATCTCCAACTAAACAAATGGCAATTTAATTGATAAAAATATAAAAATTAAATTATTTATCTTACTTGTGCATGATTTAATTTTTTCAGTGATTGCTTTCTTTCGATTTCCGGCATCATCGGTTATAAGAATAAATTTCTCATCAGGTAGGTGATTTATATACCACTTGCATGCTTGTCTTATACATCTGTCATTGTAATCATTTACTATTTCACCTTTTTCTTGTTGAATGTATGTTTCACTAAGAATTATTTATTATCAATAAAAAAAATCTATTATATTTAAAATTTGTTACTTACTGGTGATGATCATTAGTAAATATAAAGAAATGCCTTGTTGGATTCTCAATCACACTCATAAGTCTTTTATAAGTTGGTAGGTTTCGATGTTTGACTTCTTTCAGCACAGTGTGCAAGATAATCACATTTCCAATAGCATCTTCTTCCAAAATATCCATCTAAGTATTATTTTATGATTAACACAAATTGTAAAAATATTTTTTAAGACTTATTTACCTGATCTAAGATAACATTTGTATCCAACACAATAAAATGGTCATACTTGTATTTACTGCTTTTGTTTTTAAAAGATTTTGAAAGAGTGGTATCATCAACTACACAATGTTCACATGTGGGGACACCGCAATAGATATCATCGCGTATATAATGTTCTCTTATGTTCTGGAATGTATATAAATTGATGTTAAATTTGAAGATAATCAAAGGTAAACTTAAAAATGAATCTGTTTTACCTTAACATAGTTTCCGACTTTGTTTTTTCGTATAAACGACTTGGTTGTAAACATTGTTGCACTCTTAATTAACTGTTATAATTATCTTCACTATTATCACCGTAAAATTAATATTTTTCGTGTGATATTTAATGTAAAACAGTTGAAAGAAACAAACAACGTCGTCTCACATGGCGCAGAGGTTATGTTTAAATTTTTGAATGGTATACTTACAGTTGCCTACATTACTGATGTAAAATTACGAAATAAATGTACATGCACAAAGGATTGACGTTCTTTATTTGACAATAACAAAGGTTTATGCACTATATAATCAGTGAAAACAGGATTAACTAATTCAATAGCTTACGTTTGCCAAACAAGATAATAAGTCACATGTAAACTGCTCATTTTCAAGAACATAACAGGTTGATTTATCGCATCGCATGTTTCATCATCTGAGTTATCATTAAAAGATGCTTTTAAAGTAATGGCGTAGATTATTTCCTGACCGTTGAAATCCACTAGTACCGGAGCACCTTCGTCGGCCTTGAATCAAAATAATTACACTTAATACTTTACGCTTTGTTTTTAAATACTAAAAAACTTACGATACAGATTCCTGCAGTTGAACTTTTTGCGCACATATGATAATCAGGATCACTTACGCCACTAATAGCGCATGTTGAGTAAGCAGTAAATTGTAAATGAGTCGTCAACAATTTACCACCTGCTGGAATAGTTGGGGTCGTGTCAAATGAGAAAATATCTCCTTGAGTAGATAGTGATTGAAACGCATTGAAATCTGTTGGATTCAAACTCTGTGGCATAATTGCAGCTTGAACATCGCCATTAAAAACCAAAGAATCCGACATTTTCAACAACGCTAAATCCGCATAATAGTTACTATCAGAATAGTTTAAATGCGGTCTGATTTCAGCAACAGTGAGCAGAGTAGTACTATCGCCCCAATCACTTACACCAACTTTTACACGAATCGTAGAAGCAGTACGGCTAAAATAAAAAAGAAACAAAATGGCGGACATGTTTTATATGCATTGATACATACCCAGAAACGCAATGTCCTGTTGTTAAGACGTAATTGGCGTTGATAATTGTACCAGCGCAGAAGTGTTTATAATTTCCTGATAATTGAGAGGAAATGCCACGGAAGTTGGCGTCCAATAGTAACAACATTCGTAATATTTGTAATAAAAGCTCAACTACAGTTTCAACAAGAAAGATGCCTGCAACTTTGCTTCGAATATTATTTAAGGCTAAATCAACTTGAAGGAGGTAATCTTCGATTAAAGTCGTTTCTCGTTGAAGGGAAGCAATTGATTTGTAAGTTGCGGGTGTTGTAGTGCCTGATAAAGCTGTTTATAAAAGGAAATAGTTAAAATTTGAAGTTAATAAATGTTCTTAAAGTACAACAGACCATAACCATGTTGAACAAGAATAAATACAAAAGCTACAAGACAAAAATCACGTATTTTAAACATTTTGAAATGTTAAAAAACAATTTTCAAGAAATTGTCACTTAATATATGTAAAAATGTCTTTATGTACATTTTTGTTATCATAATTAATCCGAAACTTTTTTATTTGTATAGATTAAACTCATATTTTAAAAGAGACAGTTTAAATCTAATTAAAATAGAAGTTAAACGAATTATCAAGTAAAAAGTGTAACAAATTTAATTTTTAAGTCAATAATTTGCAGAAAAATACATATTTTTAATTATGCAATTTTTAATTGCGCAATTAAGCAATAACTTAACAGCGAGTACAAAATAATTCATTTTGCATTTAGCCATCGCGGCGCCCTGGCTCCTAATGCAAAATAAATTACAAACCGCTAGGAAATTACCATAAATTCGCCGTTTTTAGCGACGGTGGTACGGTGTCACGCCGGTGGCAGTGCATCGCAACCGTAAAGAAGCAAAAGAATAGCATAGAAGCGAGCGAAGAAATAAAATTACGACGCGGGCGGCAATGCGACGCTGTTCTCCCGCTCGCGCCGAAAAGCCGGCATCGCGACGATCGATGGAGGTGGCGGGACGCCGCCACCTGCAACCGGAGCCGGGGCTACTCTGCACCATTATCCCATCCGGCAGCAGCATCCAGCGCATTGCAAGCGGCGTAAATTTGCTCAATGCTTGTCATAAACGATAATTAAAGAAAACATGTCATGACAGTATTTAATAAAAATGTTTTTATAGTATATGCAACTCAACACACACCTACCACTTTTACCAACGCATAAAAAAAGCTATTATGCCACTGTTTTACGACTGCAGGACATTAAAACGACATTGAACTTCTCGTAAAAAGCATGAAAAGTATAATTATGCAACACCAAGCTATAAAATTGAAAACTAATTACTTTCGAGCTCTTTGGGACTTAAAATTAATAGAAATAATAAACTAATTTAACAGAAGTTGATTACTTTCCGCGATCTTGAGTTTGTTTGATTGTAAACTTGGGAATACTTAACATTGGCGACTGTAAGTCATTCGCAACCTGCCCGAATGAAGATGGTAGTTGGAAGGTGGGTTCCGACGGGTTCGGAAGGATTTGGGCCAAGGCTAGGTCATGCTTTGGGGGCGGCTTGTGCGTGCGCCCGATGTTGCTAGGTCACGCTGGAGCGCAATCGTTGTTCCCAAACGCGTGTCTCGGGAACCGTGGGGACGGGCATTGCACATTTCAAGCGATGTGAATGTCGGCCGCCTGCGAGAGGCGGTTTACGTAACCTGCCGTTTGCAGGCTTTCCTCATTCACAAATTCAGGCGTTCGGATGACGTCAGTTCGGCGAATTCAATTCGTTCGCGGAGATTCAACTTGCCAGGAAAAACAAGCCGAAGGGAGTGAGTGCAAATAGTGGACGAGTAATGTAAGCAACGAAATATAGGAAGCAACAAGAGGAAAAATGTAATTTTGAGTTGATTACACTGTCTTACAACCATAAAATGTACTCATTATTGTTTTTGTTTATTTTTATAGCGTTAAAAAGATATTAAAGCTTAATAATTGAAATAATAGAAAATATTATGTACAAAATTAACTATTTGTTATAAAATTATTTAGAACAACTTATTTCTTTGTAATTTATCCGTAAATATTAATTTGAAACGTATTTTTGTGATTTGTTTGACATAAAACCAAAGAAAAAGCGCATAATCTCTTTATGCAACCCTAAATACCTGCAACTGGCATGAGTATAGGCAACGCAAATACCAATTAAAATCTTATGTCAAACTGGAAGACGTTCGAATCATCAAAGTGCACGTTAATAAAGAGTATGACCTTTTATTTCAATGCTATTGTTGCAGAAGTCTCTAATCCTCACTATAATAATCTTTTTCTTATAAAAAAGTCATTGTCTGGTTTGATTTATGACTGTATACAACGTCTTTATAAATATTTTCTATACAAATATTCAGTAAATATTGAAAAAAGTGATAATAAATGAACACTACAAGTCTAGACACTTAGACAATTTAATTTATCGCAAAACTATGTAAACGGAATACGAACGCAAATAACACATTCCTTGTTTACATGAACCATAACCTACTGCATTTTTCTGGCCTTCGAGAAAGTTTAATTTAATTAGCAACAGAGATAATCTCAATCTGACGAAATTATAGTTTCTGCGAATCAAAAACATACATTTGCAATACAGAAGGAAGTGAGAATTGTACAAACGACACATTACTAACAACGAAATGAGTAAACGCGATAATTCTTTATCAATTTCGTTATAATTTCATTCGAAACCCACTTACATTCTGCGTTGTAATATTAAAACATTCATATTTCCGCAATGATATACATTTTATAGAATTTGTTAGATTAGATTTGAGGTTAGGTTAGAGTCAAGTAAAAAAAAAACACAAAAATTCGTAAATCATTTATAAAACTTAAAAGTACAGAATTATTCAATATTCGAATTAATCATTTTGTAAACTTTCACAATGATGATTTCATGATTCAATGTTCATCGGATAAAATGTCGTTGGACATGAGATTCGCATGTGACGTAGTACGGAATGAATTTCCACTTTGTGCCAATTGAGTATTGAGTCTGTATATCATATAACACATCGCACAAATCACCAACAACATCAATGTCATTAATGTGTAAACAACTTTTCCGCTCGCATATCCATGATCAGAAATACCATAAACGTCTTCTTCGTGTGACACAATCGCTTCCACATCTCGTTTTCTTAATTCTACGCATGATGTGTTTGTCAATACACCTTCAGCGGTCAATTTAACATTGTCATTTTTAGTGTATTCATCAATTTCAGCTACTAGGTAACATGCCCATGGGTTGTGGTCCAGTTTAAGGTAAACCAAATAAGGCATATGGTGAAACACAACTTTATAATCCAAATCAGTCAAGTTATTGTGTGATAAGTCAAAAGTATGAAGGTTAGCTAACCCCATATTACCACTACCAAAGAATGCGAGTAATTGATTGCTTGACACATTGAGGAAACCTAAGTTAGGCATCCCAGTAAACATTCCAGTCTGAAACACTCGTAATTTATTATTGTTTAAATGCAACTCGCGAAGATTTGGCATATCTGAGAAAGCAAAACGTCTTAAAGTGCTAATTTCATTGTGTCCCATCATCAACACTTCCAAATTCAACAGTTTTTCAAATGCAAATGGTTCCAGATTACCAATACGATTGTTAGTAAGATCCAAAGTCAAAAGATTCTTCAGAGTGTGAAACGTTCCTTGTGTAATCTCAGAAATTAAATTGTTACTCATATTCAAACTGACCAACTCAGTCATGTTAACAAAATCACCCATTTTGAGTACACTGATTTTATTGCTGGCCAAATTCAAAACGCTTAATTTTGGTAGATTGCTGAAGTTGCCAGCGTGACTCAACAAGTTGCTTTCCAAATTCAAATTGACCAAAACGTCTAATCCAGTCAAAGCCAATGGATCAATGGACTCAATGTCATTGTATTCTAAATTCAGACTAGTTAAATTCGCAATTTCTTTGAATGCCTGCGCTGAGATTGTTTTAATATTATTATATCCGATGTCCAACTTGCGTACTTTTTTGATTGACTTGAAGATCCCCGCAGAGAGTTCTCCTATTTGATTGTTTTGCATATACAGATTCTTCATGAAGACTAATCCAGTAAATGCGGATGGTTTAAGTGTTTTGATGTTACACTTACGGATGTCAAGCGTCTGGATTTGATTTCCTGATATGTCGAAACTGTTCGGCTCGATCACTTCGAGATTACAATTGATGCATCGTAAAGTCTCATCGAGCATATCAAACCGATAGCTGGTGATTTTAAAGAATCGAATCGAAGCATTCTCACAGGTTGCAGTCAAAGATCCTCGTTCTCCATAGGAACATTTCTCACGTTGCGCGTATAGCTGAGCTGTAGTACTCAGTAATAACAAATAAATTATCTGTAACATAATAAAAACAATAAAAATTAATTTTATTTATTTGCGCAGAAATCAACTAAATTTTGATTACGCTGCGTAAACGTAAATGGGAAAAACCAGCGTTTGATAGTAATAAAAAATATTTATCAAAGATAACTGTTATCAAAACCGGCGAATTAACAGCAAATAACAATCAGTTGTAATAATTTTACATACACTTCTGTTTTGACTTAATATTAACTATATTATCACCGGTAAATACACGAGAAGATTACAGTTGTATTTTGTTGTGTTGTGGTAAAATAAAGTTCAATTCCACATACCGCACATCGTATAAAAGTGGCGATAACGCATGGGAAACTTAAAAAAGCGTTGATTCATTCTGTGTACGCAATGGCTGAGCGATCGAAACGACGCCAGTCGTATCAGAAATCGGTTGCTCTTTGACTTTCAAACAATCTATATCAATGTACTATGATTTGTTTGTTACACAAATGACTTTGAAAGCTGGCGGGTTGATAAATCTCACGATGTTTCTTTAAATAATAACGTGATGATTTGTCTGAATTCAATTAATTCCAGCCGAAACTAGTAAACTAGTAAAATTAGCAAGCTTGCAAGTATATTTGGTTGCATAACACTTCAAAATCAACACTACTTAACTACGCCATTATAAAAATATGTTTCACAAGTAAAAAGTAAAAAAAAAAAAACTTACTGCGGTAGTCTTAATCATTTTAAACTTAGTATAAGTTTGACTTCCTAGATCACAATGCTCTCCAATGGCAACGCATTACACAATTAAAGTTTTAGTTTGGAACTTTGTATTTTTTAATTTAATATAAACTGGTGTTCACTGAGTTTTTTAGTTTACTGAGTGTTTTTTTGAACTTGGTGAACAAAATCCGCCAGTCCACTGCTGCTCGGACGTGCCGGATAATGAATGATGATGAGCAGCGGATCTAACAGAATGCGCGCCTCGCCACCGTTGATAAGACTATCGCCTCGTAATATCATCACTTCTATATACTTCTATATACGTTGTTAATTCGTTAATGCGCTGGTGGCGTATTTGCCCGACATGACAGCCTGATATCGGTCTAATGAGAGATGCAATGTGCAATATGCTTTGTGCGTTTGGTTATCAGGTTGGAACAAAGTCAGTAGGTTGGGATATTCTTTTGTTTTTATTCATCCGAAATGTTTTTATAATATTTATGTGTAAAGTAAATAATTAATTGTATTTTTTTATATTGTAAATCAGCTGTTGCTGCGAACTTTGTACTTCATTGTCAATAAATATCATCAGAAATTTATTATTAAATTAATCTTGTTTAGTTTTGTTATTTTGATAAATAAATATTGAATATTGAAGTAAATTGAAAACAAAATATTGAAAATTAAATATTTATAAAGTTAAAATCAACAATTGAATTTTTTCTCTAATTTTTCTTTGCATTTTTCAATGTTTTAATGTTTTCTTTCTGTAATATTCCAAAATACATTCAAATTTAATGCCTGAACAACAAAAATAATTTTAATATCAATTAACTATCTAATTTTAACCTTTTAAAAATAGTTTTATCACTGCATTCTGTTATCAAGTTAATTAACTCGTGTAAAATTGATTTTAAAATGTCAATATGTCTCGAAATCACCAGCAATCACCCGCTATGCGAATGACGTCCACGTGACACAATCTCATTTCCTGCTTGAATTTCCTTCTCGCCTCAACACACAGCACTTTTTTTTCCGCAGCGCATCGCGACATTTAAGCGGAAATTAAAATGTGTACGCTATCATTCAATACAAACCCAAACCCAAATACAAATACAAAACAAATAAAAACTAAATTTAAACAAAATATTAGAAAAACAATAAAATCATTCATTATCTATATATTTATTAAGTGATACTCAATATATTCATTATTCAAATATCAATTTTTGTGTGTGTTAAGATAAGACATGATTGCCTAGGTCTTGTGCATTGACATCTTATCAGTTGCTTCTGACAAACACTTCAATCATTATTATCTGTTCCTCAAGTTGAGGAAAATTTAAACACTACCTATGCACTCATGATAATAAATAAAAACCAACAAGGTGCTCAACATGCATTTATATAAACCGCATTGATTCCGAGTTCATGATCAGTGTTTTCTTATTGTTCGGAAGCGTTAAGCTTAAGACAAGATGAAGTTACTTTGTACCAGTTTAGTGTTGGCATTAATGTCTACTTTGGGTAGTATCAGTGCCAAACCGTTGAAAGGACGAGAGCAGAAAGCAACTTGCGGCTATTCGGTAGTATTATATTAGTGTTAAAGTTGTACCTAAACTAAAGTTTAATCATTGTGGTATGTTAGTCCTGTCATGCTGTGAATTCTTCGGGTTTGAATGTGCATTTGGTAGCGCATTCTCATGATGATGTCGGATGGCTGAAAACTGTTGATCAATACTTTTACGGCGGTTAGTATAACATATAATATTCATATTAAACTATTGCGACTACAAATAAAGTAATAACTTTAAATGATTGATGTGACAGTTTCAATCACATACAATTTAACATTTATTCAAAGTAATTTAAAGAAAAAGTTTAAATTGATTTGTAAAAATTATTTTTTAACTTTAGATGAAACCCAACATCAAAAAGCTGGTGTCCAATACATCATCAGTTCAGTAATCCAATCTCTACAAACAAATCCGGATAGAAAGTAAGTAATTTTTAATTATAAGATTTTTAATTGAATTTTTCAAACCGTTATTGCTATTATTCATCGTAAGAATACTTATGCGCATCCTGAGAGTCTTAAAGTGGTGGTAATCAAATTAGCAACTTATTAGTAAGTTGGTAATGACACTCTTAAATGTGAGGTGCGTCTCGGTGTATTAATAGTTGCACGGGGATGTTAATTGAATGGTGCCCGGGACGCGGCTCGTCGCGGTGATAAAGCACGAAGCGGGCGAAGCGGCAGGAAGATGACTCTGGCGAGAGCAAACAATAACCACTACGCGTACCCGGCGTAATTTATGGGAAATTGGAAATTGCATCGTATAATGACGAAATGATGAAATTCCTGTTTGTGCGATATTGCTTTGGACCAAAACTATCAAAGTATCTTGTTCGATGTGCATTGATGTTGACATTTCAAAGCTTGATAGGATTTATTTTGATGGTAACATTAAAATTAAATGTCAAATGGTAAATTATACATTTTGCAATGCAAAATGTTGAGTAAAACATACGAAAAATTAAATTTACTAGTATATTAAGTATCAAGTGGGTAAACTGGTGTTTTTATTAAGTGAATTAAGTACTTTAGTCACAGATTGTTCGTCCGTGGTTAAAGTACCACTTTTTGTGTCTAAAAACCGTAGAAAAACTGCCGATTTGAAGGTGGAAGTAGAAAAATATATTTTACGCAATTTAATGTGTAAAATTATGTTTTTTTAATTTGTAAATTATTTTAACCAGATTCATTCAGGTGGAAACTGCATTTTTCTGGCAATGGTGGAAGCAACAGAGCGAAAGTACTCGGGAAACTGTCCGTCAGCTGGTGAACGCCGGCCGACTGGAAATCATCAACGGAGCATGGAGCATGAACGACGAAGCAGCTGCCCATTACCATTCCATCATTGATCAATTTACATGGGGTTTAAGGTAAACAATACTTAAATTTAATTTGAATACTTTTTTAATAAAAATTATTTCATTGCGTATCGCAGAATGATTAACGACACTCTTGGTGAATGCGGTCGCCCGAAAATTGGCTGGCAAATAGATCCGTTCGGTCACAGTCGCGAAATGGCATCCATTTTTGCTGGACTGGGCTATGAAGCAATGTTTTTTGCTCGTTTGGATTATCGTGATAATGCCAAACGCCACCAAACTCAAACTCTTGAAACAATGTGGCAAGGAAGTCAAAGTTTAGGTAAAAAGATGTTATCACAAAGTGATGAATTTGCTTTTTCTAATATTAGATCATAATTGTTTTGTGATAAAACGACCTATATAGAAATTTAAATTTGAAGCGCACGTTCTCTCTATCTCGAGAGGTCTGAATGTAAACAAACTGATAGCAATTGACGGTAATTTAATTTTTGTTTGTTTAGGACCGAAATCTAATATATTCACGAGCGTCCTCTATGATTTCTATACATCACCTGCGTATTTCTGTTGGGACGTGCTTTGTGCTGATGAACCTGTCAACGATGATGTAGAAAGTCCTGATTTTAACCAGGATAGAATTGTATGGTGTTAAATTTTTGTAAAAATCATCAATTTATTTTTTTTAAACCTAGGTTCAACGATTTGCTGAATATGTTGAGAATGGGGCTAAAAATTATGCAACCAACAATATCTTGATTACCATGGGTGGTGATTTCAATTATCAAGCAGCTGAGATGTTTTACATCAATATGGATAAACTTATTGCGTACGTATTCTTTGATAACGTGATTAAATAAGGTTATGTTATGTTTTGACATGCTTGGTATGTTGCCTACATTTACTTGAATATTTTATCAAGCAAAATTAAATTTCTATCTCCATTCTACGCGATTAGATTTGACGTCGATTGGCATTTACGCTGATCGATGATGATTTTTACTTTCCAGCGGATTCAAGAAGTACAGGCCGGATATCAACGTAATCTATTCGACGCCGTCGTGCTACGCGAAGGCGGTGAACGAAGCGGCAGCGGATCTGGCATTCCCGGTGAAAACCGACGACTTTTTCCCGTATGCCTCCGGCAGCCATTCTTATTGGACTGGTTACTTTACATCACGCCCGAATTCCAAACGATTCGAACGTCAAGGCAACAATATGCTCCAAGTATAAACAATTTCTCAATCTCAACTTTCAAAATATTAATTTTTATATTAATTTATTTATCACAAAGGTTACTAAACAATTAGCGGTGTTAAACAAATCCAGCCAAGATGATTTACTCCTGCTCAAGGAAGCAATGGGCATAATGCAACATCACGACGCCATTACCGGAACTGAGAAACAACACGTCACAGATGATTATGTGCGTTTGTTGACCAAAGCAATTCGACGTGCTGAAGGACATATTGATGCTGCGATTCAGTAAATTAATGATTATTTGAATTCACGCAGGTAAATTCATGTTTTTTCTTGCCCACAGCGGATTATTGGGTAAAACGTCCCCGGCACCGGAAGTCACGTACGAAAGCTGCTTGTTAAGCAACGTGAGTTATTGTCGCACGTCCATTGAAGAAGATGAGTTTACTCTAGCCGTATACAACCCACTTAGCAGGAGTGTCATTCAACATGTTCATTTGCCTGTTACCGGTAGCGACTTCAAAATCACAGGCTCAAAAGGTAAATAATTACAAAATAAAAAAAATATTTTTTTGATTAATTTATAATTAATATCAGGAGATGTAAGTTATTCCGTGATGCCATCCATGGCTGACTTCTCCGAGTCACACAATGTGCCCTCAGCTGAGAACAATCTGATTTTCCCTGCCGAGGTCCCCGCATTGGGTTTCGCTTACTTCCACATCGAGAAGTTGGCGGAGCGCCAACCGGAAGTATCGCAAGTTGACAAACAGAAACCTAATCAGCAACTAGATAACTTGCGGTATTATGGCACCAAGGTACAAAACAAACAAATCAAACAACTCCCAAAATAAACAAATTGCTAAATATTTAATTGTTTACTTATAGTCAACTGGTGTTTCTATGGACCTAAGCACTGGACGCTTAGCTAAAGTGACTCTTAACGATATCACCTTACCAATTACTCAAGACTTCCTCTATTACCGCGGAAGTCTTGGTAATAACAACGGAGAAGACAACCGTGCTTCAGGCGCTTACGTTTTCCGCCCTGTCAAGGACACAACCGCTTTACCCATAACCGAAAAAGCAGAAATCAAAATTATTAAAGAAGGTAAAGATGTCATGGAAATCCATCAGGAGTTTGCATCATGGGCCAAGCAGATTATCCGCGTATACACAAATGAAAATCACATTGAATTCGATTGGTTAATCGGACCAATCCAGGATGCGTAAGTTTTATTGACACAACTGCAAACCGGAAATTAATTTCTATTTTCTCTCTAGCCCTGAGGGAGTGGAAGTGATTACACGATTTTCATCCGATCTGAACAGCAACGCCACATTCTACACCGATTCCAATGGCAGGGAGATGATAAAACGCGTGAGGAACTATCGTGAGACATATAACTACACCGATGAAGAACCAGTGTCCGGCAATTACTACCCAGTGACGTCACGTATTGCTATTAGAGATACGGAGGAAAATGTCGAGTTGGCATTGTTAAACGACCGCGCCCAGGGTGGCAGCAGTCTGAAGGACGGTGAGGTGGAGTTGATGGTTAGTAGCGGGAGATTAATTATTCACGTTTCGATTAAAGTTGTTTGAGTTTTATTTACGCCTTTGGTTATACAGTTGCACCGAAGGTTGCTTAATGATGATGCGTTTGGAGTCGGCGAGGCGCTCAAGGAGGATGAATTTGGACATGGTGTCATTGCTAGAGGTCAAGTTTATCTTGTTTTAGGAAAAATCACTGCGGACAGTAAGAAAAAACGCGCTAAACTTATAACAACATACATAACCTTAAAAAATTAAATTTTTAATTTTAAGGTGTTGATGATGAAAATGCTGCGTCTATTTCACATGATGTCGCACAGAGGAAACTTTTAGCACCATGGACATTTGTTGGTCGACGTGAAAAGGCCTCTATAACCTTAGAAGACTTACAAAACAAGCTAAACTTCCAAGTATAACCTAACCTATAATGTACTTGACATTTTTATAACCTATATGTGTTACAGAGCTCTGCATTAACACGTGATTTACCTGCAAATATTCAAATTTTAACTTTGGAACCCTGGAACGCGGAAAATACGATTTTGTTGCGTTTGGAGAACGTTTTTGAGAAAGATGAACATCCCACGCTTTCCAAATCAACGACCATTAGCCTTGATGTAATAAATATCAATTTATATCTGTCTTATTATGCGCCAATATGAATTGAGATGATTCGACATGTGATTATCATAATTTTATCATTTTTCAGGGTTTGTTTGAGAATATTTCTATCAAAGAGGCGTTCGAAACAACGCTCGGTGCCAACCAGTGGATTGACGAGAATGAAAAATTGCATTGGAATCTGAACAATCGTGATGTAGTCACGAAGAATCAAGATAAAACCGATGCAAGTGGAATTCCAATTGGGAACAATCATAATAGGGTTGCGGTCGATTTGACAAACATCACTCTTGGCCCGATGGAAATCCGCACGTTCATTTGTCATTTGAATTGAACAACATCAATGGATACATTATATTTTTAAATGTTTTGTTTGTTACAAAATAAAATTTACTTACTTGTTGAAACTAATGATAATTTTTAATGAAATCATTCGTGTTGAGCAAGAATAATTTAATTATAGAAGTTTTCTGCTTGTTTTGATCAAACTTTACTTAAAAATAGCTGCAATGTTTGCTTTTGATATTCTTGGCTCTAGAAATGGTGTTTGTGGGTTGATCAAAATTAAATAAAGACTTGTTGATTGAAAAACGGCTCTGTTTGGTCGCATTGTTCGCGTTTTTCTTTAAACTGCTTTGCATTAATTTTCGCCTCACACAATATCAGTGTTATGCACGATTCCACGAACGCTCTCCAGTCTCCACTCATGATTTACGACGTCGTGTCCGATCGCGTGCCGTTTCGCTTGGCCTAATTTCGAAATGATGCCAAACGCGCGCAAGCAGGACAGATAATCCATGACGTCGCAAATCTCAACGGGATGGTCGGCGATGAATGACGTCACGCGCGGTGCTGCGACGCATGGCCGTTGGCGGCGGCGGCGGCTGGCGGAGAGAATAGGGGTGAAACGTTCACGGTCGACGCGCGATCGACTCGCGCGATCCGGCCGGAGCCGAGCTGCCCCGGCGCGCATGCATCCAGCCAGCGAGCCCCCAGCACCAGCGGCGGCAGGCGGCGGCAGCGCAGTGCGAACGCGAGGGTGCGAAGGTGCGCGCCGTCCTCGAACACCGCGCCGCCTCCTCCGTGCGAGTGTGAGTGTCGTGCGCGAAACGCGAATCACCAAAATCTCGAAATTCACTCTCAAGCTGTCAAAAGAAAAAGTTGCTGAGTCACGAATCACACGAATCACGAATCAAACTCGCGCGACAAGCGAAAATCTGCGGCTATTTTCGTTTTGTTACGGCTGTGCATGTGCGTGTGCGGTGCGTGAATACGGATGCTTGGACCAAGTGCCCGCGAGTGCTTTCGATGCGTCTTTATGGCAAGATACTCGGCGAGAGGACGAGCATCGCGAGGTTCGTACACAAACTCTCTTACAGATTCCTTTGTTGTCATCTTTCACCTCACACACACCACACACTACTGCTGTGTTTACGCCGCAGTTACATAAACATCATCATTACCCATTTGTTTTCTCTTGTTTTCACTGTTTATTTACAGTAATAAAACAAAAGCAAGCGTGATTCTTATACGGATTGCAATTTGATTGTTTCTTGAATGGCGCGCTTGAAATTTGCAAACAGTTTCGGCCGTGTGCGAATGCTGCGAATACACAAAACGTCAATAATGTACGTGGGAACCTGTACGCGGGGCCTACCCTAATGTCTGATGGTGGAGGCGCGGGGCAAGCGGCGCGCACCACCGAAACGATTGACGACCCATCAAAATTTAACGCCAGCGCGCCCGGGGCCCAGCGTCGTAAACAATTTTCGACGCAAGTGGAAAATTAAGTTTCACTCGCCGGCACGTGCAATCGCCGCGAGGGCAAAATTGGAAATTTTGACGCCGCGTCAGCGATAATAAATTCTCGATTGTGCAATTAATCACGGCGAGCATCGGCGGGGCTTCCTGCGCAAAACCTTTCGCAATCAATTTCGCATCGTGTCGACGAGTCGTGCTGAACACAATCGAGCGCGACGATTGCGCCCCGGCTCCCTTGTGAGATCGGATTTTACTCCGGACAAAACATTGGAAGAGGGCGTGACCTTTACACTCAAGACAAAAAAAATACAAAATATTTATATCCAAACAGAAAAAATATTAAAAACCATTTAAATGGCATTAAAAAAATAATAACAAACAAATAAACAAATGGATAATTTTATCCGAGCGAGGCTAATGGCCTCAGAATGAAGTAATAACCGCTTCGTGTCCAGCGTACAACTACGAACAGACAAAAATTGATTCGATCAAAACAATCCGCCATCGACATCGTTATTTTGTTTTGTTTACTTTACTATAGACAACCTAAATGACAATATTTTGCCAAGTTTGTTTTAAATTTATTCCTGCTATTGTGAATCACTCTAATTAGTGTCTACCTAGAAGGACCAGTTCATTTCGGGGTTTGGCAGCTCCCGACCCGGGGGGAATATTATGAATGAATCAATAAATTCCTATCGTACAAAATTGATACACACGCCGGTGGGGCAATGGCGACACGATCCACGATTTCATCAAGTCGAGCATTCAAAGCACGGGGGGCGGCGAGACATTAGTCTTTGTTTCCGTCGCGACACATTGGGAATCATCGGCGATGAATATCTTCATATCGTCATTAGAGTTTCGTCGCTAACGATGGCATATTAGCTCCGAGTCTGTGGAAAACCTAAGAGAAGCGATTGAATTAACGATGGAAATCATTTGTTGAATATTTAAACTTATAAATTACTTGCATGCCCACAAAACTATGTTAAATAATATAATAATGTAAGAAATCCCCTCAAAAATGTATGAGAATTTCTGATATTTTATTTTTTACGGACTTTTATTAATGGCTTAATGGCGGCATGTGTAAAATTTATTATTTTTTATGAATATATCATTGTTAGATAGAGGAATTTTAATGTGTTTTCTATTTTTAATTATAAACGTGTAAAATGTCGTAAATCATAAAATATTTGAAAATGCATTGTTTGAATAGAGCGTTATCACTAGAAATTCGAAACGAATTGATGTTATGCTAAAAATGTTGCAAGTGACGGATATAATTTATTGCGTGGAGATAGGAAGTGTATATAAACGTTAAATTTAGAATAGGTAATACACTTAAGTTACTACAACATAAGTTGCAACAATTTTGTTACAATGAAGTTGACGTTTGTTTTTACTGCAGCCCTCGTACTTTTGGTAACTAAACCTTTATTTTATATTAATTATAATTAACTTTTAATTTGTTTATCAATTATTTTACTAAATTTAATTATTCTGTGATTAATTAAAGTAAAATCACAATTAAACATAAAATTAAAGTTTAGGTTTGATATAAAATATTATATTCGACTCAATATAGGCAACTCACATAACATATTCTACGTATGCTTATTCTAGGCATCAAGTCCAACTGATGCCCAACTGGTACTCCCCGGAAACTTGAATGAAATAGTACAGGGTTTGGTTAAGCAAGTAAATAACCTACGAGAAGAAGTAGTCCAGACTTTGAGGAACATTCTTAACGTTGTTGATGATGTAGTTGATGGTTTTGGAGACACCCTAAATAGCACCTACTATAGTGTCCAAAATCAGATTGATGCTCTTCGTGAGCAATATGGCGGCGTCCTCTACGACGAATGCTTCCCGACACGCTTGCCACTTACATTCGTGGAACACACTATCGACGGTGTTAGGAAATGTATTAATGGTACCATCCAGAATACTCTTAATAACATCAAAAAAATAACACACGAAATTGACACTACTCTTGTAACACTCAATGAAATTCCGGAAGAAATTCAGGGATGTAATCTGCGACCAAGTTGTCTGATTGGTTTGAAAGTTCGACTTATGACAAAATTGACCCCGGCGATTGCAAAAATTGGTGTGGCCGTAGCAGATACTACTCTAGTTTTGGGCACATTGCATGATAGAATTATTCCGTGTGTTGCATTGAATGCCGATTATATCGACTGGGTTGACAACTCTGTGTCGAATATTACAAGCTGCGTACAGAATCTTCGTCCAAGAGTGAATTGATTTACTAGTATATGACTAGTATATGACTAAGTATATGACTAATAAAGCATTGCATTGAATTAATTTTTTTTTACTTCCATCTTTAAAGTGCCAATATTTCCACCGTTTTGAGACGAAAAAGTGGTATTTTAGATACAGGCAGACAAGGCAGTGAATAAAGAACTTTAGTCACGGGTTTTAATCACGGGGTGGAGCTTAGGCGACCACCGTTTAGCCACTTAATACTTGATATTCAATTTAATTCATTAATTAAAGTTTTATTATTAAAAATCCTTAAAAATCCAATTACCACGCTATAAAAAGAATAAATCAGTAAAAACAATTTAATTGTCGTGGAAAGTAAAGAAATAAATCATTAGTGTTGAAATTAATAGAGGAATTATTAATTGAACACTAAAAAGTAAGAAAGCAGACATGATAATTACTAGAAACATAAAATCGAAGTTTTTCTGGACACTTTTTTAAGAGTTGTTAATAAAATAAAGTTTTTTAAGGATAATACTTAGAAACAATTCGCTAAAAACTACCAAATGAGAATATAATTATTATGTACTTGTAATTGTAAATGCTTTTGTTATATTTAATTTATGCTCGCATAATTATGTTAGTTTTCATGTTTTGTGAATCCAACCTTCAAAAATTATCTCTAGAAAAAAATATTTGCAAAATTTCGTAAATAATGATGCAAGTACGTGCAAAATTGATGCATTAATAAACAAATAATTTCTTTTTCATTCTATTACGTCATGTTACAACTTAGATTGGATATACATGTTCAGAACTTGTACCGCAACTCAAACTATTTTTTTTAAATTTACGAGAATTTTGTATGAGAAAAATTCCAAATTTTTAACTTTGATAACTGCAAAAAAAGTTATAAAAAATACATATCTGCCTTTCCGGCCTCATTTTTTCCAACCCATTAAAAAGTGAATTTTTCATAGATCCGAAACACATTCTTCAAGCGTAAATAATTGATGCGATGCCATCCTTCTCGCAGACGTTTGGAAGCGGAAACAAAGGACCTACTAGCCACCGCCGCCCGCCGCCTCTCCGCTTCCCGAATCGGGGTCGAATTGGAACTAAATATTCATTTCTATTATTCCGAGGCGCAGGTCGACCGGCGTTAAAATTGAATCGCGCACGATGACTTATTCAAAAACTTACACAAACTTCGGAGCGCGCCGCAGCTTTAAAATCGATTGATTTACTTCGGAAGCAATATCCCAATGCCCCGCAATCCCATTTCCCGGTAATTATCTCCTGCTGGCTACGGCATGGTCGACCTGGACGAGGTAATTAATCAATCAGGATAATTGATTTGCACCTATTATGCATTTTTATGTCACATGTGTGATAAATTACACTAAAATGTAATTTAGTTTATGCAATATTAAATTTTGGTAATAGTAGCTAAAAATATAGGCAACACAAGTTGCATAACCACTAATTTAATGTACGACCTATGAAAATGTCCGAGGAAAGGCGTTCTGACGAATTGTCTCGCAGGACGACTGGTAATTTATCTAAAAATACAAGAAGCGTGTAGAAGAAGGTCAGCCCGACGTGTTCGCTGCAAGGACGCGCACTTGCACTTGATAGAAAATTGAAAGTAGACGCCCCTCACGTGCTCACTGTTTACGTAATGCATCGGGCTTGCCCGTCGACCGCCAAACCGAAATGCCGACACCTCACAAATCGTCCGACACACCGATTTACACAAGGTACAAAGTACTTACAATCCAAACATCCCCCAACAAGATTATGTTAAACTAACTCCCAATCGACTAATCCTACGTGTAATATTCACATTGAAAAGTATATTTGGTTGCCTATAATCGTATTTGCAGATTAGTTTTGTTTAAATTTTAAAATTTTGATTATTTCTACACTCTGTAGTTGGTTTTGCTTTGTGAAATCGTTATCGGCGCAACCTTCGACGAAGGCCTCAGGTTGCGCCCGCTTTCGTCCGCAATCGGGCGCGCATTAATTACGAAAAGTTCGCGTGCTGGCGTCGCATTTGCAAAGCGAGCGGCCATATTTAGACCGTTGCGATTCTTAACACCAAAATTCCAGCATAACGTAACAACATGCCACTCGGGACAAGTTCAATGCCAAAAACAAGCACCCCACTGGGACGAAAACCTCAAAACCCTTTTTTTTTTCGCTGTGCGGACATAAAATTAACATGAATTATGTATCGCGTTTGCGAGACCAAGCGACCATCGATCCACCCGGCGAATTTAATGATAAATGTTGCGCGATGATATCGTATGCATCCGTATATTTACTTATAATAACAGCGTGATGAAACCGTGGATAACTAAAAACGCCAACAGCCGCTCGGGCAGTAACCTAGTTCCCAGAAGTCAGAACTCAGCAGGTTTTCGTGCATAATTTCCCAAGTTATCTTACTCGTGGCGGTGTGTGTCGTTGTCGACGCATGCGACGAGGGGCGGCATATATTCCGTACCATCTTTGCTCTAGTGTTTAATTTGTTTGTTTAATTATTTAAGCCGCGCACGAATGCACGTTTCTCACGAAACAGGTGCAACACATCTCATAGTTTATTTTTTATAATGAGAAATGTTCATTTGTTTTGTAATTACTTTTGTTATACGATGAACTATTTTCATGTTTTGATGAAATGGGTAAAAAAAAGTATCAGCGTCATAGCTAACAATACCAAAATGGCAAAAGTTTCTATTTTGGAGTATGGTGCCTAGCACCACGACAAACCGGCCCCCGGTTTATGCTCTCCGGGCACGTGCGAGCGTCATATGGATTTTTGCGTCCATTTTTCGTACCGGAGGTCACGCAATCCAGTGATTTATGCGAAAGAAAATCACGTAAACAAACGTTATTTTGCAACACATTCGTTATTTCCTCTTTTTGCTTTCATTCAAACACTCACCTTGTTACCCCGTTGCGGAAAATCGTGTTAACCTTCTTTTATTATTGAGTTTTTTTTTCTTGCTGGTGAATGTACAATTAAATGTGCAATCATGATGTAATTTGCATGAATATGTTTTTGCAGTTGAATCGATGAGTCCACGAGCAAGGGCGCAGGAGGAGCACGCGAGCACGAGGTGATCGGCATGCAGAGCACTGCCGACCGGCGCTCGGAAGACGCGGCCCCAGCCGCTCCCGGACGCAGCACGCAGCAGGCAGGTAGGCGCGACCGCCATCGCCGCCGCCGCGCGTAGCCGCCGCTCGCTTCGCCGGCTTGCCACTGATGGTCATGTTCCATACGCGCGACATATCGACGATGATCATCCTCAACGACGCCGACGACGACTCCCTCGTCTTTTCGGTGGAGTCACTCGTCCAAGCCGGCATCATATTGATTCTGAGCATTACGATTATCGTCACCAACGTGCTGATTATTGCAACGTTTGTTAACTTTCGAGGTAACTACCATAAATCTTATTAAATCACATTGCAACTTAATAAAAATATTTATAATCTTAAATCTGCAGGTCCGCAGGATGTTATCAACACCTATCTGTTATCACTGGCAGTAGCGGACCTCTTCAATGGTATCTTCGTGGTACCACTATCCGTCTACCCGGCGCTGGTGCAGAATTGGGTCTACGGCGACATTTTGTGTCGTGTGATAGGCTATTTGGAGGTTACGTTGTGGACTATAACAGTCTACACGTTTATGTGGATCAGCGTAGACAGATATCTCGCAGCACGTAAACCACTACGCTATGAAACGATTCAAACAAAGACGCGTTGTCAATGCTGGATGGCATTCACATGGATCTCTTCAGCAATGATGTGTTGTCCACCGTTACTCGGCTGGCAGAAACCGCTCTTTGACAAGGAGGCCTATATCTGTATGTTGGACTGGGGCAATATGGCCGCCTTCTCTGCCACTCTGTCAATCCTCATCCTCGGCCCCAGTTTGATTACCATTATCTACACGTATGCGTACATCTTCGCGATGATGCGTAAACTGAAGAGTGGTGTACCTATCCATGACAAGGAGTATGCCACAGCCCTCTCGGAGAACCTCGCCAATCCATCGCACATCATGTCTTTTGTACTGGTGTGCGCTTTCTGGTTTTCATGGACGCCGTACATGGGCGTCAAAGTGTACGAATACCTCTGGGCGGTGAAACTGACACATCCATTCCTCCACTTCGGTATTGTATGGATTGGCTTCCTGAATTGTTTCTGGAAGTCGATTATTTTGGTGATGATGTCGCCCCAGTTCCGTCTGGCATTGCGCATCTTCTGCATGACGATCTGCTGCCGCTACAAGGGCCGCATGCAGGCTGAACTCATAGGAATGGAGGCGGACGACTGACTACCCACCGCGATAGCGAGCGCCACGTCCGCCGCCCCCGCCATTGCCCCCGATGCCAAGCGGCGGTCGGCGGTCGCGACGCTCGGCCGGGTGTTTGCGCAATGCGCTCACCTGCTCGGCTTTCCGCTCTCGCTGCAGGGTCTCCTCTTCAGCGACTATCAACATGTGGCGGCGAAGCTACGCACCTGGTGTCATGCGCTTGCCGCCAAGCGCCATCAACGACCCAGTGTTGCGCAATAAGAAAAGAAGAACAATCCCAAACACAACACAAATAAAAACCGAAAATGCAAAATGCGTTTCAAAGGTCAACCTAAAACATTAGGAGAAAAAAAAAAACGTAGTCTGTAGTCAATTTTCGTTACGTACGTTTTCATTGTTTTCCGACGTTAATCTGAAAAAGACGCTTATCATCACTGTGACTAGGTTGTAAAGAAGAGGTACATAAATTATCAGATATCTAGTTGAATAGTTTTTAATTACGTAGTGGAGAAAAGTCCGTAGCGACCGTTGTAGATACATTTTTAGCGTAGCGATGACTAAATGAGACAAAAGTTATTCGTTGTTGTTAAATCCGACAAAAAACAAGCAAAACGCGAGAAAGAAGCAAACAGTCAATTATTATTACTTAATCATTACTAGTTTTTTATTATACTGTATAGTTCAAGTTTGTCGAGGCGGGCAATAGTCGACGCTCATTCATTTTTCAAATAAATGTTTAACGATGTGGACGTTATAGATATTAAACAACAAAGTAATATTAATTAAGGTATATTAAACATTTAAATGCAAATACATTAGCGAATCACTAATCCGCATACCTAACCTAATTCCAAAAGAAATCTTAACCTAATTCTTCAACTAAATGTATTTGCATTTACAGAGTAAATCCGTAGACGATGTGAATGTAATCGTATTCAATTTATGATGAAGAAAAAAATGAAGAAAACTAACACCAATGAAAACTTACTAATCAAATGAGAATAATAATTGTACGCGTAGAGAATTTGCTTCAAACTTGCTTATACCGACGAGACAACCAAATTTTTTCCTACGAAATAAGCGCTTTTATCGAAAAAGAAATTTTCAAAATGTGCCACCCAATCGATGATTACTTCGATAATCATCAAGCTAAGCAACTTTTGTAAATAATTTTAACTCAGTTGGATACAATAAGTATTACCTACTACGATTTCGTATTTTTTAAGGTTATAATTAGCTATAACAAGCAAAAACATGACAAAGATGCAACGAATCTTTTCATTAACGCGTTACACTTTGATTAAGCAAGCATTTTTCATTAAGTAGCAACATTTTACACAAAATACGTTCTAAAAATGAGCAATCTACGCAATCTACGCGAAATTACAAGTGGTAAACAAGATGGCGGCCGCGTGAATACCAAAGACGTCGCAATTTGATCAAAAAAGATTCACACACGCTGTGCAAACGTGCCGAAATCTTTACATCCGTGTACTGCTCAAACGTCAATCAATGAATGCATGCAAACTAAACGACTTTGTACAATATTAATTGTTACGTGTGATGATGAATCGAACGAAACGACGAACTGTTTGAAGCGAAGACACAATCAAATCAAACTAGCGAATACACACACGATGCGCATAAATCTGAGAAGCAAAATCACAATAAAATCATAAAAAGTTGTCCACCAAAGCAAAAACTTAACAAAAAGAACTTAACAAAAAAGTCCAAGCACACAAAAAGCACACAAATTATTTTACGGTATTAAATTACTTTTGAAATATTAAAATATATCTCAAGTCTCAAATAAAATGTCTAACGATTGAATTCAAAGCGATTTGGATGTACATAAATAAGTTGCTAGCATGTAGGACAATCTGTTTTTAACATTTTAAACTAAAGTAAAATGCGGAGACATTAAACGTTCTATGTAGTTATCGTAACGTGAAGAAACAACAAGAAATGAATGAAAATAAAGGTTATAAGTGTAAAAATTACTTTATAACCTCAAATATTGACAAAATTATATTTTAATCGGTATGCAACTTGTAAAACAAAAAGCAAAGAAACCTTAAGTACACGATGAGAAAAATTAATAAAAATTATATCAGGTATACATAAAAGTAACTAACATAACCTAACAAAAAAGATAACAAAGAAGAAAACACGACGATATATGATATATTTTTATATAGAAACCGATGTAATTTGTATTCATTGAGAAACAAATCAATTATGTAATTAGTAGAGCGTACAGAATTCTCCAAAGATGGAAATTATATGCATGTCTAAACCAGATGTAAACCAGTTTTAAGAAGTGTCTACGATCTTAATCCAGAAATTATATATTTCAAAATTAATAAGAATAAAATTCAAGCAAAGAATATTTTAAAATCAAGCAAAAAAAATTACGAATAATTAAAGTAATTCATATACGAATATTATCGCATGATAGTAGATGATAATAAAAAAGAAAACTTTGAAAATGAAGAAGATAAAAATCAATGAAAAAAAATTCTTACAAGTTAATAGAAATCTTTCTCGCTTTGTCGACGTTTAGGTTTAGATTGAGAGATCGTTGTTGTTATACTAATTCTAATAACTCATAAACATTTAATCGCAGCATGATTAATTAATCACCAAAGTTATATTGATTGAGAATTATTATAATCAGCCCGCGGAATGTGCGCCATCTTTGTGCTATGTGCAATCAATTTTTATTCGCATACTGGACGAGAATCGAATTTTCGATTGACTGTTATTATTGTGCGCTTTTAATGTATGTACTCGTACTTTGTATACAAAATGTTTTAAACAATCAAGTTAAAATTGGTTTCTGTTAAAAATTATTGTTTCGATCAATGGCAGCGCCACCTATGCCACAAATTACAGTTTTTCATGAATAACTTAAAAACTAAATAATTTATATTCATGATCTTTTTACAAATCTATTCAGTATTAAATTCTTCATCATTTTGTGTAATTTTGTATTGATAACAGTATTTTATCAAAAGTTACAGAGTAATTTGGGTGAAAATCATGATTTTATTCAAAAAGAAACTTTAATTGTTTATAACTTTTTATATAATCATCTTATAAACAAAATCTTTACGTAATTAGACGTATAATTTATTTAAAAATGTTTACACAAAAAATTATTCTCTTATCACAAATAGTTTTTGAGTAATTAATGAAAAACTGTTACCAAACAAATATCATCCATGCGCAATTTCAAAGAAACGCTGTTTTACCTACTTTACTTGATTGTTTACGACAGTTTATGCTTATCACTAACTAACCGACAACACTAACAAACACCTAACACATATATGTACCTATGATTTCCATTCTGCGTTTGTTTGGACGAATTGTACACAACACAAACCTGCTGAATCAAAGGTGCAGGCGGCATATTGTTTCCAAAAAGGCCTATATTATATTATTCAATGACGAAATGTTGCATTTATATAGCAAACACAAAAGCAAACATAATCATATAAACATGTGTATTTTATCTATACTCTTACTCTGTCTCTAAGATACAAGCAAACAAGAACGCATCGCTATATAATCATTTCGACTTTTAACGCTAAATATCCAATGCTTCTGTATGGTGCCATCACGCATGCGCAATAGCGTTGTGTCATCCAATATGGAAGTATTGAGATGTTTGCTATATGCACACTCTGTGCAGACTTTTAGCAAACTTATATATTGTGAATGTGTACCAATAATAATCACAATGAGCACACTATCGAACTCTAACGATTTCCACTTCGGCTTATTACTTATATTATTTATTGTTAATTAATTAATTATTGCGTTTGCCTAAGTTCTTTTCACGAACACAATTGACGCAATCAGATCGAATGAATCTCGCAACAATCAAACAATCAATTTTTATAGCGTTGTTCTCTCATTGCAGCCTCATCATGAAAACTATAAACTAAAATAAAAATTTATAAACTTTTGCCTTAGTTAGTAAAATCGCTTTTTTAGATTTCTATAAAGATGACAGCATAACACTTTGAAAATTATTGCATGTCAAATAAAATAAATGTTAAAGTTAACATAAAATTACGTTTTTGTTTGTTGCATTCTTCACTTTCTATATAAACTACTAATCTAATCATCTCTATAGCGCGTATAATTACGTTTTTTATTATCGCAAAATGTAAAACGCAATCAGAAGTTCTGAAATAATGCGCGCGACATGTGTACGCCGTTCGTGTACTGTACTCGTACTACTAAACTTGTAATTTGTAAGATGACTATTGTAGATAAGCGCTAATTTACATTTTATTAATGATACGGATTCATATTAAGCAACAGATACATAAACTCACATCTAAACAAAAAAGAATGGTACGCATTAATTCCTATGATACTATTGTATTTATTAATATGAACGTAATTGTTAATTTAATCGATAATAACGATGACGATTTATTACTTTTCTTATATGAACAATTATGCTGCTCTAAAATTGCCGTAACTGTAATGTAAATTGCATAGAAACGCAAAAGGCTATCGCGCACGCGCTGTGGTCAAACGAAAGGGTAAACATAAGATTGAGTAATGTGAGTAATTCTGTCTTGTACGTACATATTTTCAAACACGAATATTATGAATTGTAACAGAGAGAGAAATTAAGAAAGATAGACAGTGAAATTAAGGAAAAAGTATAGATTTTTAATGAAATTGAGAAATATCTGTGAGATGTATAGAAACAAGCAGCAAACAAACGGCGGGAATGATAATGGAATGTAAATGACAAGTACTAAATGCAAGATTTTTTAGAATGTAAATAGGTGAACATTATTAATCAATTATTATGATGAAAACAAGAATATTACTTAATTAATAAAAAAATGTTTGTTATGCTCAATTGATTTTTTGCTTTAGTAACCTCTGTTTGAGATAGGGTTTTATTCCTTATTAGAACTAGCGAGATATCATCTTTTGAGTGATATGAAGAATAAGAACTTTGAAAGTGGCAACAGCACCAGTAAAGAGCTCAATTTAATGCAAATAAGTGACTTGCAGCGCCATCTTCATTCGAAACACTTCCCCATGTCCTTCCCCAAGATTTAATCCAACTTTATGAATAAACAATAAATTGGGCCATAAAAAATGTATTCCAAGAACAAATTTAATACTTTACAACGTGTTTTGAAATTTCTATGCAAATAATTATTTACTAGATCGTAAATTTACTGACTCCATTGAATAAATAACGAAGAAATAAATTAGCCTTATTTTGTACAACTGAAAATTTAAATAATTAAATAAGCTAATTACCTGCGCATAAATTCAACAGACAAAAATTTAAAATTTTCTACGTCACGTTTTTTTAAGCAAGTCTGTATGATAAGCAAAAAAACACACCTGTATCTTGTATACAAGATTTATTCACCGCAATTCGTGTGTTTTTACCAAATTATTTTTTAGTGCCAATGATAAGCAGACACTAATGTATGCTTCAATGCTTGTAATAATAAATTTAATTGCAAAACAAAGATATCGACAAAAAATATCAATTGTCTTTGCAATTCTAATGTACGGAAACGTAGATAAGCCGCTGCAACCTTATTTAAAGTCGACACCATTAATAATACACTTCAGTTCTTCGCTGCGTTGACAAAAATGATGAAATTACGTTTGACAACTCTCGCCGTGGTCGTTTTGGTAAGTCATTAATAATTTATATTATTTCACAATGTAGACAAAGTAATTTTTTAAATATTTACAGGCTGTGGCCATGAGCAATGGTCAAATCAGTTCCTCAATCGAGGATTCAATTCCACCCTTCACCATGTCCGAAATGGAAGCCCGCATGAGTCTCAACTCTATCTTAACCGGCACCACTGCTCAACTAAACAAAGTCATCAATACAATCAGAGCGCAAATGTTAAGCGTCACCGGTAATCTCAATTCCGCCATTGATTCAGTCATGGGTTCTGGTACCAACTACATTAAAAACATAATCGCTTCAATGACAAACCGTGAACAATTAATGAACAACGAAATCGGCGTTATTCAGCAACAATTCAACGACAGCAAGTACGACAAATGCTTCGTGCAAAACCCAGCCACTGCTTTCCTCAACAGTTCCATCAATGGCGCCACCAAATGCGTGACTGACGTGCTTGACACCGCACAAAACACACTTAATAGTCTTACCACCAACATCAACACTGTGTTGAGCACCCTCACTGGTAATTCCGTGGCTGAAAACTGCAAGAACAGCATGATGGGCGAATGGATGTGCCAACAGATGCAGAATACCTATGCAATGACTTCACTTGTTTCTGCCGCAGCTAACATTTCAGCCACTTCAGCCACCGCCATTGTTTACTTCAGCAGTCTGCCACAAACCTTCATTCCTTGCGCTGTATATAGTGCTCGGTTTGAAAAGTTTGCATTTAATGCTTTGCGCAACGTTACTAACTGCGTTCACTCAATAATGAATGCGCAATAATGCGTTGATAAATAAAAAGTATAAAAATGAGGTTATGTTGGCGCAACATTGTCTCATTTATCCTTGCAAAACAAATGTGGCGTGTTTACGACTGAATTAAACATTTTTGCATTTTAACAATTTGTTATATTTGTTTAACACGTCAATATTCAAATTTTCCATTATCAACAAGCATAGAATATTTTCATATTTGGCCTAAAATTTAAATGTAAATAAATTAAAGCTTTAAATTATACTTACATAGTCTAAAACATAATTTAAGCAACATCCTGAGCTACTTCTTCGATTACTTGTTCATTTGCTTTGGATTTTTCTTCTTTTCCGGCTTCACTTTCATTTTTTGTGTTTGCAGTATTATTGGCAAATACTGTAGATAATTTTGCTAAAGATCCAATAGCTTTGAAACGTGTCTGTGCCTTTTGTTTGCCAACTTTCTTTGACCATTGCTCATCACGAGACGGCATTTGCGCTAAATATGCGTTGCGATCTGCTTTGGCCGGATCCAAGATGGCGAGCACACATACGCAACCATCTACAGTACCCAAAACTAATGCTTTACCATCTTCTGTACTTTCTATTGCAGTTAATTCGGCTTGACAACGATAATTTGCAATCATTTCAGAATCACCAGTTCTAGAATAATAAATTTATTAGATACAACATAATGTTGTATGCAACCATACATACCTGAACACACGTAGAGTTTTCTTACCGCCATGATAATACAAAACGTATTCTTCTGTTTTATTAAACATGCAGATAATAGAAAACACTCCTTCGGCTACTTTAGGTATAAATGTCTTTTCAGTTTGACCTTTTCTTAGTTCAATCAACTCCAAACCACCTCTATTATTATTTATAACAATTTATATTATCAATTTTAAAATGTTTAATTGAATAATTACCTTGCCGGGGCATAAAGACCAAATTTACCATCCTTTGTACAAATCCCACCCCATTTTGGAACGTTCCTTACGTGTTTCTTTGATTTAATATCCAAAATGGCGGTTTTATCCGCAGAAATCACGCCAACCAGAGTCGCTTTCTGTGGCATTGCAACCAGCCCATTAATATCCTGAATTAATTTGAATTAAAAACAAAAGTTAAACTAATTTAATTGCCGGTGACCTCACTTTGATTCCACTCGATTTCAACCCTATTTTCGCTACAAACGCCCCAGTTTTTAAACTGTGTACAATCACGCAATCGCGATTGGATTTCGCCTCAGCACCAGACATAACAATATGCTGATTATCCGGAGTAAACACTGCATTCCGAAAGGGTACACCTGTTATCGACCTCACTGGATACGTAAACGAATACTCCATTTCACCATCAGGTATATTTCTAACCACGACGGTAGCATCCGTCTTAACCATGTCATTTCCTGGAGCGTTGTTAGGTTTTGATATTGTTAACACTTTCGTACCTTCATCAAATAATGTTAACTGTTTTATTCCTTGTTGTTCTACTTTAAAATGCACTTGTTCTGTTAATCTGTACCAATAAATTAAATTTCCTGATTCGGCGGAGATGATGTATCTACCATCAGGGGTAATTTCAGCATGGGTAACAATGGCGCCCAATGGGCTATCCGCTAGTTTAGCTAGTAGTTTCCCTACTCGCAGATCCCAGACACCAACGCAGTTACGTGTTGCAGTCACAGCTAGACTTAAGTCACCAGAAAGACTTATAGAGTCTACTTGTAGTTCATGTCTGTCAATTGCATGCACTTGTTCAAAGATGTTATTAATATTCCAGACTTTTACAGAGCGATCAATGGAGGATGTAACAATGCTGTTCCAGTTGCCTATAGTTAACGGTTCTAACTGGACAATACGGCCAAAATGAGCGTCCAGGACTTTCATTAATTTGCAAGTTATTACATCCCACACGTATAGATTTTTTCTGACACCCGCAATGGCATAATTCTTCTGGGCACTTAAGACAATTGAGTTGGATCGCAACATTTTTGTAGTAATATTGCGGGTTGCATATGGTAGAGACAAAACAATGGGACCTGTTGAGATTCTTTCGGATTCTTCAGGATTTCTATCCCAGATCATGAATCCATTACTGGTAGTAGCTACAATAAATGTATTAATAGAATATTAAAGGTAATAAATATAGTTTTTGAAAAAATACCAAACAAAACATGATCATCTTTATCCAATTTAAGTTGTAACACAATTTCTGTGTCGTCAACTTCAGCCCTTGGTAGATCATCAACTTTCAGCCATGTTTTTGTATCAGGGTTTAATGTATATTCAGTAATTCCGTAATTACCGACATTAGTACAGGTGTATATTGTTTTATGATTTTTTGTGAAAGCAATTGCACTAAAATTAGTAATTTTAAAATTCATGCAACCATTTATGTTGTTTTTACCTGTGATATTCGAATGATTCATAGTCAATTCCACCAAAAACATACTCCAATAACATTTTATCATTATCAATGTCATCCGTCCAATAGATAATACGATAGTTGGTTGGATCAAAGAAATACATTGCTAGAAATCAAAATAAATCAATTTTTAAAATGATTTTTACATTTCATCTGTGTACTTACATAAAATAGACCATTCATTATCCATATAAATAGTATTTTTTGTACTTATGACATTCCCACGCATGTCATACATTACCCAAGTTTTCTGCCCATAAATAAATAAATTATGATTCAATAAAAACCCGCCCACAACAGGCGGAGCTTCCTTTTCCGCCTCTTCAACTTTTCCTTTCTCTGCTTTTTCCTTTTCTTTTTCTTTTAATTCCTTTTCTGGGTGTTCCACACCTTCAGATTCCTCTTCTTCTTTCTTCAAAGGATTTTTAATCAAAACAAACTCACTTGTTAACATATTCAATAAAACAGTTTGATGATTATTAGTATAAGCAGACGCCCATTTGTTATCAGGACTTAAAACCAACTCTTGTAGAATACCTTCTATATTTGGATTAACATCACGTGTTAGATCACTGGTAGACAAATCCCAAGTGATAAACCGATTAGAAATTGATACTACATATCGGTAATCAGAAGTTAAACAAATCGAAAACACAGCAAATTGATGTCCTTCTAAAGAGTATTTCAAAGGACCTCCCGGAGTATGAGAACAATGATACAGAGGCATAAGAGCACATTGTTGAGGACCTTTCAAATCGCAATCGTTGAGAAGCATTTTAATATTTGGATTGGAAGCAACTTCCGGAAGAAGACGACCAACTAATTGTGGTGCTAACATGTCAGGATATTGACCCAAAACGGCTCCTCCAAGACGAAGAGCATCAGCCACAAGTAACAACTCACGTTGGGCTTCTTTACCATCAATGTGAGCAGTAGCATCTTCATAATCTGAAAGAATAGCTTGCAGAGGACAACTGCATAGTTTACGGTGAAGCCATTCGTAATTAAAAAGAACATTTTCGTATAAATCTTTGAATCGTTTGGAACGTATGAGGTGAAAAGGTAATTCACCAAACTACAAAATGAAAATGAAATAAATTTGTATAATTGGTTGCCTATTATCATACCTTTCGAAGATTATATCTGGTAACTGATCCATCCTTTCCAAGAAACACCAAAGGTTGTAATGGTACTTTTCTATCAGCAATACCTTCCTTATCAGCAAGATTAAACCGATGTCTTTGAATTTCCGTGTACTTGAATGGTTTTGGATTACCACCTCCCCATATACCAATGTAATAATCAGCAATCATCGAATGAAAGTACAAAGCCATATTTTGATTCTTAAAATATCTTTCTTTGGCAGTATCTCGGAATTGTCTGTGATACCAATTCATAACACTAACGCCGTCCGCCTCACGCTCAGAGAGATAATTCGGTAAATCATTCCGGATTCTCGTCCATAACAATGGCGGAATGCGTCTGACAGGCGGCATATGATACTGATAAACATCATCTAGTACCTTATCATCTAGAGATATTAAATCTTCTAGTTCTGATTCTGATAGTCCACTCTTTGCTGCTGTTATGTAAGCCAACGCGTGGAAAACCAACAAGCGGCCATGTTGTTTTTCAATTCGTTCAAATAGCATCATGATAGAATCCATAACTGTTGATGCAAGATGAGTATCCTGCGGTTTTGTATAACTCCTCCAACGGCACACTTCAGCAAATACAAGTTTGATGAATATAGGTAACGAACATTTATCGATTGCATTGGAAACTAATCTCCATTGATAGTTAGAAAGATCACGACAAGCAGTTTGCATCCACATTTTCATAACACGCATTGCCAGGTCTTCACCGAGCGGTAAAACATTTATAAAGTTTTCTCCTTCAATCATTTTACGTAGAATGTGATATTCTTTTGATACTTCTGGGTTGGATTCTTCATTTGCACAGGTTACAATTATCTAAGAACAAATTTAGTTTAAAAAACGTGGAATTTTACTAAAAATAACATTGATTTACTTTGACATGCGGTGGAAGTCTGGTAGGCAACCAAGAAACCTTATTCCCAGTGGTAGTTCCTGTCAATTGATCAACAGAATCCAAGAAGAAGAACATTGGCTGTTCTTTTGTCGCCATTGTCAGCAATTGTTTAAAATGAGCTGTCAGAGGCACCAAATCATCCGGTATAGTATCAAATGCAATCATGAAATTATAAGAAATCTGTAAACATTTATAATAAATAAAAATTCTAGTCCACAATAGAGGTTATGTTGATTACCTGTTGACATATTGAAATTAAAGTAGGTGTCAACGCACTAGAATCAGGCGTAGTACCCAAATATCTAATAATACTCAATGGTTTTGCATTTGGGAACCACGCATTCGCCGTTGACATTGCCGCGCTTTTTGACAGCAAAGAAGTCTTACCACAACCACCTTCCCCATATAAAACAAATGGTTTATCATCATCACCAATCATATACTCATGAATCCTCTCGAGATCTTCATCTCTACCATAGAATACTTTAACGGAATTATTACAAGCGTGTAAATGTTGTAAGATTTCAGTAACAATTTGTCCTTGAGGACTGGAATCTTCCTTCCGCATTGCTCGATCTACTAGTTTTATAATATTCTTATAGAAGTGAGTTATGAAGTTTTTCAAATACTCTCCATGTGTTTCTGTGTCAAGACCTTCGCGACCAATCCACTCCACAGTGTATTTCTCCATATTAGAAGTTTCAAGTTTTTCCTGAAGTCGTTCATCTCGCAAATTAGCCAACAACTTAGACGATTCCAGATCAAGACTTCTGTTGATAATATCCACAAAGAGTGATGCTTTCTTAAGGTTTTGTAAATTAATATTGTTTATATATCGCACGTAGCCAAGACAATGATTCTTTGTATTTTTCACATTCAAGACGCCATTTATCACCTCGCGTTCAGTGACTGACATGAAATAATTATGCATCTCTTCATGCGTCATCTTTCCTTGCTCGTACAAAGAACTAGAAGCTTTACGAAATAATTTCTGAAACTTTTCTAGTGTACCCCACCAAATAGCTTGATCTTCCGCTTGTAGTTTCGGAATACGTTTGTTGTTAAAATTGATTAATATAGAAGAGATTGGTTGTAGAATCGATACGGGTGGCACAGCATTAGCGTCCTTTTTGTACCAGGTGTCGATTAGTGAAGCGTCACAAGCAGTAGCGACGAGTTCTTCACGAATCAACATTAGTTCAGATGTTAGGATATAGGTTGGAATAGGACGGTAGCCATATTTCTGGCCTAGAAAGACGACGAAATTGGGACCCATCGACAAGCGCTGGCAATTCTGAATTTCACGCATGCAAAGCTCAGTTGTCATGTGATCATCTGTTGCTTCATCTCGAACACCCCATCGCATGTCCACGACCTGCATTGTGGAATGAAGTGTGTGAGAGGTAGGTATGTGACCTTCGATTATGGTTTATTACTGATGGGGATAAAGCGCAATGTCATCTACTGAATGTTTCGCATAAGAACGTAAATCAAACAAAAGGAAGTAAATTGATAATGGCGGCTTACTGATTTAATATCTGATCGTGTTTTCCGAGTATTATAATAACGAGTTTTGTGTATTATCGTATAATTTAACTTCAAAAGTAATTTTATGAAAAGTGATATCAAATATCATTATAAATGTGATTATACTATAAAAATTATGTGTTTATAATGAGATTTTTTCATGTTTTCGTTTTGTAATTTGCGTTAAATTCTGATACATTCAGTACATAGAACTTTTATCGCGCCACGCACATGTCAGAAAGTTATAAATCAAACTTTAACAAGTTATCCTGTGGGTAATCGGATGGCGCATTGGTACCATCTTGTACCAAGCTACAAGGGTGACCCACAATCCTCAAATACCAGCACAATCGATTACTCCACGTCAAAGTTTTCAAACTTCTTTTGTGTTTTAAATGTTTTCGCAATGTTTGGTAAAATAACATGAAATTAAACTTACTTGAAATTCCAGACCGTGCTTTTCTCTGCAATAATCTTTGATTCTTGGATAACATTTTGCCATCAACGTATTTCTTTCCATAGTAGTATCTTAAGAATTAATAATATTAAATAGTCTTTTGTTTAAAACAATAATTTAAACAATAAAATACCTGTGAAAGTGGAACTTGTAAATATCCTCACAATTTTTGAACTAACCGGAGGTAACTTGGCCAGACTACCGGCAAATATCGTGTCAACCGTTTTCTCGTCCATCTTGATGGCAACTGAGTTAAAAATTCAAACTTCACGCAAACTAGACTCAGAAAAATTGGTTCACAACACGGGTAGAGTTATAATACGAATTCAGTACCAAGTACCGAATTGTTGGATACAATGGATACCAACAGTTGAAAAGTTAGCTAAGAACTAACACCGGTTAGCGTGTCTTAGCACTATTTATAGGGAGCGCAAAGGTTTGTGCTACTTGAAATCGATATGTATTATAGCCATTTTAAGGTGCCCAAAAACATGATATCGGAAATACTCTAAAGATAAAAAACTCAAAAAGAAGCACAATAACTAATTAATTATAAGAGTTTTGTTTACACGCAATCAAAGTTCGTGCCATACTGTGTTATGATATTTAAAAATTCAAAATAAGAGCAGATGGTCAACTTTGCAGTGCATCACGATAATCCAATGTCATTTGTTTTCGTCTACGACAAACTTTTCGCATGCGGTTTATTTTACAATTGATGACAATTGGCGTACAACGTGACAAGGAGACATTATAATTACCTAGACGCAATTCATTATAAAACATAATAAAATGTTTCATCCCAATATAATTTTGCTAGTGCTGTTAACTGCAATAAAAGTATGTCTGGTACAAGTAAGTAATTATAATCCATACAGTTTGTATCTGCAAACTTCAATGGTGGCGGAAACCACGGTGCAAACAAACAAGAATTGTTTTTGTGTGCCATACTGGCAATGCAAAGAAGACTTTGTTGGTTTAGTTGATGATGGTGCTGATATCATGGATATAAGGTATAAATATTTGATTTTTGTATTTCTGGGAGTAATAATTACTAATAATTTAAGAGTTTACGAGGAAGAAACACAAGAAGATGAAAGTGAAGAATGCACAGGAGACTTTGATGTCTGTTGTCAAGTGCAATGCGGAAAGTTAGGCAGCATTAGCAATTCTTCCCTGATCGGTGACACATTAGCATATAGAATAGTAAGTGACGGTGCAAATCCATCAAACGCAGCCAACTTCGGTGAGTTTCCCTGGATGTTGGGACTACTACAAAACCGTGCGTACAAATGTGGCGCGTCTTTAATTCATCCTAAGGTAGCCATCACTGCAGCGCATTGTGTAGCTCAAGGCGGCGTATTCAAAGTACGCGCAGGTGAATTCGATTGGGCGAATCAACAAGAACCATTACCTCATCAAGATAGATTAACACAAAAGGTAAAACTATCATAAAACAATATGAAAAGTTATAATAAACTTAAAATATCAATAGATTATAATTCATCCTCATTATCATCCGCCATCTTTAAGTAATGACATCGCTCTGCTTATTTTGAATCAAGAATTCAAACTCACTGAAAACATCGGCGTGGTTTGCCTCCCGCCGCAGGCCCCGAAAGGTTCCCAACCAACAATAGATAAAGCATGTATAGCAAGCGGATGGGGCAAGAACTCTTATCAAAATGGCGCTTATCAAACCACACTTAAAAAGGTTGAACTTCCGGTGGTTCCTCAACAACAATGCCTGCACAGCCTACGCACAGCTCGCCTTGGACCACATTTCCAGTTACATCCGAGTTTCATGTGTGCTGGTGGAAAGCACAACAAAGATACGTGCAAAGGAGACGGTGGAAGTCCATTGGTGTGTCCAGTGGACGATTCCAATGAGCACTTCGAACAAGTTGGCATCGTCTCATGGGGCCTAACGTGCGGGCTGCGTAACACACCAGGCGTGTACGTGAACGTTGCCATGTTCATCGATTGGATCGATAAACAATTAATTTCGTTGAATCTCGATACATTTATCTACAAATTATGAAGAGGATAATCTCTGAATATCAGGATTAAAGTATTTTTTATATATAATGACGACGCACAGCAAGTCATATCTTACAAGATTTTATATTATTATAGCACATTCACAATGTTCATACTTTGGAAATGTTTTCTTGTTTTCTTATATTATTTTGATGCCCAAGGATGATTCTTCATGTCCTGTTAATCAAAGGTGACACACAACTTGCGAGTTGTTGTTTCGACAATGCACAACATTGCCAATTTACCTACGATGATGCACAATTGCGACAATAATGTGTAATACTAAGAAACAACTGCAAACGCAGCGTGACTTTGCAAAAGTGTCTCCGCTTCAAACATCCAGCATCTTGTATCGTCTTAAAAATTGTAGTTATTTGGACTGTCTCTTAAAAGGTACGACGCCTTCATTCGAAATTTCAATGTCAATGTGTAAACTATGAATCGTGTCAGTTTCTTTATATATTTTAATAACACTCGCCTAATTTTATACCGTGTGTAGTTCTAATAAAACAGAATTTAACAAATATACTGACCCCGCATCGAAATGATAGCAATTTGCTGTTACATTTGCAAAAAAAAAGGGGGATAAAATAATCAAACTCTATTTCGTATTTACAATAGTTTCACTAATATTAATTAGTTCGCACGTCGGAACCAATCCGCGATTTAAATAATTAAGTTAAATGGTTGTAAATCTGAATCCATTGTTTCCCATTTCTGAGCGCTCGGAATTTCGTATGTTATGGCTGTTTTGAATTGAATGCACACGCAAATCGCACCGTAATAAATTATTTACACATGTACCTCTGTGATTTCGACCATCAATTGAATGGAATTTCGTATAAACGCTCTCTAATCGATCTTCACAGTCGAGTAGATCTTTCGCACAAAGAGCGACGTGCCCGCATAACCAACAGTGCCGCACATCACAGCCATGCCAGCACTAAACAGCGCCATGTAGCCAAAGTAGAACGCGGTCTGGAAGAGACCGTACATCTTAGTCTTGAAGAAGAAATAGTACACGGCGTAGAAGTAGACGTAGAGTGCCGTCGAGGCCGCGCAGAGAAACGACGTCCACTGCCAGCGGTAATCTTCCGCATTGAGCAAGAAGTACGCGCAGACTATCGTCACACAAACGACGACAATCAGCAGGATAATATAGACGAGCAGCATGAAGCCATACACGTAGTAAATTTTGTACGCCCAGAAGGACGTGAAAATAAAGTACATTTCGATGAAAATCGACGCAAAAGGTAGCACCCCACCGAGCATAATAATAACACCCGGTTCCATAAACCATTTCTTCTCGGGTATGGGACGTGGCACGGCGTTCACACGACACGGATGATCCGGCTGGCCGGCGAGATTGCGCCCGAGGACGGTGCCCACAAGCGTGAGCGGCAGGATAACAAATAGGCAGATACACGTAACTGCCACCATCGTTCCAAAGGGAATCGCACGCGACGCATGATAGTAGATCGCAATGAAATTAATCAGAAACGCGGTGCCACACACCAAAGCGGGCATGAGAAAAGCCGATACTAACATCTGTCTAATCCATAATTTACCACCCATTCGGGCATATAACGACCCACCAAAGTATCCATTCACTGGTGAGGTCACAGCATAGACGAAAATCGACGTTGACAAGAGAGATCCGCGTTCGGTGTACAGCTCGCCCAAAATCGCAAATGTGATGACGCTGAAGACGACAGTAGTCAATTGATGACCGGAACCAATCAAAGCACTAAAAAGCAATGAGTGCGATGCGGGTCTAAACACATCACCATGCACTTGCTTCCATCCGTATTCGTCACCCAAATCTCTTTCCATGTCGTCTACGTCGTCGTCTTTGGAATATCTAGCGTAATCTTTACGCAGTGTCCTCATCAGGATCATGGACACCAAACCAACTAAGAAAATGACCATCATGAAGCTGTTAAAGATGCTGAACCAATGGATGCGGTGCTGGAAGAAAGAGGGATCAAGATATTTATCGAAACGATCCTCGAACTTGATGTTATTCTTCTTCCAGATGACTTCATAAGTGAAGGAAAGTTTCGTGTTCGGCGTGAGGAGAACTTTGTCTTCCGATGTGATGTTGACATCGACTATCTGTTTACCATTATAACCGATTTCAAACTTCTTGTGTGTCCAGATGTAGTAATTAGAATCAGTTACTTCGCCAACAATGCCCCAGATTGGCAGATCATCAATATACATTTGATACCAGTAGTGGTTTTTGACAGCATAGACAAAAGCTTTGTATTTTTCAGCGTCTAATTGAACGCCGCAGTAGATTGCTTTGTGGACATCAACTGAAAGAATAAATATTTAAATTTATTTGCAATTATTTTCAGGTGTAAAATGATTTAAAAACAGCAGGTGAGTTGATGCAAACATTTTAACACAACACCTCCTTATCAAACATGAACAAGATAAATTGTTCAAATAAATTTCTGAAACAATGGCTAGATACTGTGTAAGTAATAAAATATTATATGAAATATGAAGAAACTTCTTTTGTAAATATAATTTATCCCTAAATATTTAGAAAAATTGACACCATTCTCTTTGAAAAATGAACCAAACTGCTTATATTGTAAAGTAAATGATAAAACTTTAAAAACAGAAAGCAATTATTTAAACAATTGTGGATTTATGCAGCATACCAAATAATATATAATTGAATGCCACATAATAAAGAGCTGATAAGAATGTTTTACCTTTGAATTCAATATCAATCCCACTGATTTCCAGCTCTACACCCTGCAATGCTTCACTCATGGTTTCATGGTAATGATTAATTGCATTCTTATTGCCAGCACAGAATGGCAATGAGAAATAGGCATAAGTCTCCTGCCTGTTGTGGTAGGGCCCAACTGTATTCATCCACAGAACTACCTCATCTTTATCCTCATACTGAAAAATAAAAATGTACATTACTACGCGATAATATCACATATGGTGAAATATAACTGCATCAATAGCAAATTGTGAAGATGCATATTGTTTACACATTTCGTAGAATTCTGTGTAAGCAATGTTTCGGTAGATACGTACTAAATGGTCGTGTTCATCGGCGAAAGCGCCGAGAAGGGCGATCACTGCGACGAATGTTCGCAGAAGATACATCTCGAATTGATTGTAGAATCGCGAACGGCGCGAATCGATTTCGGCTTGCGGATGGTTCAATCACACCGGCCTGTGGCCATAAGATGCGAATTCTCGGTTGGCGAAATTGACTGCGCGCACAACACGTAGACACGGCGGACACAGGGAGGCGCGGAGCGGAGGACACTTGATGAAAATACACTGCTCGTGCTGGTCCGCAAGCTGTCAGCCGATGTCGACCGCTCGCGACTGACTTACTGTCAACAACATTCCTCGGGTGTGTACGTGCGTGTTCGTCAGGTGAGGCGGAATTAAACGAGAAGCACAAAAATAAATTAAAAACAATTATGCCGCGAATGCGCTTCTTCTAATTTAAATTAAATAAAATTTAATTGCGGAAACATCTCAAGATATTTTTATGTTTTAAATAACTTTATTCAAATATTCTATACCTACGCTATGAATTTGAACGATTTGCAATGTTAAACTTTTGTTTGAGACCATCATACACATGTGAATAAGGTTTCTGCAATTGAGATGCTGATAATGGTATCTTGCAACTACGTTTCACCCTAGGCGACATTAAAACCAAATTCTGTATGAGCCCATATGCGGATGATGTGGTCCAATATAAAGTTAAACACTGAAACATAAAATATTTACAAAAATTCACAAAAAAACTATAAATATCTTACTGAAGGAACTGATGCTGCAATGGGAATCATTATAATACTAAATACTCTAAAGAAATTCGTCAGATAACGTTGAAATTTACTTGGTGGGTTCACTTTTGATAAAACTTGCAACTAAAACATTATTCTCACTTTTTCTTCTGCATTTTTTAATACAAACTGTTTTATACCTCAATGATAGCCAAGTTTATAACACCTAATGCCACTGGCAAAATCCATGAACTATCCACTTCAATAAGATTTGGTATCCAGCCAAATCCACCCATGGAAAGCTCCCTGAGTGTCACTTTAGCATCAAAATCCAGCTTTGGCAATTCATAAACTAAATTTCTTAAACTGACGGAAAATGATATCCACATTGGTATTTGAAACCACATTAATAAAGTGGCTTTTACTGGATGGCAATTATCTCTTTCAACCAAATTACGCCATTGCTTTTTCACCTAAAGCAAAGCAATTTTAGTGTTAAATTAAAAACAACCTGTAACAAATACCTACAGCCTTTTTAAACTCATATTTAGCTGTTTGTTCATTCCAATTATACAACCTAACAGCAACAGACATTTCCTTGTTGATTTCCTTTACAATTTCAGGCATTTCCTTGTTGATATTTTCAACTTTAGCCATAATATACTGCTGATAAATAGCAAGAGGTACTGTCACCATGGACCTCATCATTATTGTTGTACATATTATTGTGGCCCACCATGGAAGACCTGTGGCTGCATGTAAGTTGACTAGTAAACCCTGAACACATTCAACTGGAGTGCTTTCAGATATGGCTCTGAAGACACCAGTTTGAGTTGTTGCCAATGATTCTATTGTTGATTGTAACGAAAAATTTCGTTTTTGGCCATAAAATGCTCCCATATTACATCTACCTGCTACATTATTTGTACGGTCATTTCTATGGGCACTTTTAATAAATATTGAGCTTGAAAATTGAGATAACTGGTTTAAATTTCGGCTGCATAACCTCCATGTCGAACCAAGAGCCCGCAACACGCTCATTGTGGTGATCTATGTGGAACCGAAACTTCGCCACAAATACGTTTCTAGCTGGTGTTTAAAAGATCTGCGTGGAATTTTACATTGCTTAAAAATGACCGCAAAACGGGACAATAATTTAAGAAAATTTTAAAACTCTTATGACTTTCATTGAAATTTTGAGGAATTAACATTTGACATTTGTAAACACGAATATACACGAAATTTACATCTTCGGGTATATTCGTAGAACACATGGGCAGCGCATATTGTTAATTTAAATGTCAGATTGATTAATGTCTCCAAATTTGATGTGTGTATTCTCATAAACATTTCTAATCCTTCAAATTCCAACTTTACAATATAATGAAGAAATAAGTGTATTATTTACTGTGACTCGATCAATTAAAGTGATGAGTTGCAGTTCAGCACGAGACGCTAATGATCTATTTACATGAACATTCACAACAGAAACAGCTGCAACCTGCGCCAGTCGCGCAAAACAGTGCACGCAGAGAGAAAGTGTGTTTACGTCGATGCGCTTTAGCAAGTTGAACTAGACGAGACCGAAAACACTCATCGAAAAGTAGTGTCATTCGATTGCGCGTGAGTGGCGTGAGTATTATCACATCGTCCTGTTTGGCATTAATGTGTTTGTGGCAATACATCGACGACGAGAGCCAGTGTGCAGCGTGCAGTGTTTACACCAGTTCGTGTCTGTTTGGTGGCGCAATTCAGACTGCCGTTTCTCATTTGTTATTTTAACGGTTTCGCCACTTGCGTTCGCATCTCGAATTAAAAAAAAATGCTCGCGATTGAGGAAGTAACTACACGCGTGCTCGTGTGTGAAGTCGTGGGTGTTTAAGACGATTTAGGCCAGCCGCAACCTAAATCAAAGCAAAACTCTGGAGCATGCGGTAAGCGTGCATACGTCTTTGCATCATCGCCGTATTTGGACTTTTTGCCAGCCCACGCACTCCACAACTACACGAACGGGACCATGGGTGCTGCATTCAGTAATTATTCGCCCCATCAGATTGTTGTTGATCTGGTGCGTGGTAGGAAGCGAAAGTTTAGCGAATCTAGCTCTCAGGATGAAATGGATAAAATTATCGACATCGCCATGCACACGCCAAAAAGGTAACTTTATGTTTTATGACTTTGTATGTATTTATAGTGATGAAGTCATCGTCGAAAGTTACCGCACAACTACCGGTAGACGGTGACATTTTCCAGCTACTTTAGAACATACAAATTTACACCTTTGTGTAATCAAGAATTTGCGCTTATCAACTGTAGAATATTATTATTCATGTTCAGTTTATGCTTGGATAAGTCTGAGAACTTCCTGAACAGTGTACGTTTGTTTCATGTTTCGTTTTACGATAAGTTTCACTTAGTTTCGATGCATTTAAAAGTTATGAAGCATATTTTTATAATTCTGCTATTTTTTAAATTAAATAAAAATCAATTGTTCGATGATTCAGGTCGGTGTTTATCACACTACACGTCGTGGCCTTGTATTGTCCGTATTTTAAATGAAAAGCCTCATTAAATTCGATGGGTCGCATTGAGGAATGCATATATGGCCGGACAGACCTGAATTACTAATTAATTTTCCGTGCAGTGCATAAAACACAAATTTTACACACGTTGTTAATGTCAACCATTAATTCGGTACTATGCGTGACATAAAACTACCTAGTTGTAATTAAGTATTAATTAATTATTAAGAAACTTTTTCATTTTGCAGAAAAAAACTATGCAGCACTGTCCAATACATTTACCAAGCCCTCTTCGTGGAAGGCCGCGACAGCGACGTGACTGTCGTAGCCCTCGACGAAGAATTCGCCCTTCACAAAGTGTATCTCGGCCAGAGTCCCTATTTCGCCAGTATGTTCGGCGGAAACTGGAAGGAAACCGGCGAGACACGCATTGAAATCGACGTGGTTGACCCACTGATTACCAAGGATGCGCTGCGGACAGTACTAGGTGCACTCTACAGCGATGAGCTACACCTAGAACCCCTTGGCGTCGTGAGTGTCTTAGCCGCAGCAACAATGCTGCAACTGAATGGCGTGATCGAACGCTGCGGTGAAGTAATGCTTGAGACAATCAATCCCCATACGGCGTTGCACTATTACGACGCCGCGTGCCAATACGGAGACGTAAAACTGCGCGACCAGTGCGTGCAGTGGTTTCTGCTGAATCTAATGATGTACTATAATAATAGTCTGAACGACCTGCGTACCATTCCTGTCACTTTAATGGAGCACCTGGTGGGACATCCGGGGCTTTGCGTGATGAAGACTGAAATCACCCTGTATGTCCTGCTGTCTCAATGGATGTACTTACAAACTCATCCGGAGTGTGATGAGAGTATTGGATCGAGGGATATTGCTGCATTTTACTGCAATAGAAGCGGTAATATTAATAAAAACTTAGTAAATTTAGTTGTATTTTAATTTTTTGTTATTTACCAGGTCAAGTTCCATACTTATTGACTGAAGAAGGTGCCTGCTTCGAGAAGGTCTTCCGTGCGTTACGAATTCAACATCTAATCGCCCATCACATGGACGTGGAGCTTTTACTGCGGGATAATATTGTACCACGCATGTGGCTTGATCGTATCATCCTCCAAGGATGGAAATGTACACTGCGTATCAATCAGAATGAAGAAAAAGGTCCGGACAACTGCTCGGATGAAACCTTCCTTAATGTTGCACTGCGCTGTGGCCGAATATTGACCACAAATGAAAAACACATGTGGCGATGGACGGGCTTCCACTACGGCCTAGATTTAATCATGATTGCTGACGAGAATAGTCTCTCGGTGAAGCGCAACCATCGTCCTGAGTTCGAGCAGTTATTGAGTCTGCAAGGCGTGCGGCATATAATCATCCGCGTCTCGGTGTACGCGCTCAACGAACAGAAGCAGATCACGTTCACGCAGTGCTCGGGTATTCATCGACTAGCTCTGCACAAAAGTGAAGAGGTGACGCTCATCAAGTTCCCACCGGACATTCAGTTCCCGCTTGTGCTTTCCGCGAATGTACTTTATACCTCTCCGTTTGAGGCGCGTGATGAATCAGTGCAGTCGATCTAATCTATAAGCTCCACATACACATATAGTCATATAGTATTGTGATTAATGTACCAATGCACTAACTTTATTATAATGATAACGTTGAAAATTGATCGACTTTAAAAACACGTGCTTATTCAAAGCGGGTAAATTCTGAGTGCAAACGTTTAATATACTTAACTTTAAGACAAAGAGGAGGAGAAACAAATGTAACTAATCTTTATAAAATTATTTTCGTTTTTATAAGATTGAGTGTACATTACCGGTAAGATTAACACAACTAACTTCGCGCGGACGCGAAAATTCCATGTTGTTATCATTGTTCTTGTGATATACTTAATGTCGATTATTTCATTGAAATTTAGCGTCGATAGTATTTATTTAAGTACATATGACCATTCTATCATTGCAGAGTGTATTCGCTTGAGTTTTTTTCTTTTCTATTAACGATGCCATTTCTTTTTTATATTAATTACGGAATCACGCTAAATATGTAGAAATCTTAAGTTGTTTTTTTTTGCGTTCAACTAATAATCACACATAAGAGAAAACAAAGTGCTCTTACCACTAAACGGTTTAACTTGCGTTCACTAAAAAAATGTTACTAAAATGACTAGTCACACAATGCGGCGCAACATTTCTCTATGAGTAAGCTTGACCATTGAGTACTATATATTTATATAAATAACAAGAGAATATTTAATAAAATATTTACTACTATCGATATGGCAGGGTACATAGATGGTTGTTGTTGAGAAGAGTTTTTATGCTTTGCGGAGATCAAAGGATTTATCTTATGTTCATACTCACTGATAGTTATGTTAATAAACATGTTTTGTATATATTTCTTGCTATGTATTAAAATTCTTCCGCGGGACGTGCACAAACAGGTTAACAGAGCATCTATTGCACTATTCTCTAAAAAGTGAAACTAGTTTTGAGTGTTAAACTATGCCTTACACACTGGACTTAGAAAACTTTGCTGAGTACTTGTTCAACGGTCATATACACACCTTCCTCCTGATACGCAGACTCATGTTTCGCCAGGAGACGTAAAAGTGGTCGGAGTTTCATCCACCAATGATCAACACCAGTACGATGCCTAATAACATTACAATTGTATTAGATTCTTGATTTTCATTTAGTGATTACAATGATGTAGAGACTTACGTAAAATCGGTCACCAATTTCAAATCAGAAACCGGTGTGAATTGATACTGCCTTCTCTGAACTCCCAGTAAAACGCAACTGTTTACCACAGTGCAAGATGGACATCCAATGCGTTTATCAACCTCTGTCCGCATCCACATTGCTGCTTTAGCGGCGAATTTCGTCCCCATTATCCGATCGAACGGACTCGGCCGTCCACCCTGCTGCATATGCCCGAGAATATTCATCCTGGTGCTGAAAATGCCCTTACCCTCCTCGGCATACAACCGATACATAAATTCAGTGTTGTAGTTGTCATTTGCAAGTTCATTCCGCAGCACTAGACCACGCTGCACACCTTCAGACATTTTCGTTGCCATATGATAAACATCTTCCTGTAGATCTTTAATCGAAAACTTTTCTTCGTGAATGTACGCTGCGTCTGCCCCGGCTGCAAGACCAGCGCATGTAGCTAAATATCCACAGTATCCGCCCATCACTTCAATGATAAACACACGCCGTTTGGTGCCTTGCGCCGACTGTCGAATTCTATCGCAAATCTCAGAGATTTCATTCAGCGCAGTGTCCGCGCCTAAAGAGAACTCTGTTCCAGGTACATTGTTACTAATGGTGGCAGGAATGACTACAATTGGCATACGAAACACGGGATAGGTTGATTTTGCATCCAACAATTCTACAGCACTTTGATACGCCTCGAAACCTCCGATTAGTAATAGACCGTCGATTTGAAAATTCTCCAGCTGTTGGGCAATTTGCGCAATATTTTTCCCAGCAGTAACGCGTCTTGTGCCTAATTTAGCACCACCTGTAGATACCCATCCGTCTACATCGGCCCACTCCAATCGCTTGAAGTTACCCTGAATCAAACCATCGATACTATCCAGCACGCCGTATGTGATATCGCCACAGAAGATCGCATTACGCACGAAGCCAAAGATGGCCGCGTTCATACCGCATGCAGGGGCACCAATAGTTACAATTGCATAACGATAAGGACGAGTTTTCTTCAGATTACAGGTTTGTTGGTCTCTGTGCGGTTTTAGTCTCGACATTAATTTGTAGCTTTCCAGATTCCGTTCGAATGAAATTCCACGTAGTTTTGAAGCCATTTCGAAATCCTTATTGGCGAGTGCTTGACCAACAGCCAGCGTTTGTCGCACACACTCCATGAGAGGCAATCTTATAATCTGATTACCATCAAGAGATATACATAAAGGCTGGTCATTAGGATTGGCTTCAAGAACTGCCAACACTGCTTCAGCCCCCATGCGACATGCAAGAACACGATCGAAGGCTGAAGGATTACCACCGCGCTGCACGTGACCCAAGACGGTGACTTTGGTGTCTTGTTTGAGCTCCTTTACAATTACGTTTTTTATTTCTTCTGCGGTGATTGGATTTCCCTGTCTGTCAATGGCACCTTCCGAAGCAATGATTATATTCAGACGTCTTCCTTCATTGCGTTGCTAAAGAAAAGCATAATTAATACTAAATAATGAAAATTAAAGAAAACAGTGTCAAGTGTTTCACTTAAATCACACATTAATTAATTTAGTGGTACCTGAGATAGTTTACGGCATAATTTGTCAGGCCAATCCGCCGTAGGTGGATCTTCCGGAATGAACACAAAGTCAGCCTCGCAAGCGAGCGAAGCCACAAGGGCGAGATAACTGTAAAATTTCATTCTCTTACCACACTTATCAAAGTCAAGTTAACGATTCAAACATGCATACAAGGATAATGTGTTTGTTGTTGAGAAAGAAAAAAAAAACGCAAGGATAAAGTGATATAAGTGAATGGGAGGGATACCTGCGAGCACTTGTCGCACATCAACTTCCTCCAGTCATCTTCCGCGGGGTATTCTGGTATAAAGACCATATCAGCCTCACACGCAAGTCCTGTCACCAGTGACAGGTACCTACGAGTTGTTAATCGTGAATGGCAAGCACAGAAAGTGTTATTGCACACAAGAGGAATGAAAATATTGCCGAATCGAAACATACCCGCAATGTCTGCCCATGACTTCTAGAATAAATGTCCTCTGATGTGAATATGCAGTGGCAACAATACAGTCAATAGCTTCAATGATACGATGTAGTGCTGAGTCGGTACCGATGGTCATGTCCGTGCCGCAAAAGTCGTTGTCTATGGATCCGACCATGCCTACAATCTGTAAATTCGCACATTTCTTCATCTGATCTTGATTGATCAGTTGCTCGGCTAGCAGTTCGTTCAACAATGCTGGCCAATCTTCGCGGAATAAATTGGCCCCGGTGAGGCTTCCATCGCCTCCGATAATCACTAAATTATTAATCTCATGTTTGACTAAATTGTGGGCGGCTCTTTTACGGCCTTCGCGTTCTTTGAACTCCATGCATCGCGCTGTTCCGATAATAGTACCGCCCAAGTGAATTATGGAACTAACGGACGACCAGGCCGCTTCGACGATGTTTGAACCACCATCGACCATGCCTTTGTAGCCTTCCTTAATGAAATAAACCTTGCATCCTAGGTATAGAGCTGTGCGGACTACAGAACGTACAGCTGCATTCATTCCCTGAAAAAATTACAAAGTTTTCATATAAAATCCAAAGTTTTCTAATATATTTGCAGTACAAATATTTATCCAAGTGCCACAAGTATTTGACTAGATAAATAAGCTATTATATAAGCATGCAAACAATAATAAACATAGATAAGAGAAGAGTTATCACTTGGAAATGACAAATGAAATGAAAAATCAAACATAATCAGTGAAAAACTTGATTTTAACTTTGTCTGCAGTAGATAACTATAATATTTATTTAATAAATTAGTTGATTAAATAAATAAAACAATTGAAATTTAGTTTTTCTGAACAGGTTATTTTTAGACACCTATTCTACACTTATATCAAAATTGATACTCTTTAAAACAAATGCAGGACATACATTATCATTCATTAGCTATTTATATGATGGTTAATATAAGTTGTATAAATTTATGTTGTGTAAATACAACATAAATCAATTGTTATTACACGTTTTTTTATAGACAACTATTATAATAAAAATGATTTGAATTCATACCTGGGAATCACCACCACTTGTAAGCACTGCAATCCCCCTGCCCTTGTAAAGACCCCTCTCAATAAACTTCATGCTTCCAGGTGAACCTTGGGAATCCATGTATTCTTCAATTCTAGAGGGTGAATTTGCGTTCCTTAAGCTTGACTTCACAGTATAACGCTAAAAATCGAATAATAATAAGCAATAAAGATAAATGTTCGCATTAATTACCGTCTAGGCGTTGCAATGAGCTGTAAAAATTGTACATACAGCGTGTGTGGAGTGATGAGGTGTTAATCTAATGCTTTGAGCAGGAATTTAAACAATCTTGGCCTGAAGGTGACCCCGGCGATCGCGGCTCTCGTGATTTAGCTGATAGAACTCGTTCAACTTTTGAACTGGCACGCAAATCGAGTCGCAGCCGAAACAGGACTGAGCCAGACTATGCATGCGAGAATTTCTCTACGCTTATCGTTGGATCCGAACGTCTGTATTAACTTCGAAGTGCTATCATCGCAATTGTACTCGTTGCGATAAGTGGTCGTATGTTTCAAACACAAACAAACAAATGAATGATGCCATTAGGGTAGACATAACGAGTTCATTACAACAGTTGTAAAGGGTAAATTTAATATTGATCAGATATCTTATCTCTTTAGGAAACTTATAATAAGTAAAATACCAAATATATTCTTAAAAGTTTAAAATCTTTTAAATTTGCCTATGTTTTTGAATTGTTGGTTAAGTATTTATGGTTGCCTATTACTGTTTGTTTTCTTACCCATAGATTGTTCGATGTGTTTTATAAATACAATAGCATAAAATTATATCAAATAAACAGTAGTTATTTGTAATAATTAAAATTTTGAAAATTATCAAGTGGTATAGAATCAAATAATTTGAAAATGTTTTGGTTGTAAGTATTTGACAGATGATGACGTTCATTAAACATTTACCACGAAAGGTGCTGGGGACCCTAGGGACGCTTGTACCATTGATTTCTCTACATTGCTGCGATTGGTTAGAATAGCAAATGCTTGCACCCGATTGGTCCAGTTGAACTTGCCGGCAGTTAGGAAAATTCGCAAAACAGTTTCTAAGAGTGCCGGTGTATAGCAGCGTTGTTGGAGTGGTCGGACCGCCATTGAAACGGTTTCGTGCGTTTGTGCGTGATTGATTCTGTGCGATTTCCGCCAGCAGCAGTTCACAAGATATTCTACAGAAATTTTGCTTCCCTGGATGGTCCGAATTATTATTTTTTTGTGCGCTTAGTTGACTGCATCATTCAGTTGTCACAATGACTGATCTCAAGGTAAGCTAACCCCACAAAATGCCGTTGAACTGCAAATTTCTTGTAATGTTTTTTTCTTGTGAATGTGAACTGTTCTGCAAAGTAGCATCACAAGCGTTTCTTTCAGTGTTTGTGGGCTTATCTCCTACTATTAGGTTGATATATTGCCGTTTGCTTCTGCTTATCAGTACATTTATTTTACGCGCCAAAAAGAAGATGCATCTTCATGTAACGGTTTTTTTTCGTTGTTTATCACGATGTTAAATTGCTCGTTTAGGCGAAATTTATTAAATGTTAGTTCGCAGCATATGAAGAATATATGTAGAAATCAAACTATTGAAAAAACTTGCAGGGAATGTTCCAGAAAATGAACAAAGGTTCAGATTCAGCCAACACCAACGGCGCCATGTCGATCGAACAAACCTATCAGAAGAAATCTCAATTGGAGCACATCCTGCTTCGTCCCGACACATATATTGGCTCAGTGCAGCATCTCACAGAACAAATGTGGATCTATGACACTGAGGCAAAGTGCATGGTCAACAAACAAATCACTTATGTTCCTGGTTTGTACAAAATCTTTGATGAAATCCTTGTCAATGCCGCCGATAACAAGCAAAGAGATAGCTCAATGGATTGCATCAAGATTGAGATTGAACCAGAGGAGAACAAGATCTCAGTGTGGAACAATGGGCAAGGTATTCCTGTTGTCATGCACAAAGAAGAAAAAATGTATGTACCAACAATGATCTTTGGTCATCTACTCACCTCTTCCAACTACAATGATGAAGAAGCAAAGGTCACAGGCGGTAGAAACGGCTACGGTGCCAAGCTGTGCAACATTTTCAGTAAGAAGTTCATAGTTGAGACATCCAGCAGGGAATACAAGCGAAAGTTTAAACAAACCTGGACGGACAACATGGGAGCCACCAAGGAGGCCAGTGTCAGCGAAAATGCCAGGGATACCGATTATACAAAGATCACTTTCTATCCGGATTTGTCTAAGTTCAGCATGGAGAAACTAGATGATGATATCGTAGGTCTAATGCGTCGTCGTGCGTATGACGTAGCTGCGTCCACACGTGGCGTGAAAGTATTCCTGAACGGGGAGCGTCTCTCTGTGAAAAACTTCAAGGACTACATAGATCTGTACCTGAAATCTAACGAGGATGAGGAGAGTCGTAAAGTCGTCTATGAGACTGTCAGCGACCGTTGGGAAGTCGCGTTTTGTCTGTCGAACAACGGTTTCCAGCAAGTGTCGTTTGTAAACAGTATTGCCACAACGAAAGGTGGTCGCCACGTGGATTACATCGCTGATATGATAGTAAAACAAGCGCAGGAGATTCTCAAGAAAAAAAACAAGGGCGGTGTAGCCATCAAACCGCATCAGATCAAAAACCACATGTGGGTCTTCATCAATTGTTTGATTGTCAATCCCACATTCGACTCACAGACCAAGGAAAACATGACTTCACTCCAAAAGAACTTTGGATCGAAGGCGACGCTAAGCGAAAAGTTCATCGGGCAAGTAGTGAAGAGCGGTTTAGTTGAGCACGTCCTCTCGTGGGCGAAATTTAAAGCTCAGACTGAATTGAATAAAGTTGGCGGTAGGAAACAAACGAAAGTAAAGGGTGTACCCAAACTGGAGGATGCTAACGAAGCTGGTGGTAAGAACGCGCTCAAATGTACACTCATCTTGACTGAGGGAGACTCAGCCAAATCTTTAGCCGTGTCTGGTTTGGGTGTCATCGGACGCGATTATTACGGCGTGTTTCCACTGCGTGGTAAACTGCTCAATGTGCGCGAAGCCACACACAAGCAGATCTTAGAAAATGCGGAAATTAATAATTTAGTTAAGATTGTCGGATTGCAGTACAAGAAAAAGTATAACACTGAGGAAGATTTGAAGACGTTGAGATATGGAAAGATTATGATTATGACTGATCAGGATCAGGACGGATCTCACATTAAAGGATTGTTAATTAATTTTGTGCATTGCAACTGGCCGGAGTTATTGCGGTTGAACTTTTTGGAACAGTTTATTACGCCGATTGTTAAGGCCACGAAGAGGAACGAGGAATTGTCATTTTATTCACTACCAGAGTTTGAAGAATGGAAGAGCAATACAGCAAACTATAGGACTTACTCCATCAAATACTACAAAGGTATTTATTTTTTAAATATTAGTTTTGTTTGTTATTAATTCGGTGAAATATTCTAGGTTTGGGAACCTCCACTTCAAAGGAGGCTAAAGAATACTTCACCAACATGGAACGCCATCGTATTAAGTTTACCTACGGCGGACAGCGCGACGACGATCACATTTTGCTTGCGTTCAGTAAGAAACACATCGAACATCGCAAGGAATGGCTCACTAACTTTATGGTTGAGAATCGTCGACTTAAAGAGCTCGGTTTACCTGAAAAATATCTGTATACTAAAACTACGAAATCTGTCACCTATACGGACTTTATTAACTTGGAGTTTATTCTATACTCGAACGCTGATAATATTCGTTCGCTTCCATGCATTGTCGACGGTATGAAACCTGGCCAACGTAAAGTTTTGTTCACTTGCATCAAGCGTAACGACAAGAAGGAAGTAAAGGTGGCGCAACTGGCTGGTTCAGTTGCTGAAAAGTCTGCATACCATCACGGTGAAGTATCCCTGTGCTCAACGATTGTTGCTTTAGCGCAAAACTTCGTCGGTTCGAATAATATTAATCTGTTGGAACCGCGTGGTCAGTTTGGTACTCGGTTAGCTGGTGGCAAAGATTGCGCCAGTCCCAGGTACATTTTCACAAAGATGTCGCCACTTACCCGCTTGATTTTCCATCCGCATGATGATCCGCTTCTTAAGTACGAATTCGATGATAATTTAAAAATTGAACCACAGTGGTATTGCCCGATTATTCCGATGCTGCTTGTCAATGGCGCGGACGGTATCGGCACAGGCTGGATGACCAAAATCCCGAATTATAATCCGAGGGATCTTGTTCAGGCGATACGGGCGATGATTGATGGTCGCGATCCGCCACAGTTGCATCCGTGGTATAAGAACTTCAAGGGTACGGTTGAATCTGTGGACGAACATAGATATGTGACGAGTGGTGAGGTTGCAGTCACTCGCCACAACTGCATTGAAATCACCGAGCTGCCGGTCGGTACATGGACGCAAGTATATAAGGAGAATGTGCTTGAGGTGTTGATGAATGGCAGCGATAAGGTGAAAGCATTGATTTCGGATTACAAGGAATACAATACCGATACGACAGTCAAGATGACCGTGTCGATAATTCCATCGGAATTTTCAAACATCGAAAAGGAAGGGTTTCATAAAGTTTTTAAGCTGCAGAATTCTTTTACTTTGTCATCAATGTGTGTATTCGACCATTTGGGATGTCTGCGAAGAATGGAAAACGTTATGGATATCATGCGAGAGTTTTACACGCTGCGTTTGAAGATGTACACAAAGCGGAAGGAGTATCTTGAGGGTATGTTGGAAGCGGAAGCGAATAAACTCTCCAATCAGGCGCGTTTCATCATGGAGAAATGCGATGGCACGCTTGTGGTCGAAAACAAAAAGCGAAAGATTATTATCCAGGAACTTATCAGCAAAGGCTTCAAAGCGGATCCGGTGTTGATGTGGAAAGAATCTCAAAAAGAAGATGACGAAGAGGAGGGTGGTGAGGTAGATGAAGATGGCAATAGTTCACATGCTGCTGCACCCACTGATACAGTGACCGAGAATAAGAAGTTTGATTACCTTCTTGGTATGTCCATTTGGATGTTGACAGATGAACGCAAATCGGAATTATTGCGTCAGCGTGATGAAAAAATTCACGAATTGAAGACGCTACAAGCTAAGAGTAATTCAGATTTGTGGCGCGAGGATTTGGATGTGTTTATGAAGAAATTGGATGAGGTGGAAGAGGCCGAACGCCGTGAAGAAGCGAATGTACCCAAAGGTAAGGGTGAAAAGAAGGGCTTGGCTTCCAGGAAGAAGCTCGTCAATATGAATGAGACGATGCCGTCGCCGAACGCAAAACGCATCCAACCAACAATCTCAGATGAGATGAAGAAGAAGTTTATCGCTGCGGGTGCAAAGAATCGGCCCAAGAAGGTACTTCAAACAAGCCTGTCACAAGATACTGCAGAGGAGGCAGACGAGTTTGATAATATGACTAAGGCGTCTGATTTAAAGAAAAAGGTGGGAACACCCGAAGAAGCAGAGAAGAAGGCGAAAGGACGCAAGAAGAAAGAAACAGGCAAAGATGGTCTGAAGCAGACCAAGTTAACATTCACAAAGAAAGCTGGTATGTATTAAAATCATGTATTTTTAGATAAAATATCATTTTTTTGTAATATTTTAGCAGAGAACGGTAAAAATACTACCAAGGACGGTGATGATTCCGATTCTAATGACGATGAAGCTGCGGTGGAAAAGGCCCCTCGCGATTTACCCAAACGAAATGTCCCTAAAAAGATTTACAACCTCGACTCGGACGATGACTTCGACAGCGCAGGTGCAAAGGATGATTCCGATGAGGATATGTTTAGTTCCCCGAAAGCCGTTGCCAAACCTGCTGCCACGACACCCAAGCCAAAGGACGACAGCGACGATGATGATGAAGTCTCACCACCACCGAAAAACAATGAAAGCAGTGAGGATATGTTTGACCGAATGGTTGGTAAGTCGCCAACGCCAGTTAAAAAACCACCGGGAACCAAACGCAAACTGCTTCGATTATCCTCCGACGATGAATCTCCGAAGAAAAAACCCGCGCCTAAATCGAAGAAAGCAAAGACAAACTCAAGCGGCGAGAAGCCGAAGAAGAAAACCACCCCGAAGAAAAAGAAGCCCGCGCGCAGCGATAGCGACAGCGGCGAATCCGATGATGGTGATGATGATGACGATTTCGTGCCGAAGAAACCAGCGGCGCGGACGGCGCGCGCCACCAAACCATCCAAGTATAAGTTTAGTGACTCTGACCTCTCTGATTAATCAATTTCGGGAAACACTCGAGCTCTACCTAGTAATTTGTTTCATTTTAAGTAATTATTTTACCGTATTTAAACACACGTTTCATGTTTTTATGTGCTACGTCTAAATTAACTAACTCATCATAAAAGAATATTTATAACAATCGATATTTTTTTATTTAATTTTTACCGGTTATTAAGTAGTCTGATTTTATATAAAATAACACGCGTTTTTATACTCCATGGATAGAATACAAAATAAAAACGTACATATTCTCATCAAAATCAAACTGAAACTGAATGTTCGAATGTAGTTGTGAAAAATTCCAACGTAAGATTTATTTCTAATATAAAGATAACAGTTTTAAGACAGTAACCATCATCTTAATGTAAAAATAATTGCATTCTGGTTTCTTAATTTATCCCCGATTCCTGTCCTCCACTTAATAAGCCACTTGTTACTTGATTAAGGCACAAACTTTCTCACACGTTAGAGATTTCGATAAAAATAAGCAATGCATTCTTTTGCACTTTTTTCTGCTTCAAACATAGAGATTATCATAATCGCAAAAATAAAATTGGTATTGTCTTTTTGTTACAAAATAGAAACTTTTACGCTTTTCCAGGGCTTTTCTTCGGGCGCCCACGTTTCCTTTTGACTTGTGATTCTACTGCTTGTACTTCTTCTTTAATCTGTCGTTTCCTGCCAGCTTTTTTTGGTTTCTGTTGCTTTGTTTCTTGTATATGCACATCGTATTTCGCCTCGTCTTCTTCTGGTATTTCCATTACAACTTTACTATCAGTCTCGGCCGGTTTTACTTGAGGTTTATCATCGTGTGGATGTTTTTTCAAATGTTCCAGAAGTTGTGAGTTCCTTGCAAAACTCAAATTGCATTCTTTGCATTCGAATGGTTTGTGAATTGAGTGGGTTAACATGTGTCTCCGTAAAACATCATTTCGGCCAAAAATCTTTTTACACAAATCGCATTCATACTGTTTTTCTTTGGTGTGAATGATCATGTGTTTGGTTAAATTGTGCGCCTGTTGAAACCTATTTCCGCATACTGAACATGCGTAGGGTTTTTCGCCAGTGTGGACACGAATATGACGCTGTAAATCGCAAGGTTTACGAAATGCTCGATCGCAGATTTTGCACGCGAATTTTTTCTCGTGGTTTTTGACTGGTGTGGGTTTAACAAGTTGATGGAGTTCTTTGTGTTTTCTGTATTCTTTGAATAAGTCGAATCCTTTCTCGCAGATTTTGCATGTGTAAGGCGCTTTGCCATTGTGCCGGCGTACATGAGCAGTGAGTGTGTCCAAACTAATAAAACTCAGTGGACACATGGTACAGGTGTAAGGTTTTTGGCCGTTGTGAGCTTCGTCTTTATGCGCTTGAAGTTCCGCACGCGTTTCGAATAAAATCGTACAAAACTTACAGTAGTATATCAGTGGAATGCTATGGTCCTCAGCACAGTGCTTCTTCAATGAGGTTTGTGTTTTGAAATATTCTTTGCACTCCTGACACTGGAGTACAATCAGTTTCTCATTTGTTTCTGGTTCAGTCTCATTGTTGTTGTAGATGTCCTCGGAAATTGGCATCAGGCCCAATGCCTGCAGGATGGCTACCTTGGGATGTAAGTTAATTACTTTTTTTTGTGGTGAATCCAATTCAGATATATCTGTTTCAGTCTCCTTTAGGGTTGTGGTTGACGACAATTCCATCTTGTGTGAACGCACGGTGGACACGTTGGTTGGAATGGCACTATTGGCGGTCATTCTGGAAGCAATTGGCGATGTTAAATTCGCTTCTTGTAGGCGAGCGATGTGCGGAGTCAACATGGTGGAGGAGTTGGGAACATGGTGGAGGAGCTATTAATACGCGTATTGGCGCTGGGCGATAAACGAGTTTACTTACTTAAAACGTAATTATGTTGGTAAAACAATTGCCAGACACTTGTTGATCAGTGAGATGAGGCATGGAGGCGCGTTTCGCGCGGCAGGTAGAAGGCACTTATCAGTTGCACGAGTTAAACTTACTTGCCGTGAACAACGTGAACATAAAAAACGACATTGAGGAGCGCGCCCGCTGCGCTTGCACCAAACAAATGCAATGCGCCCGCTTCTCAATACTCCCACCACTACAACAGCTCTCAAACCTACAAATCGGAATCAAATCATGAAACATACCAAACAAATTCCATTTTTATTAAATCTATTACATAAATTTAAAATAAATGACGCCAAATTTATTGAAATAGAGATATTTATTGTGCGTAATATGTTTAAATTTTAAACTTTGCAGTGTTGCCACTTTTGGCAACATCAACACGTGATTGCACATTGACCTTGAATTGCAAACGTATCAGTCAGTCGAACATTGCTAAGGTTACGTTCTGCCAGTTGAATTTCAGTTCGCCTAGAAACGAACGTCTCGCTGAAGATTTAAAGTAATTAATTTACACTAGTTTTAATTGTTGTGTTCTTTGGTTTACCCTTTTTATAATGTCTGCAATGTGTGAGTGTAATTTTTCTTCAGTTGTACATATACTTTTTTAGTCATCAAAATTCATCAAGTTCAATGTTGCACAATACATTATCAGCTTACTTACTTAATGATAGGTTTACATAATTCTCTCCTGTTACAATTGCTCATATTAAATAATTGGACGTGCAGTTGTTTTTTAACTGGAAAATTATAACCATATGATCCCGTGTTTCATATTAAGATTAGACATTGAAACTTTGACCCAATTACTATATTTGTGACTCAGGTTCACACATGTGGATCAAAAGTACAAAGTTTTAATTTATGATATTTGTTGTTTTTAGCAAATATGGGCGAACGTGATGTAATTTTCGAATATAAGGACGAATCACAGGCAGAGAGATTAGCGCGAAAATCTGAGGAGGCGCCATTTTTTCCTGTTGGTTAGTATTCTGATGTAATTTTCCATTGCAATCAATAAGCATACTTATTTAATTAAAATTGCTATTTTTACACAATATTGTATTGAATATGTGTGAGTTTAGATAATTACAGTTACACATAACAATAATTAGTGTAATTAATGTGTTTTTAATTTTTCAGCTATAACCGGATGTGCAGCCGCTGTCGCTTATGGCGCGTATAAATTCAAAAGTCGTGGCATGATGAGCCCCAGCGTGTTCCTAATGCAACTCCGTGTTGGCGCACAGGGTGTAGCTGTGGGTGCGCTCACCCTAGGCTTAGTTTATAGCATCATCAACGAACGTTTCCTAAAGAAGAAGTAATTGAGGAAAATGATAACACTAGCCAATTTGCTTAGGACACCACTCACTAGACAACTTAGTTCATACTAAAACCTGATGTATAGAAATAACCCCACCCCGAATGTGGGTGCGCACACACAAAATCTATTTATTTGTGATATTGTTTGTTTTGCTTTTATTTATTGTTTCCACTCATTATATATACTGCGTACATTTTATTAGTAGCGGGCGAAATATGGTTAAATTGAAATTATTTTATTGTTGATTGAATATTGAAAAAACTCAGGAAAGGGTAACAGATAATGGATACTAAATTAACTTAAATAATGTTGTAAGAAATAAAGTATTGTACCTAATTATTGATAATGAGAATAATATAAATGAGTGTAATTCAAACTGACAAAGAACATATAGCAAATGCATAAATATTTAATTGTAACTTATTTTTGTAAATAAATTCGTGTCCGCTAATGTTACTGATATGTCATTTATCTTCTTCTGTCGAAATTTATGTTTTTAAACTTTCATTACTTTTTCTTTTTACTGTGTTAATGAATTGCAATTTTTTAATGACTTTTTAACATAATACTGAGAATCTTCTGCCGATATTAAAAATGTGTTAAAAATTCAAAGAAAAATTGATAAGAAGGAAGCATTTTATATCATTTGTATGAAGTTGCATTTTGGGAAATTTCTGGATACGTTTATACATTTATTTGTTTTCTTATGAGTTATGGGATTGGCAGACATTAATAAAAATTTGTATCAGATAAAGGTAGGTTACATTTCAAGTTTAAATGATTCAATAATTTGTACATTGAGTCTTGATGTCTCATCCAACCTCGGAAATTTTTGAGTGTAATTGAAGTTGTATTGTTAGTTACGCAATCTATAAGTGCGCAAATAACAATTCCATGTTCGTAAATATTTATCTGTTGAATTTATAAAATTGCAAGTTTGTTATCATAATTGTACTTTAAACTATTAAAAAGTATTTGATTGTTACACGCAATTAAGAAAATAAGTCGAGAATAGTATAATATGATTATATAGCCTTTATCATACTTAGTATTGGAATAATGATTGAAAATTAAAATTTCTTAAATAATGGTTTATGGTGTTACTTAAGAATTCGTTTTTTTTTGTATTAATTTCTTGCCCCTTACTAGCTAAAACGGATTTCTGTTTTATTGAGGAATATTATCAGATTAATCATAACCAACTTTTATGTTTTTATTTATTTATTATTTATTTATTTAATTGTTTGTTGGTCCATGAATATAATAAAACATCTAGCCAGTTGTTCTGTAATTACCAATCGCAAACCGAAAGAATTGGGTTGAATACAAGTCCTGCGGGGCAATCTTTCTCCCATTGACCATCGTTTGCACAGTGGCAGAATTTATGAGAGTCAAGAGGATGGGACAGATGAAGGTTTGCGTTGATGGGGTAGTCAGGAGGACACACCGATGTGCAAACATTGGCAGGGGTAGTGGATGAAGCAGTAGTACTTGATGGTGCAGCAGAAGTACTAGACGGTGCAGCACTAGTAGTTGAGGGTGCGGCTGTGCTGGATGTCGGTGGTGGTGCTGTAGGGGTGGTAGATGGGGAAGAAGACGGCGGGGCAGCGGATGAGCCAGGAACACAACCAGAAGCATTGGGCCAGTCACACACCGCTAGAATAGGGTTGAAATAAAGGCCAGAGGGGCAATTCATGGTCCAGTTGCCATTATTGGCACAGTGGCAGTACTTATCACAGTCTTTAGGATGTGGAAGGATATTATTTGCGGTAATGGGGAAATCAGGAGGGCAGACCTTATCGCATTCTTGAGAAGGTGCTGAAGTGGTAGCAGCAGAAGTAGTGGAGGGTGCAGCAGAAGTAGTAGACGGTGCAGCAGTAGGAGTAGAAGGTGCGGATGTGGGGGTTGTTGTTGGTGTTGCTGTTGGGGTGGTAGATGGGGAAGAAGACGGCGGGGCAGCGGATGAGCCAGGAACACAACCAGAAGCATTGGGCCAGTCACACACCGCTAGAATAGGGTTGAAATAAAGGCCAGAGGGGCAATTCATGGTCCAGTTGCCATTATTGGCACAGTGGCAGTACTTTTCACAGTCTTTAGGATGTGGAAGGAGATTATTTGCGGTAATGGGGAAAACAGGTGGGCAAACCGCATCGCATTCTTGAGAAGGTGCTGAAGTGGTAGCAGCAGAAGTAGTGGAGGGTGCAGCAGAAGTAGTAGACGGTGCAGCAGAAGTAGTAGAAGGTGCAGAAGTGGTAGACGGTGCAGCAGTTGTAGTAGAGGGTGCAGCACTAGTAGTAGAGGGTGCAGCGGTGGTAGATGATGGTGGGGCTGCGGATGAGCCAGAAGCACAACCAGCAACATCGGGCCAGTCACACACCTCTAGGGTAGGGTTGAAATGAAGACCATCGGCACACTCTTTGGTAAAGTTACCACTATTGGCACAGTGGCAGAATAAATTGCATTTGCCGGAAGGATGTGGAAGGTGATTATTTGCTGTAATGGGGAAAACAGGCGGGCAGACCTTATCGCATTCTTCAGAAGGTGCTGAAGTGGTAGCAGCAGAAGTAGTGGAGGGTGCAGCAGAAGTAGTAGAAGGTGCAGAAGTGGTAGACGGTGCAGCAGTAGTAGTAGAGGGTGCAGCACTAGTAGTAGAGGGTGCAGCGGTGGTAGATGATGGTGGGGCTGCGGATGAGCCAGAAGCACAACCAGCAACATCGGGCCAATCACACACCTCTAGAGTAGGGTTGAAATGAAGGTCAGCGGGGCAATCTTTGGCAAAGTTACCACTATTGGCACAGTGGCAGAACTTTGTACAGTCATCAGGATGTGGAAGGTGAAGATTTGCAGTAATGGGGAAAACAGGCGGGCAGACCTTATCGCATTCTTCAGAAGGTGCTGAAGTGGTAGCAGCAGAAGTAGTGGAGGGTGCAGCAGAAGTAGTAGACGGTGCAGCAGTAGGAGTAGAAGGTGCGGATGTGGGGGTTGTTGGTGGTGGTGCTGTTGGGGTGGTAGATGGGGAAGAGGTCGGTTGGGCTGCGGATGAGCCATCATCACAACCAGAAGCATTGGGCCAGTCACACACCTCTAGGGTAGGATTGAAATAAAGGCCAGTGGGGCATTCTTTTTTCCAGTTACCATCATTGGCACAGTGACAGAACAGAGTGCAACTGTTAGTGTATGGCAAATGCACGTTTGCGACAATGGGGTTGTCGATCGGGCAAATGGCGTCACATACTGCTTCAGGCACAGGTCCCTTGACTGCGAGTGCTACTTGCACAAACAAGCAAACACAGGCAAATTGAAGTACAACTGTAAGAAAAATATTGATTAGCATAATTCAATCAAATTATATTTTTAAAGTTAACTTACTTTTGATCATTCTTAGTGGATTGTTGGTAATGCTCTTGATACTGACTCAAAGTAGAGTTGGTTTGTGAGTGGCTAATAGTTCGATTTTCAGTCATTTTATACCCAATTAGTGTAGAAAAATCAAAGATTACTATTATCTTCTTATCAAAAAAAACCAAAGTTTCAATAAACTTCTCAAAGGATTTGAACAATGCATCACTATTTTTATTAATGAGATAATGACGCTCCATTTTCAAGCATAATCGATATATAATGGCAGATTTTAAGATTAGTTTATTTAGCCAAAAGGAAACTTAAAAATACTATCAGATGTTATCAAAATTAGATGGAATTTAAAAATTTAAACTTTAAGAACTTTGCGTTGGAAATAGTTATGACTTCTTACAGTAGATGGCGCAAGCATTACCTCAAGGCAAATAATAAGGAGGAATAATAAATTATGATTTGCCAACGTTTAAAAAAAAATTAAAAACTTAAAGAACAACTAATTGTTAGACTTATTTATAAAGTTTACAATCTTAACACATTTTAATAAACACAAATATTTATTTATTTGATATAAAATGTGCAAATATCATTTTTGTACGTAGGTTAATTTATGTTGTATTTTTTATATTTGAAATATTTACAATATAATATAGCACAATGCATGTAAACATTTTTTATATCTGAATAAATGTTAATACATTTTTTATTCTTTGCGGCTTGAACCGTCCAGTGTAAAGAATGTATACAACCCTATATACACATTCAGACGTTAGACAGTTTCGTAAAGTGCGCATGCTTTGAATTATCAGTTGACATCATATTCTAACAATAAAGTTTACAACCGAAGGAACCAAATATTCCAATCAAATGTGACGCATTTCATTGTTTATCTGTGTGCAAAGTCACCCCACTCACCTTTCCTGAATGTTTACGCTAGCGCAGTTGGTAAGTACACTCAAACATTACCTCTTCCACCGTGCGCGCCGAAGAAGTACACTCACGCAGGTATCTCTCCTGCTGGTGTGCTCGTAGACTCTCGCGGACTCGCGGGTCGACGCTTTCTTCTTTTCCCAATCCGCTTCATTCCGTCGCGAGCATTCGTGTTGTGTTTTACGAAAACACCGTTCGTTCCGCCGCGCGAAGACAACAAGACGCGTCCAGTGCAGTACGTGCAAATTCGTGGATTTGTTGCTGGTGCAGTGTTCAAGTTCTATGTCCGCTAATTAATTTCGAGTTAATTATATTGGATAAGAATGGTGTGGTGACATTATATTGGATTATAAACAACGTAAACATCAACGGTAAGTGCAAATAAAATTAAAATTTTCGTTTTATAAGAAGAAGTAAGTTGTGCCGAAACAAAACAGCGTGCAAACCACCTGCTGCTGCCTCCTGCACATATGGCGCCGATCAATTAATTCAATTCGTGTGTTTTTTTGCTCTAGAAATGCAGTTAAAATTGTCGCAACATTACGTCGTGTTTTATTTAAATTTCATCTCGTGAGTCACACACTCACTCTACGCATCTAGGTAGCAACAATCTATTTATTAAGTAAATCATTAAATTAGGCATTCATTAAAGCAAATTGTTAGGCAAACACTTTGAATGCCTTGAAATTCTGAATTTTTTCGAGTTTACAAAGTGTGGAAATTAAAATTAACATACACATCACGATGAAATTATAAATTATAGTTTAGTAACACTCAATCTGGGAAGTATATGAATATGATGTGTTTTTCGGTTGAATTCGAGCGATGCGTTGTTTGCGATGCGACTTAATTATGTTATAATATTCCGATGGGAAATTTATTCAGAAACATTCGACACTTTTTACAGTTACGCTGGCTGCGCCACTCGCATGTTGTGAGCAGGAGATGCGCAAGATACACCGTGGGCATTGGGCAATGCGTCACGAAAGGCACAGCGCAATGTAAAAACTTGTAAACGTTCAAGTCGCATCACTTAAAAAACGTGAACTCTGCGTCAACCCAGTAAAAAACAACAACAAGTAAATGCATCAAAGGTGAAGCATCGGCGCGTCAAAAAGTTATTGAACTTTTTAAAATGTTTTATTATTTCAAATGCGTATTTTCAGTGATTTCATTATTGTACTCGTACTTTGTAATTATTCTAATTAAGTAGACACTTTATGAGAAATACCAAAGGTATCGCTATAATAATATTAATTTTTTTTCATTAGGATTTGATAAAGATTAGAGAGGATTTTATTAATGAGATTAATTGGTTTTGATTGAATTTCTATGAAAATACTTATACTAATCTGATCAAAATTAATTTACACGTAGTTGATTCGTTAGAAACCACTTAATTTAGATAATTTTATAATCTGATGCAATTTGAACAATAGAACTACTTAATTCAGTTATTTAACTAGTCTTTTAGTTTTTGGTTTAGAATGTTGCAAAATAAAGTTTGGAAATTATATATTGCAAACTTTTTATTTTAATAGACTATCTAAAAATGGTGGGAATAATTTATATTTTATATAGTATATAATTATTTCTTTGGTTGAAGTACATAATTTTATTTTAAAAATATTATTTACGAAATTATTTAAATTTTGAAATTACTTCTTAGATTTATTATTATCAGCGCTTTTTTTGTTTTATCCCAGTATTTTAGGGTGTATTTAACACATTAAATTGTTTAAAACCGCTCCTAGTTAACATTCATACCTCCTAATGTTTTTTTACACTGCGTGCGCGAAATTAATTTAATCGTGTTCGCAAAGATGCGCGAAATAAGCATAAAATTAGAAATGTTATGTTACTACATCAATCCATCAGATACCTGACAGCTAAAGTTCACTAAGTTTTTTTAAGTTTAGATGTATTTCCAAAATATGTAAAAAAAACATTTTAGAAATAGTAAGATCCAAAATTAATTTATTAACTGATTTAACTTGACCCTAAAAAGTTTTAAAATAATTTAAATTAATTATTTAATCTATACCATGAAATTAATATAAATCAACGGAATACTAAGAGTTTTTCTATCAAATACAGTGTATTAGGTTGCATAATGTGCAAAACACAAACCAGGTTAGGTAAAAAATTTGTATAGTTTGGTGAATATGCCAACAACGCACTTTGAATAGAAAAATAAAATAGAAGGTGAACAAACCACCAAACTGTACTCATCTTAAATTCATTTAATCATCATCTCACCACATATTAAACAATTTCAAAATAAATTTTAAATTGTTTTATATGCAGATACTAAAATTTCAACTAAACTACAATTTTTAAAATTCAAACTTTTGAGCTAATATAATACGTACAAAAATAAAATCTTAAGTTATACACGTATGGATAATAATGATACACCATTAACCATCATTAATTCACCTTAATTACCATTTATAGTGGTGTTATTCATTATACCCGAAATTTTGGCTTAACAACACTCAAGTTAAATATAGTATGGTCAGTGAGTTCAAGCCGCATTCAGCGCAAAAGTAAAATTAACAAACAAAAAACAAAAGTAAAAAATAATAATTAATACACCACGGTGTTGGGGCAACCTCTGAAAAGCCAATGACCACTGATTAGAAGCACGCGCAATATGTTTATAATAAATCTTCATTTATAGCTTTTTATTTAATTTTTTCTTCATTTTTTTATATTTTTGATATATGAGACTTATTTCCACTATAATTTATACATAAAAACAATCGTATGTTTGCATGCCTAATGATAATGTAACAAAGGCCGCGATTTGCGATTTGCGACTGAACGATGATTAAACATATGATAAAATTCCTGCAATTTCTATAATCATTATTTCTCACTGCAAAAACAAAACAAAAACGCAGAAAACAAGTACGTATGGTTGTACGACTAGTTGGCGCGGTACTTCAACACAAACAGCGCGATTTTCATGCTTATTGCAAAATTAACAATGGTCAATAACGACCGAAACTAATTGTAATTGTAATCACATGTTGGTAATGCGAATGTTGGAGAATGCGTGAGGAGTAAAAGCGATTGCGTTCGAACGTCAGGATGACGCCGACGTCGGAAACAAGACGAGCCTAATCAAAGTACATAATGAAGCAGTAATCATGCTCCATACAAATGATTAGGATGATTCCAGTAAAATGATTCGTTGCGTAAGTTCATCAAAGGTTACGAGCACTCAACTTTGATTCCGGGGCCGCCAGAGGGCGCCAGCTATAAAACTATTGCCTGCAAGCTAAAATATCTAATCGTAGAATTTTAGTATCTAATCGAAAATTGAAATTTAAGTGCCAACTGCTAATTATCCGCACGTTGCCTTTGAGCTAACAATAACAACAATCATTTCTTTTACTCGTATGATTGATGGGATTAATGCCGTGGATCATTTGTGTTTGTACACTTTCGATTTCAGGAATAACAACAATACGTATGTGAAATTTGATGTGAAATACTTCAATTAACATTTGTATGTATGCAACTAATTTCACTGGGCACTTATCAGAACGCACTTGCGATGCAACACCTTGACATTTAATAATTGAACAAATGGCAAGATGACTAAACCAAACACATCTCGACTTGAGCGGTTTACTTGTTCGTTTGGCACGCAGCGAAATGTTAGCCGCGAGTCGTTGAAGTTTGGAATTGTTCAATTTCTGCAAACACGCCAAGTCACGACAAACGACACAGGCGCACTGCTCGTGCGGGACGAGATTCAAGATGAGCGGCGACTCTTGAAGAATGTTGAATGGTGAATGTTCGTTAGAGGAAGATTTTTTGTAAATTCATAACATTTTATTTTACTTTGGAGTAGTTCCTGAAAAGCAGAATCAAAGCCTTGGATTTTTATGTATATATGCAACATATTATACACCAAATCAAAGTGGGTTGCCTATATTTCAATAATTTGACTTTCCGTTTTTACAAATCGAATATTAAACACACAAACATTCAATTTATGATAATTTCCAATCATAAAAGTACTTGTTTCTTGTTCGTATGCAGTTGTCTATGTTGAAATCCTTGCTTTGAGCCGTTGTGAGATTGAAAGATTATGAAATGTTAAGGCGCTGGAAGTGTGACGTAACTGAATTAATTAAGGGAGTTTAATTGTTCGATATGTTGCAAAGAGTACTTAATGCATTGATTTCGAACGTGTGCATTTTTCAATTTCCTTATTAGTCTTTGGCATTTGTTACTCTTACGCTTTGCTATAAATGGAAGTCGTTTCATTTAGTATTTGGAACACCATTTTTAAAAACAAACAAAAACAAGGAAATATCAACTGCAAAGAAAATTAATTTCTATAAATTTAAATTTAAAATAATATAGAACACTTTTAAATTAAATAAAACAATTTATTTTATTCAGAGCGAGGTCAAAGTTGAGATTTTGCCATTTTGCATTTTATCTCCGAAGTTAACCTTTAAGAAACTCTATTTTCAACTGTTCTTCTCTCTTCACTTCTCGAGCAGGTTGCCACATAACCGCCATGATGAAATAATACCTTTACAAATTCTTTCCAACTGCAAACATCCAAATCAAAACCAAAGAATAATTTCCTTTAAATCGTTAAACTGTACATTCGATCAAAATAATACCCATAGAGACGTAATAAAATAACGCCAAATCGTGATGAGCACAACTAGTCGAATCGTTGAAATATTAATCGCTTTTGTACCTACGTCAAGCAATAAAACGTAAACTTAACGCAACCATACACACACTCACTGAACAAGAAACATGATATAACCTCAAAACTTGTTTGTAATCTAATTATAATTAATCACTACGCATTTCGTGAATTAAGTGCAATAAAAATGACGAAACTGAAATGTGATGAAAAATTGATTCTTATTTTACACTCATTAATAACAACAAATAGGTATTACCACAATAAAAAGAAAGAAGAGTTGTAGTAGCAGCAACCGTTGCTTCCAAGGACAGTTATGATATTTTCTGAAATTTATTTTGCAAACAAATTAAAAATTAAATTAGAAATGTTGCAAAATTCTAATCGGTGTGAAATAAATTCATCATGTTACTATTATTGCAATAGTATTAATTAAATATAAAATTTATATTCATTATTGTTTTGTTTTTGTTCTAGGTAAGTCCATGGATTTATTTTTACTCAAAAATTTGCTACATGTAAGTAATTATTAATTATTATATAAAAATATTTGTGTCAAGTAGATGACGATGAAATTTGTGGACACAACAAATTTGGATTTCTATTCCAAAACAGTTATTTGTTAAATTATCTATCTGTTGACGATGACGTTGGATAAATTCATGCAGGAAGTCTTTAGTCTACTTT